TGTTTGAGGCCTGTCACACGAAGCCTTTTGTGTATGGTTATTTTGAACTTTGTATTTTTGGGGCCGGATGGTCGAAAAGAAACGACAAATGAACCAACACCGCCGGCCCGGCAGACCATGAGGTATGGCGGAGTGTTATTTTTGGGGCCGACCTTTTCTAAACCCCCCCCCCCCACTTCCACTGAGAAGGCAGCATCAGCATAGCACTGCAGGTTATTCAAGGGAAACACCTTACTGCTGTCACACCCCATCCAGCTAGCAGCAGTATGACTTCGCCCTCAGACCCCCATCATAGTGTAGTAATTTACACCACAACGGTAGAGTGTAATTCCATAGTAGATTGTTTACTTGATGTAGCACACGGTGGTAAAATATTACTTACTATATAACGTTTCCAGAAGAATTTATTATTCATATCCATATCGACTTTGACGTGAATATGAGCAGTAAATTTTAGACAAATAATATATACATATTTGTCAGATATAGCTTGTATTTGTGTAAGTCACAGCGTGTTTTAAATGAAATAATTCCAATGTTTCGCATGGAAGTTTGATCCCCACTTCTTCAGCGAAATAATCAACCTTCATGGACTGCATAGTGGAAAGTCAGTATTGCAACAAACTTAAGATCAATTTTTTTGGAAAAACAACACATTCTGACAGATACTTTGATTATCAGTCTGCGCATCCTCACAGAATCTAATCAGTAGGGCTAACCGTCTTGTTACAACGAAAGAGAATAAAGAGGAAGAGCTAAAGTCAGTTTGCCGCACACTAGAAGTAAACAATTATCCCAAAGATTTAGTGATGAAAGAAAATCAACAGAACTGCGTATACGAAATCAAATGCACAAATTGTACTGCAGTATATGTAGGGAGACAGAGAGACAGGTAAATGTGAGAATGAAGGAGCATATACTATGCTTAGAGCAGATTCTGAAAACCTCAGCAGAAGTTGAGAAGCTAGAAAACAAATCGAAGATCACGCTACATTCCATAGAAATGGGACACAAAACTGACTTGACGGAACCAAGGCTCTACAAAGAGGTTCGGAATCATAAAGATTGACAGCCGAAGCCCTACATATATAGGCGAATCCAGACAGTTTGAACAGACGAGATGGAGTATAGTTAGCTGCCTCTTGGCAATTACCAATTAGTAAGCAGAAAGAGTGACTCTAACAATTACCGTCAACACCAGTCTCAACTTCATTATTTCCGCATCAGCAGAAACACAATATGGATTGATTTGGTTTATTATTATTATTATTATTATTATTATTATTATTATTATTATTATCACCATCATCATAACCCCTCATTTGCACTCTATTCCGGCAAATCAGTGGGAAATTCGTTAATACTATTCAGTCCCATATACCTCATATTCAGTTGTACTTACAAAATTACCGAATGACTATAATGTCACCTGTAACCTTTTCGTCTGATATTAACAATCAAAGAGAATAGTAGCACACATACACACACTTAATGCTAAAGGATGAAGTAAGTGTATAAACAAAGTCTAACCAAGTATGGTAAGTATATGAAATGGGTGGAGAATAAGAAAGGGAAAGGAAAAATTTCAGTAATAAACTTACTTATTCAGTATTCCCTAGCCAAGGGAAGTATAAAGGATGCCCAAACTTCGTCTGCATGTAAAAACTAAATTTATTGACTCGAAATCCCGCAGCTTCTGCTATCTGTAAAAGAAGAGCTCGAATACCTGTTGAAAGGATATGTGATATGCGGTGAATAATCTTGAAAGTATTATTTTTGTCTACCAAGTGACTACTATCAATAAGGTGAGATGAAACAAAGCTTTTAGTGAATTTTATCTGCTCCCCTCCCAACAATGAAGGTAGATGCTAAGCAACACTTCTGTTAAGTTGTCTGCTAGTACGCCGTATATATCTTTCTCCGCAGGAGCAGCTCAACGTGTAAGTACACATGAAAATAGGAAAACTAGATAATCTATCTTTTGTCTGAGCAAAAGCATTTGGTCGATCGGACACTGACAAACAGAGTTCATTGACCGACAAAGCTAAATGACTGGTTTAGTTTTTATGTATATTTAGCTATTTATATTAAAGTCTGATTGGGATCTAGTTAAAAGCAATACTTGAAACAAACGAAGTATTAGGGCTGCACATTTCGAACAGTCTGATCACACATGGACTTGTCAAACTATTTATGTGAAAATTTACGAAAAGGGTCAATGAAGTCAATGGGAAACACTGGTACAGGAAGAGTAGAGAAAATACCAAATCTTAGTCACATTAGTCTTGGTATGAAATTAAAATCAATACTACAAGGGTAGGTTCAACGTGAGGATGAACTGTTTTCGATACATAAAGGGGGCTTGATTTACGGATGGCAAGACCTTCAATAAATTTAAGTGCTTAATCCTTACCACTTATATGTAGTACATTAAAGGCTGTTGTCATGTCTACCCTGTGGTTAGATTCTAGTATACGTTTAGTGATCGATGAAGATGGACGTTTGTCAGCCGCACCTATCGAGTTTGTAGAGGTCATTTGTTTTTGAAGCCACGTGGGTACATGTTCAGCCAGCCCTAACTGCGTATCACGATTACTCCTCCCTATGCGTGTCCACACATACATGTACATTGATAAACATCGTGGGGTGTGATGCAATCGTTTATATGTTGTTTTGCTTTGTGTTGTTACATGCATTTTATCATCGCAACAACGATGGCCTTGACTAAGTGATTTTAAAGGCCAACCTAGCAACAGCTGAATTGACCAATCAGATTTCTCTGTTTTATGAAAATCTGGGGAATGAAGATATCTAATTGGTTACTTCGATCGTTGCCTTCAAAGTCGCCCGAGGTGTAGGCATTTGTCTGAGCAAGGGAAGACTGTAATTTTCAATGCAATATAACTGTTGAAACTATCGATAAATTTCAGTGGGTATGCATTCTGTATCATGTTGTGTCATCAGTTTGTTGGTTTCTTCCTCCTTCGTGTCATCAGTGAAAATGCGGTTTATCCTGTTGAATATACGTACTTTCACACATAACACACTATAACACTCAGGGATAACTTTGAGCCCCACACTTTGATAGCAGTCAGTCGCTAATGTGGAAAAGCTCGAAAATTCTTTTCAGAATGGACATAAGTGAAAGGAAGTCAGAATAAAATAATATTGGAATACTTTTCAAAATAGTTAATTACGTAGATGATAGCATGTCATATGATTATGAACAGCTGAGTATTCTGGCACTGATGGGTCATGATTAAAAGTTATTTACTTCTATGATAAAATTCATCTGAATAAAAATTAACATAAGCAGAGGGAAAATGAAATTTATTGAAATGTTTATATGTCAATTCACAATGAGATAAACAACAATAATCTAATGCAAACAGTAGGTCAGGTTGTATAAATGTATGGGGACAAAAGTGATAGAGTAGCCTAAAACTTGAGATTACACTGGATAATGTACAAGCAATTTAAAACTTTAGAATCTAAACAGCTGATACAAGTTGCCAAACGTGGCCAAAGGAGTTGAAATCACTACACATTTCAGACTGCCTAAACTTCTACTGTTTGGAGTTCTTGGTGTCTGGTAGGATTTGGTGAGTCAATAAAAGAAAGTGAATAATAGGAAGTGACTGACTAGTACTAGCTTTATGCTTTGTTTGGACAAAATGGGCAAGTATTAAATGATTAACATATTTCACTGAATCTTTATTTAACCATGTTAGAAGGCCATACCGACCAAGAGAAACTAAATCCTGATGTGACTTGCCTCACAGGAGCAGTTGAATGGATGAACACAACAAAAAGTAGTCAGTTCAGGTACTTGATCTTTCAACCTCTGTAGCGCAAGTGAGCATTTCTAAAGTACTATCTACAATTGCCTTGTATTGAGAGTTCGTTTGATGCATTTTCATAGGCCCTTCCTGTCTAAATGCTATTCACATGTAAAGAGGTTTCTCATCATAGTTGGGATGCATTTTGTTAACTTTGCAGTCGTCTGCTTCTTTATGAACTTATATATGTAGCTACTTTCACTTATTATCATCAGAACACAAATGTGATGCAGCAAGGGCACCAAGAAATACGCCATAATTGTGTGAGGGCTGGATACTACCTGAGCGCCCAGACCGAAGCTGGTGTTTGTCTTAGGAGACCACTACCCTATCTTTCGATTTAAAGTCTAGTCCATAAGGCAGTGAAGTAACATCAAGAGCTACATTCCAATGGTTACCGGTGACCTAAGTAGATTCATATGCCACTTGCTTCATCTGGAACCTGAAGCCTATGAACACCATTGGTTTCGAATCGGGATTTTCTAACTCCCCTAGGTGACCTTCAGTATCCATCTATCCGGTTATAAGCCCCAAATGTCCACTTGCTTCCTTTCACATCTGTGAAAACACCACCATATGAAGGCAATGAACAGGACTTATTTGACAGAGGCTGTGAACGTGTACCAGAGCTTTTGGGGACTCAGTGTTGCACAAGGTCATCCATCCGTTTTCCACCGTATCCTTTTAATATATGGCTTATACTGTGTATCTGGTGTCTTCATATCTTAAGAGCCATAAGATTTTAACAATATTGGATCATTAAAAGCAGTCAGAATTTGAGTAAACTTTCTTTCAGAAAGGTGTGTGAATAATACTGAACAAAATAATAAGTTCACTGAATACAGTTCAAAAGCAAATACTCAGTGGAACTTCAAGCGCAGCTATTAGAAACTACTCAGCATCTATGAAGACTAAAATGGTAATTGTAGGAGATAATATTATTTTTATTCATTCAACTTTGTTTCAAGATAATGGGTATTTCATGCACCCACAAAAACGGACTACTAATGGCTGATTGAAAAACAAGTTCGCCAAATAATGAGCCATTAGAACATGCCACGTTTTAGAATTAAGAAAAAGAAGAAGAGACTACTCTCTTTCCAATTTTTAACTTTCTCTACTCTATGAACATTTCTGTAACTCCTACCGTATTTATTTTAGGTTGGAGAATTTCTACACAACGCTGTCGCTTTAAGCCAAAACCCTGATATTCAACCGATAAACGTTGAGCAGAATAAAAGATTACGTCAACTAGAAAACTGTGTAGACAAATTTAGTAGTTTACTTCCATTGAGATTAAAAGATTTAATTGATATGATGGATAAGACACAAGAGATTGAACACAATCTCAGCGAAATTACTGAGCGATTGAAACAAATTGAAGATAAGCAAGGTAGAATTTTGTTCAATAATGACGTTAACACCTGGGAAGGTTCTCAGTTATGCCTTGAGGTAAGCTGTTGTTTTGTTATATAATAAAAATACGACTATATGGGCATCAGTTATTTCACCAAGTAAGCTATTATTAGAATTCAGTGGAACATTTTAAATAAGTCTTTTTTCTGCCGATGTAACTCCCGAATAAGCAGGACACCACTGAGTCACCTATGTTTGTTATGTCCAATCAGGGTAATACTTTTGTCAAAATACTTATATCTTGTGCTAAGCCCATTCGTAACTCTATTCAATTAATTAAAACATTCTGACATCAGATTTCTGAAGGCTATTTTTCACTATCTAATTTTTACAGAATAAATCGCTGTATTTAGGATGGGTAGGTTTCGTCGAATATTTTTACTGGTGTTTTGCTACAGTTCTCAGAAGTTCTAATGAGAACAATGATTTACTTGCCACTGGCAGTGGCACTGGAAAAAGGAATGATTCTGTGGTGATGAACATATCCAAATATTCAAGTATTCTCAGTAGTTTGACCTTCTTTGTGTGAATCAGCCTTTCAGATGGTGGAAAGTTAGGCACATCCACAGCAAAACTTTCAGTATTACAGTGGACATTACACTTCGTATAGCCTTAGAAAATGGGTGAGATTTACAAGTTTCCTTTGAAGTAACAACTATACACTGTGACAGCCTTGAATATGAAAAAGCAAGTAGTTTTAACAAGAGAACTCTTTTCTTGATCTCATTCCTAAAGAAGTACGTTTTCAGTTGCATTCAATATTCTCGTTTGAACTTATTCAAACTGTTCAACAGCTAGGATACATCTTAGGACTTGTTAACACATAAATTATTACCGTTCGAATTGAATGCCAGAAACAGAATTTCACAGAAAGGGGATACAAACGTCTAAGTTTGTCGAATGACGTGCATAACATAATGTCTTTTTACACAGTGAATTTATACCAATAGAAGTATGGGGAGAAAAATATTTGGTATTACGTAGCGAAAGCAGCCAAAGAAATGGTAATTTCGTAACTTATAGATTAGAATTATAGGAGATAAGTTTGTCTAGGCAGTTTTATAGGCAATGCTTATGATTCCCTAAATTAATAGCAATACTTTCAGTGCTGCAACGAAGTAAAAGATATGTTGCTTTTTTACGTAGTGTGACATAATTTGATCATGTTGACCGTCTAAACTATATGCCTTATTTTTAGTATCAACCAAACAAGTAGGATACTTTTGCTGAACTCGTAAGGAAAGAACTCGTATGAACGATTTATACAAATAGTAGCATATGAACACGTGAAATTGAGAACTTGTACGGAAGTTGTTTCATGTGGTACCTTTTTAGGTTGAAAAATAATTGGTAGCTAAGAAAAAGTACTGTCAACGTTGCTAAGAAGAATATTCTTATCAGCGATTGAATCACCTATGGATTTCAAGATGGTAAAAAATCACTTCTTCCACACAAATGCATTTTCCTCTTTCTGAGGTTTGAACTTCTTGGTTTGACTGACAAATTTTTAGTTGACGATCATTTTTTAGTCAGTTTTCTTAAAAGATTTTTCAACCGTTGTTGAAAAACAGAGTTGTTAATTCATTGGACGATACAAGAAAATTATGAGGCTGAATTTCTTCCAATGGGAAGTTGTCTTTAAGCTTACTATCTAATAATCTTGTGTAGGCTTTTGGTGCAATGACCTCTTCAACAATGAGTCTGATTGACTACTGCAACACCAAATTATCCAATAAATCTTACTTTTTTGTGATTATTTCAATATGAAATCTGAAGTTAATTTCTCAAGCTCCAGATATAATGAAGTAGATATACTTTAATGGTTAGGAAGAACAAAGTACTTAGATAACCTTTATTGATGCTAAATCGTTTGTTATTTCTATTCAATACGATAAGCTTTTCCTTATAGAATGCCTTCTTGGTTTTTCTTAAAACAAGTTTAACGACTGTCGTGGACATTTAACGTTTGTCAATGGTCAAGTGAATGATTTAGAACGTGCACTCAATTTACAGAGTAGCCGTGGGATAGCAGTTTTAACCAGTTCACAGTTGAAGAATTGCATGCTGATATAAAAAGCTGAATGAACGCTTAACTGTAAGTATTGTATGAATACAAATTATACACAGTATAAGATTCGAAATTTTAATATTCGAAATTAGCCTTTTAGTTGACAAAGAAAATTCACTAGCTGACGTTATAATTCTTAGCTATGGTTATTTGCACTGGTCTCAAGTTCGTAACAATTTGTGTACTAAGTCACATTTAAGTTACGATTACGGCACCATCCTGTTTATTAAGTTTCGGTAAACAGGAAACAGTTAGAAATGATTCATAATAATAACAAAAGCAACTCGCACAAATCCTGTTGTTCTTTCACACACGGGTATATGCATATCCTAATAAACAGAATAGCTTGTTTAATATCTGAAAATTTAGTGGTAACCTAAATTTGTTCCCTAGAAAAATAATTAAATTGTCAGTCATTGTACATTTTTGAGAAATTTGTCAGCACCAAGAAATATTACTATTATTATTATTTGTCCCTTGGGTTCTTAACGGAACATACGGATTCAGTAACACGTCTCCCTTTCACTCTGTCCAACGCAGTCTTTCCAAACTGGCTCCACCACTGCACACAAGCCTTCATTTCTTCCTCACATGACTTCCTCCATGTCACCCTCATCTAGGATGCCCAAATCATCGTTACCCATCTGGGATCCACTCGAGGGCATGACTTGGAGCGTGATGTCCCCAATCGGTCTTCTCAGAGTATGTCTGATCCAATCTATCTCCACCTTCCTCTGCATATTTGTTGAGTGATGGGTTCTTGGTTGGTTCGTCCCTAACACGACTATTGCAAAAGGTTTAGAAGGAAGGAAGGAAGGAAGGGAGGCAGGAAAGACACCTGCCGAATGATTGGAAGAAGGGTTACCTTGTCAAACTCCGAAACAGGGGGAGACCTAAGTTATTGCAAGAAAAATTGGTGGTGCGGAATCATGCTCGTCTCTCACGCACCCAGGAGAAAATATTAAGCCGCATCATCCTGGAGAGGCGAGAAGAGGCTCTGCATTCTAAATTACTACCAGAACAGGCTGGCTGGCTGGCTGGCTGGCTGGATTCACGAAAACCAAATCATGTCCACATCAAATTGCAACGCTACTCTACACAACACTATAGAACAGAGCACAGAATGGCAGTCAACTCAACTCAACCCAACCTCAACTTGATCGACTTTGAAAAGGCCTACGACCGAGGCGTCGACTGACAAGTAATTTGACAGACAACTGCTTCAACACCACGGTTTTAGTGCCGAAATCCTTCATCGAAGTTATTCAACACCAGCTATATGCTATGCTATATGACGCTACATGCCAAGTGATTGACAATGGAGAGCTCAATGACACCTTCGAAGTGAAGACAGGGGACAGGAGTGAGACAAGATTGAAGCCTACTATTCCTCATGATCTTCCTGATTGTGGTCGACTGGACTGGACTGGACTGAACTGGATCATGCAACAGACGACTATGAGGAGCTGTGAGAAGAGGGGCACACGCTGGCTGGACAGATGAAAAGACCCTAAAAAGGAGAAGATTTGGATTTCGCCACCGATGATCATTTATGTCTAATGTCTTGTTTCACAAACTCGAAGATCTACAGGCAAAGACCAACAAGTTGACAGAAGAGGTGAGGCAGCGAGGATGGGGCTTTGTTCAGGTGAATGTAGAGAAAGAAGACAGAGGTGATGAAGATACTCAACCAACAACAGCAGCAACTACAACAAGGCGAAGAAGAAGCACCAACCACCATGAAGGGGGGAAATGTAAAGGAAGTTGTCTCTTTCACCTACTTGTCTACCTAGACAGCATCGTTTCAACTACAGGTGGGGTCCGTGGTGGTGGCGGTGGCGGTGGCTCAGATGAGGAAGTCAGAGCCAGGATCGGACAAGCAAGATAGGCCTTCCTGCATTAATCTGAAGTCAGTGTGGAGATCTACTGCACTGCACTGCACTCAGCATGAAGGTTGAACAAGAGCTGGATTTTCAACATCCACGTCAAGTTAGTGCTTGTATGTGACTGACTCATTGACTGACTGACGTGAAGATCTCCCTTGCAGTCTCACGCATCACTCCCATTTTAAGGTGGTTGTTCAACTTGAACTCTGGCCGATGATCACCAGCCTCTTTGAAGTCTTCCAACTTGATTTTGAATACAGGTTCCTTGCACTAGATAGTCGTGTGAGTGGTGTGAGTGGTGTGAACCCACATCTCCTCCTCTTCTCGATCTGATCTTGTGTCCAGTGAGCTGCGTATCCACTTCCTTCACGTTGTGAAATCAAGTCGATGTGATTTTCAGTATGTCCTGGTGTCTGGTGAAATCAAATCCACGTCTCTCTCTACCTTGTGAACGTCCTTGTGTTTGTACACACTGCCACACCTCCAATCACCAAATCGTTGGATGCGTAGGAGTCTGCAAACACTTCTCCGTTCTCATTCATCACTTCACCGAGTGCTTCTCGACTCATGCACAGTTCTCTTCGTGTGTTGTCTGCTCCCAGTTTGGCATTCATGTCAATTTGGATGTGACCATTGCCAAGTGGTGTGGCGTCTTATCCATTACTGATTGCAGTTGTCTATGGAATTCCTCCTTCTTCTCTTCTTCTCTTCATCTGCGTTATTTGTCGGTGTGTAGCATAGCATAGCATAGCATGGCATGGCAGAGCACAACATTGTGTGATTGTGACTTTGCTTCCTTCCTTTTGATTTGAATCTTGCTGTCATGATGCTGATGCTGCAGGAGGAGATTGATTCCCACCATTATGAGAGAGAGAGAGAGAGCCTTCGATGCTGTTGGGGACACGATGATAACCACTGGAAAACTCAGTGTGCTCGTGGTTGTCGTCTGTGTGACGATATCGAATAGACTATTGACTATCCGGTTGACAGATTGGGGAGTCCATTTCCATTCGATCTGGTTTCACAGATTCCTAACACTTCTCATTTCTTTTGCAATCTGGACAGGCTCGCTAGCCAGCCAGCCAGCTTCAAACATTGTGTGGACATTGCATGTCGCTGTGTTTACTTTTACTTTGATGGAGAGAAGAGAAGAGAAGACACATTGGTTAATTGGCCTCCCGAAGGTAGGCATTCAGGCAGGCTTTCAGCAACCGGGGTCATTTTGTCTGGTGGATTCCAGTGAGGAATAATTTGATTTTTATTTTTAATATTTCATGTGTGCTTTGAAGTTAGTTTAGCGATTGGATTTGTTTTATGGGGTAGGGTTGTTAGGCGTATGTCCAACCTTCCCTCTTTATCCGGGCTTGGTTTAGGCTGGTAACTAGTGAAGTAGTAAAACATGTGAGGTTCTGCATTAGGAATGCTTGCCAACATTTCACACACGTTCTTCTAGATTGGAACACTTCGCATTCATTTGGTTTTCAGTGTGGTTATCAGGGTGTTCTTGAAATATATCGTTCTCAAGCATTCATGTTGTGGTCTTTTTAATTCACGTAGTTGTTAATCGAATTACTAGCAGCGGTCACTGGACTTATAGTATGCACAGATTTAACGCAGTCTCTCACATCGTGTTCTATTAAAACCGATGTTTGCGCTAGCGAAAGAAAATCTCCACTATACACGTTAAGTATTCAGACGGATTTGATTTAAATAATATTCTATTGAATGTTGGCGATGCATTCACTACCTTATTAATGTGCAGTTTGTATCAGATAGCTCTTCATGTAGTCTTTATTAACTTAATGGAATTTAGTACTTACAATAAAGGGTATGAAGCAAGTAATAAGGTGCATCTAGGTGATGGTGATAATGTATGTGAGTGATCAGTTGTATGGACCACTCAAAAGTAATTACTCACCGTTCTCTCGTTATCAGTGTTTTTCTAACTGACAGCAGTTAACTTAGAAGCCTTTATAAAAAGCAAAATGGACAGTGTAGAAAGGTAGAAATACAGTCATTCAGATCGCGTAGTAAGTTTATTAGTGTCTAGTTGCTTAAAATAAAATTTATTGTTTACTTTAGTACTATCTGAGTATTTATCGAGAGTAAATTTTTTTGATTTCATAAAGTGTCATCAAATTCCTCATGGTGGAATCTCAGTGAAATACACCATAAAACTAAACACTGTGTGATAACTACTTGCATATTGCCATTTTTTTGCTTCATGCCTAGTAATAAACTGATCATAAAAACTAGATAAAAAATTTCTGCTCTGCGAATTGAAACCTTGTGATAATGAGTTGAATTTGGCTCGATAACCTGTTCCATGTTACTACATGGACTTTACGGTCTTCCATAAATAATTGCCTTAGCTTCAACCGTAGCTGATGCAGAGTTTATCGAGTCAAAAAATAGCGGAAATTGATATCCATACAGAAACAACGTAAAATTCTAGCCTTCATGAACCGAATTGACAGTGTACTGAAGTAAGCTATTTGTAGCGTCTTCTTATAGTAGTTTCAGAAAAGCCTGGAAAGCGATTTTGAATATCTTAATGCGCCTAATTACCGATGTAGGGACATATGAATACAGAACTTTGAACGAAAGTGAAACACTTACACAAATCATAGCAACACGTAAAGTCTGAAAGAACAGAACCAGAATAATATTTAAACAAACCAAGAGGTAATGAATCAGTGTGGGTGAGTAAGGTGTTCGCAAGTTTGAGGATGATGGAGAGTGAGGACATCTTTAACACTGTTATTGATTTGCCGACATGCCACAAAAAGTCTCCAACCATTGGTTCCTAACATCTCGAAGATCCAGGACTGGCACTGAAAATTTCCTGGATTGATGCCATATGTTCGTTTGGCCATCATCAGGACCCAGCTAATTAAGTCAGAATTCTATGAACACCGAGTGTCGAGAAATGCATTAACTCAGTTTGAGTAAAGCAAATCTCAAACACTTCAGTCACTAAAGGTTCAAAACCCCATTGACTCACATACCCTGCTTTCCTAGTACTCTGTCTCTAACCTAGACTTTTCTCAAATTGTTGTCCCACTGCAAACAGGCAACGGCATTTGGACATCTATAGTTAATTGCCTATAACCTCATATATTCCATCTTCAGTGGTTATGGCTCATATTCGTATGTTAAGACCCAATGAACCAATGAGCAGCATACCCTTCGTTTGTTCTATAATCGATACCTCATCGGTGGTGTGTATGGCATCGGTTGACAAAAACCAAACGAGTTGTCCATATCTAGGGTGAAATTTTATCATCGGTTGGTCACAAGGGTTGATCCAATGTTCCCATGTAAAACGGGTGGCCAACTCAGTCCAAACTTTCACTTCATATCATTAAAGTGGGAGTCGAGGACTCCAAGAATTCACCAATACTTGAAAAAATTATTTTAAAAGGGTGGTGAAACGTTCCTGCCTACCATTATTTCTCCTACTCAATATCTAAAATAACCATTTACTTAGATTCTTGTTACCAGTATTAACTTTATAATCTAAATTCCATTTGGCTTTTTTATGTTTTTCAATTTGTAGAGTATGGAGAAGATAATTAAGCGTGAAATAACCTACAAACAGTCAATTAAAGAAGCATTCACAAAGTTCAAACAACAGATGGACGAAATAAAAGAAGCTTTGAAAGACTTAAAGTCTGTAGTATCAAATGGTGGTATCAGAAAAGAAGAGTTGGTTAATTTGTTAGATAATTTAAAAGTGAGCTGATAATGTTTGCAGTGCAAGTTTCTAAACCGTGCAATGCATCTGAATTCTTTATTCATGAGAAACTATCATGACAAGAAGTAGATCCTGAAGGATATTTGTTACAAAATATCATCCTTTTTTCATTTATTATCCTGTCAGTCGACTGAAAACAACCGAGTATCAAGCATACTGAGTCGTAGTCTCTTGTCATTTGACTTACTAGTAACAATGGAAACCTTTTTGTTAGACTACAGTCAACTGAAAGGATTTGGCAGCTACATAACTTGACATCCCCTTACAGAACATTGTACATAACTTGGTTGTAAAGGGGATCAGTCAAAAAATGAATAACTTGGTGATAAAGTTTCTAACAAACAACCATGGAACCCAGATTGGATGAGGTTTTCTAACGACTGATTTGCAAGACATAAAACAAACGCAGTTTGCTACTATTAGTCTCGAATTATGTGCCTGGTGTTTAATGTAGCAACTCTTGTTATCAACCAACTTGAAAGCTATCGTCAATCTGTGAGATGAGATCCATCACTACTTCTGACAAACATCTATGTAAAAGTATACTTTCCTTCGCTACGGTCCGGTGAGTAATGTTATCAGATGCCATAACTCCACTTTAGTCGTGAGCCTCTCTATATGTTAGTTAACAAAAGCGTCAAGGAATTTGTCCCTAAACCCCACAAACATTTCTTCTAGGATACCGATATTGCATCGGACAGGCTCCAAGATAATAAGTATTCGATTTACTATAACCGTGAAGATGACAAGAGAATATGGAGGTAAATGTGGGCGTAGAAGCTGAACAATGTAGTAGTAGTTCAATATTAGATTTTATTGTCCTACAGAGCAAACAATAAGAAAGCATTATTTCCAAAATATATGTTTACCGAACCGCTGCATAATTAACTAATAGATCACTGTAGATATTTGGAAAATTCAGTTACCAATGAAAATTAGAAGAATGCTGGTTTCTTGAACTGCATAGACAAAGATTAAAAGTTGTATTGTTTAACTTAGGGTATGTATAGACTGTTGACTGTGTTCGAAAATTCATCCCGAACATATCAGGCAATCATCTAGCGCCACATTAAGCTAACTAATCGAATATGTAATTTCAAACTATTAACTCCACTATTATTAAACGTTAATGATCACATATTTCTCGTTTACGCAGCGTATAGGTAAATTCTTCTTTATCATGCTAGACTCATTATTTACTGGCTTTTCATTCTAAGGTGATCATTTCAAATCACGGGTGGTGTCTTGTCACTAAGTGACTGAAATGCCTCACAATTTTCCTCACTTCTATGTGTTTTTTTGTAGACACTACGTTTCAAATACTTAGAAAATGTTAAAGCCAATGAGAAACAGTGTCAGAATTTCCTGAATTCGGCTTCATCTCACGGTGACAACAGTTTGGTGATTGATGAAATGAAAACAAAAATATCTCAGATGGTAATGAAGTTATAAATGATTTTAAATTTTTTCACCAACCTTTCTTTTTCAAAAATTTAAATGTACGAATTAAATTTTACTTGGTAATTAGTGATATGTGTATATCACACCACGAGCTCTTGTAGAACCACGTGTAACAGACATTCGGTATGCGTTTCTTCCAAGAGGACATCAGAGTTCTGTTTTGGATAGCTGTTGAGATGTCTCAGTACATCTGTCGAAATTCTATGCATCTCATTCAACCAATCCATAGGTGTTTTCCATAGTCCAATAACTAATGAACTCAATGTTGACAGTTATCTTACATAAGCAACCAGGCAACTTGAAGATGCTTCACTTCTTTAAGAAACAAACAGTGATGAAGTCACCTAGCCTGGTGGTGAAACGTTCAAAAATATCTTCAAATCTCGGAGATTATTCTCATCTGGAGCTACAAATCTTCTCTGCATCCGGTATTATCATCATCGCTACCTAGCTACTACAGGAAACCGACTTTGCTAAATTTATACGTTTTAATTACCATCAGAGTGTGTACATATTTATATAAGACTATATATGAGGGGTGATGCTAATTCTTGGAGGTGAAATTATTTCTATCCACTCCTTTCAGTTATTTATATGACCGTAATCGTATCAAAGTGATTATTAATCACTGACATCAACTTTTGTAAATTCAGGCAAACAATAATCTCATCTGAAACAGTTGACCCGTTTTATTAATTTGGACAGTGTAATTAGAAGATGAAGTTTATCTGAACAATGCGATACATTCCAGTAATACATGCCAAGCAGTCTGATCACACATGTACTTCTCAAGTCAGTTTATATAAAGCCTAAGAATAGAAGGACAAATAGAACCGAGAAAGATAAGAAAGGGAAGAATGATATATTTAATCCAAATCTTGGTATGGAAATAAAGTTTACTTAAATAGGCAGTGTAAGAACAGATTGTGTTTGATTTGTCGAGTAGAGGAGTGATCAAATCTTTCAAAACACACTATCCAAATACATCACATTGTTTAGATAAATTTCGTCTTTTAACTACACTGTCCAAATAATTCCGTTAGCAGTTGCATACAAAAGAGAAAACATCTTACACTTACAACTTAGTAATAACATTGATGTCCATAGCAGTCACGGAAGACGTTGTAGATTGGTAAACTTATTCTTTCTTGATGCATGCATTAGTACTAATGATGTGATCGAAGTCTATTTCAGCACTAAGATTATTGATACTAGGTGTGTTTGAAGGTAGGATAGGAGCCCAGGGTCTTCAGATTATTGATTCAGTTGTCTAGACAACATCAGCATTAACTTTAGCATGAACAGAAATGTTTAGGTTTTCTAGGAAACACCATAAGAGGAAAATGATTCCCTGTTAAGTGGAAATTAGTATTAAGGGAATTCATGTAACAGTTTGGTGAGTAACATTTCGGCTTTGTTCAGCTTATGAAAGCCCTGGATAGAAACGAAAACGACATGTTTATCAGTTACCAACACTTGCCATATCTGACATCAGTGAGGCATTCGATCACCTAATAAAAGAAGAATATACAACGCAGGAGTTCAACCTGATATTTTGTACAAATATGCGAGATAGCCGTTCAAATTAGAAGTGGTGAGAATGCTACAAGTTTTCAATCATAAGTACCTCTATAGCACTGATAGCATGTGGTGGGGCCACCATGTGAAGAATATTGATGTCAGCCGTAAAGTAACAGGTACGGAGAGGAGGGTGTGAACCTCCACTGAATGTTGCAGTTTAGTTGTTATTAGTAAGTGATAGCAATTGGCAATCGGCTCTGGGTCCAGGTTTTGTGCTCACTGGCACTCATCAGCAGGGCGTATCTCCACACTTGAAGATTGGAACCCGCACCATCCACTGCTGCCGTCAAAAATGCAATCACTAAGCTATTCGGGCCACAATTAATCACCTGTAAGACTGGTTCAGATAAATTGACTGGTAACTGGAGACTAAATGATTTCATGTTGTCCAAACTTGATTCCTGACTAATTCTACCTTTCATTTTCAATGAAGTCACAAAGCTAGCGGATTCGGCATGCACTCAGTTATATGTTAGTTGGTTGGAGTCGGTTGACAGGAAGCCCTAGACATGAGTTTCGTGCTAGTTTACACTCGTCAGAAAGGTTGTATTTTGCTCATACTTAGCCAGTGCATACGTTTGATGCATATTGCTTATAAAGCTGCGATTTAAGTAGCAGAATGCTGATAGTCACCAAACGAACACATGGTATCAGTTCACAAATCCTTTGACTGTCAGTATGCGGTATAAGAAATGGCTTAATTGTCAGTGCTGGGATCCTCGAGGTGTTAGGAGTCATTGGTTAGAGACTTTTGGTGACATGTCGGGAAATCAGCAATAGTGTCAAAGATGTATTCACTGTAAGTGATCCTCAAATTTGTGAATACTTTACTAACTTCCGCTGATGCATTACCTTTCGGTTTGTTTGGATGTTATTCTGTTTCTGTTCACTCAGCGTTTGCATTTCGTTATGATCTGTGTGTTTTACTCCTGTGTAAAGTTGTGATTTTATTTACTATTTATTTATATCTGTCTATCTTTCGACTTTGTCTTAATCAGCCTAACTTAAGGGAAGACACATTTATACTCTACTATTGATATTTAGCACTTGATAATGGGTGATATTAGCTTACGATTGGCTTATCCACTTTTACTAGATTGCACAGCTTCTATGTTACCCCTGAATCGTAAGATAGATTTTAAATGGAGAATGTGAACAGCGTTTGTGTTCTCTAAGGTGTGCCATTTAACTTTTTAGCTTTATTGTCTCTCTTCTCATCATGTCAATACTAACAACGAACTATCGAATGAGTGTTGACTTTCAAAGATATGATGATCCAAGCCTAAAGTGGATCAATGCATGAAGGTGCTGTGCGCTTTGTAACTCAGACAAACATTACCTCCTATCAAAAATGGTAATTTGACTTTGGTGGATGGATACACAGCAAACATTCTTCTTCACATATTCATCATGTCATATTTTGAAGCCTCTAATGAATAGAAGTTTATCTTTAATTGTTAAAATTTTCACATGTTTCTGTACATATTGCTGTTGAGGATACTAGTGGACACCTGATATGTCTCTATTTGCTTTATGCTGATCTGGCTATTGTGACGAATAATAATGAATATACCATTCAGACGAACATCTAAAAAAGAATGTGGACATGTCTGATGACACGGATGCAAAATATCAGCATTTTCATGAATTCTGTTGCGTTTTGAATCGAACAACTTCTTGGTTGGGTGTTCGGGTAGTAATAATGACTGATTTCTTATTGGCTATTGATGGGTACTTGATAATCCTAGACCTAAATCCAGTGACACCAATAAACTGTCTGTTAGATGCAGTGCGACAGCATTTTTACAAGAATATACTTTCCCCAGTACACTTAATGGAAAGTTAGAAGATTGAAGACAGATGTCTATTCGGCATAAAAGGATAGACTGTATAATAACAAAAATAAAACTCGGTTAATGAAGCTATTTAAAAAACAGGATTCATCATAACTTTCATTCAACCTTATAATTTCCTATGCTTGCTGAACGCTTATTCACACAATCAGCTTGAGAACACCAGTCATCTGCACTTACTAGAATAGAAACCAAACACTCTTGGATGGAGTTTTTGATGTGACTGACTTACTACTTAACAAGTTTTCATAAGACAATAGACATGTTTCCCCGCTACTCCTCATGGGCATTGATGATAAACTTACTAAAACATGCAGTGAACCATATTCATATCTATATCAGACACCATAATGAATTTTGTAGGTGATCTAAGCTTGATACGAATTTAAGTTGTGAAAATACGAGAGTTCTCTAGAGTAAAATAATCTAAATAACTTTTTCGGAAAAAAACAATTTTTATTAGTGTAAGTTTTGAAATTCAACATTCCTGAAATAGTAAACAATGAGGTAGGGTAGAATAAAGGTCTTGAAGACTATCGTAGTTAGGTGGAGAATGAGATTAATGACTGCATTTTTGTTGAGCAAATTAACGTCTAAAGTGTGTCACAGAAATTATTCTGAGTTTTTTTACCTTTGCGATAAAGAAAGGGAAAGAACAAGAGACTTATCATGCATTTCTGAGAGTTGCCCAGATACAGTGGAAAACGTTATCCAGTAAATAACAGTACCATTGTATGATATATCAAATAACTTTTATCAATGTCATTTCACATTTCTTTATGTACTTTAGAACAGCGTCAAGCAGTTTCCGGTCTCAAGTATTGACTGATATTTGACTAAGCGCTTTCCACCTTTTGTCATGGGCGTAGTCTGTTACATTTGAGTATTAAACAGACATTTCATGTTGACTGGACATGGGCGTTGGTTACCTTTGTTTATTTTAAAACGAGAACATTTCAGGCTTTTTTTGAGTTGTGTAGTGACTTAGTAACAGAAATGTGAATTATGTTCAACTGTATGTAATTTAAGCTGTTGCTTTTCGCTTACTTGATGTGGAAGTATTCTGAGTGTAGTGCGCAATCACAGGTTTTAATCAATGAATCATTCCGGAGTGGTCAGCAGATGAATAAAAAAACTTCTAAATGCTGATTACCAAAAGTATTTGATTATAATTTCATACTAAATTAGTAGTTTATTGCATATTACAGTCTCAGTTTGTAAATTAAGACATCTGATAGACATTTTACTCCGGCACTGGATAATAGCTTCTGACAAGCAACGCAAAGTGATGTTGAAATAAAACTGTAGAGCTGAAATTTACAGTGGCAAATATATCAGTGTTCAGCTGGAAACCATCACCTTCCATGGAACTACCCTGTGAAATTTTGCTATTGGTCGCACCTGACTTGGCAGTTGATTGTCTGCTAATCATTTCATAAAATATTTCACTCGATATACTTGTATCCTGAGTTAGAATGACAACAAGTACAGAATTACTATTAACTAAAAGGGTAGTTAACACCTTCTGCATACTGTTTGTTTTGTAATTCCTCAGCACAGTGGATCTATGTTATTCTCACAAGTATCCTTTGACCACTTATCATTTTCATACATTTTTCTAGAAAAACGAAATGAATGAGCAATGTCAACAAATCGATAAAGATTTGCAAGGTTTAGATGTTCAGATAAATAGATCTCTTAAAGAAGCTCATGATGCCGAAGAGAAAACGAACAAGGCAGATCAGTGGTTAGTTAATCAAGAGCGTCGTCTTACAGCTTTATCATCCGGACCATCGAACCCATCAAATGATCAGGTGGATAATGTGTCAAATAGAATAAAATGTCATCAACAATGGGTTGATGAATGTAAGGTATGTGGATGCCTTTATAATATATATATATATATATATATATATATATATATATATATATAAACGCCGTTGTTTTTCATTAATAAGGTTATATTTCTTTCAGTCAGTAAGCTAAATAACCTAAAGATGAAGTGTAAGTTAACACAGTGGTTATCGACAAGTCTATGTGAAGAATATCTAAACCTCTTAAGGTATCGCCACTCGTCATATCAACCAGTTAGGCAAATCAAAGTTTGTTGCCCTTTAACACCGTATGATATATTTCTCAGGTCAAATTACTGAATAACAGCTACCCGGATTAAACTAAACTCCTAGTAAATGTCACCTTAAGAAAAAATTAACTCACGAAAAAAGTTCATGAACTGAGAACGTGATGACTGCGAATTCCTGAACTCCACTGACTTAGACTACAAGTCACCACAAACAGGACTCCTAGTAGTTGTTTCCTTTCCCGTTGGTCAGTGACTGATTGTTGTAATACACTTTCTTCATAGTGAAACGTTATGGCAGTGGAAAATTGAATGAAGGTGAATAAAATAATGGTCACTTCATTTATGGTAGGAAATGAACAGATGGTCTATTTTAAATTCATTTGAAAACAGAAAAACTGGTAACCTTCGTAAATAGATTGCTGACAATTTCATCGAAGTATTTTGCTGTAAAAGTATTCTCAGTGATGCCAAGTCATTTAACTAATTGTTGTCGTTTATTATGTAAATGAACAACTGAAATTGCAGACACATATGCTTTAGTGGAGATGATTCTCTGTTTAACCATCTTACTTAGCTGTTAAGACAAATGCGGTTGCCAGGATCCGAATCACCTCCTTAAAGTTCGATACCCAAGTTCTGATGGAAAGTAAATACATCAAGACAACTAAACGAGAAGTGGAAATCCATTCTTTGAATGATGTTGAGGCTCAGTTATATTGATGAGTCTTTGCTTGAGTGAAACATGTGATTAACGCAGTTATCTTGGCTAAATTATACTCACTGAAGATTATTTGTAACAGGCATCTGATTTGCATGAAAAAGATAGCTTCTATATGAATGTTTGTAGCTTTTCTCCTTAACTATACATTTAAATGTTTGATTAGGCCATAAAAGAATGAAGACTTCAGCGAACAAGTTTGTTTTCACTAAAATACCATCCTTTGTGCGGATTAAATGAATTTATATGCAACCTTACAGCTACAGAGGATGATATTGCCGAAAAAAAATTATTTCCTTTGTAATCTTTACTCTTTTATAACTAGAAAATCACTGATCATTCCCAAGTTTCAGAATTTAAATTATCTAAAAGATATGTTCCAAATGACTGTTTTGTGTATTCGAATCAACTGCATACTGCGTATGTGAATAACTCTCCTTGTTTTATTTCAATCTAACTTTCTAGACTTTTATTACAAGCATAAAAAATCAGTCGAAAAAAAATGAAGTATTCGCTAGACGAGAAGACATTGATTCGGTATTTGAAATCAAAAAATCTCCCTTTTCAGATTTAGTTGAAGTGATGTGCAGTCGACTGGAACGTCTAGAAGATGATGCAAAAGTAAGATAATTTTCATTATTATAACTGTATCTTATTGGCTATGGAGATGTGTTTCAAATGTCTTTCCTCCATTACAGAAAACATTTTGTACACTTAAAATGTCAGTGTTAAGTGGAAGGATTCATCCAAACGGATGCATTGATATCTTCTGCTTGGCGCCCAGCAAAGTGCACTACAGTTTTCAGTCAGCTAGTGAACTTCATCTCTAGACTTTAACTGGAACTTAGGACTTGACAGGACTGGTTCATGCATCTCAATGTTTTCAAATATGTGGGGATCAGGATCGCATCTAGTTTACCATTTACAAATATTCTGATATCTTGGAATGGATTAACGAGATATTGTTTATTGAGATAGTAGGGGATATTTTAGCTCGGGATGAGGATGATAACTATTACTTTAGACAGAGGAAAATGAGGAAGAAGTCACCTAACCTGATGATGAAATCTCCAAGAGAGATTCTCAATTCTCGGAGAACTCCAAACAATAATATTCTTTATTCTTGAGAGTCTTTTTATAGTAGATTTTCACTGGTCTTCTTTTCATGTTCAACCATTTAAACAATTAGTGAATTGAAGGCAGGCTATCGTAAATTCTGTTCAGACGGTTAGCAGTTACAGCATACTATCCTATAGCAAAATATTATATTTAGCTGATGAAAGTTTGCTGGATGTAACTGCCTGTCAGATTTTCATGTTCCTTCTGGTGATCCACTTTCTATTCCGGATGTCAGCACTCTGAGAATACTCTAACACTTCTATGTGTACAGAAAGTGAATAGTATTAAATATAATTTGTGTAGTGGTTCGATTATATTGAAGAAATTATTTTATGCTTTGATAAGGCTTTTCGCTAAACTATTGGATTCAGCTGGGGTGATCGGTGAAAGTCATCTTTTTTAGGGGATGTTTTTATAACCGATGAAGTTAGTAGTTTTATGTATACAGACATGATGCACATCGTTTGAAATGTACAGGAATTCCATACTCAATATTAATTGATTTTACAGGTTCATATCCTGGCTTATCTTTAATTCAGTAGTAAGATAGGTAACTAAATCAGAGAGCAGCATGGATATTACGTATAGTAACGACCAGCTGTCGGTAGGTTTTCGCCTAGCCTGTAAATGTTTTGTTACAAAGGGGCTAATAAAGAAAACAGGTATAAGTTTGGTGGTGATTGTCCATTCAGATAACACGAGAATGTGGAGGAGAAAGACGTGACCCGATGATTATTCTTACTTTTGAGAATAAAAAACTGCCAGCAACGTTTGATGACGCACAAGGAGAAAACAAGCTCATCTGGATATCGAAACTGGGAATTAGTTATTAAAGTTTGAAATGCCTTATTGCATGTTACAACTTAAGATAAAGATATTAGCAAAGAGACTGAATTACTTGGTCTTATAAGTATCAAAACTGAGGGTTCGGATTCGATTTATGGTTATTGTTATTATTTATTAACAACAGAAATGATGTTCAAAAGCACTTACAACTCTTTTCATGACATTTCCAACGACTGTATTTTGTTAAGAGAAAAATAATCCAAGTGTCCTCAAGAGTTTAAGGAAGATGAAAAAGTCAGAAAAAAGAAGACAGTAGCCTAAACAGATTGAATCTCAAAAGATGAGCGCAGCAACCTAATATTCAATTATATGGAGAACATCAGTTTGGGATCAGCCTGTTTCATGAAGTTTTGAAGAAAGCTATTTGGGGTTTGTTTTAAGCGACAGTACCTAGGTTGAATAAGAAGCATTTACCAGACTCTTTTTTCTTTGAAGAACAAACAAAAACATTGATTAACACCAGGCATATCTCATAAGTCACCAATAAACTAATTAATCGCATCACAATCAATGTCTTCCACTACTAAACTAAAAAGGTAGGCTACATTTACCGGCTCTTAATTTTGTAAGTTAATGGGTTGAGTCACTAACTAGAGAATTCAACCTCAGAAAATCCTAGTTAGTTCAAGTCAGTAAAGGTTTTCTGCGCTTTGAACAATATTCATATGAATTCGTCAATCAGTAGAATGCAGTACAACTCTAAGTATTCAGAAATGAAGTTCATTGAATAGGCTTGCAATGAGGCCAGTAAACCAAGCGATGCAATACTGGATTGCAATATAATTTTGTGTTGATTCCCAAGACTTAACCCCTAGGAACTGCTAGACCTAGGTTATGTGTTTGTTGACACTCGTCAGCAAGATTTATCTATCATACTTAAGAAAGTCATTCTGACAATGAATTTGATTTAGGTGTTAACTATCACCTAGTAGGTAACACTTGGTGAGCACTTCTAACTTCTAGCGAGAACCATTTTCCCTATCATCAATGAGTTGACAAATATCTTTCATCACTTAAATCAGATCGGGAAAGTAAAAGATAGAATCGCTTGAGTGATGAAAATAATCGAGTTTATATGTGAAAAAGAGGTGAGAACGAGTCATTTCATATAATGAGTTCAAGGGTCATAGACTGTGAGTAAGCTAAGTCCTGAACGACGAAACCACCATGTGGTGCAAAGGTCACTTTCATCTGGCGAACGAGATCTGCTGATGAGCATCAGTGGCTTTAGGCCTCCGATGCATTTCGGTGTTACATTTTCGTACGATCAGAAAGACTACTATGTCTTTGGTTGTTGTGTTTTGTTGGTTGACACCAGTTTATTCTCAATAAGTGGACAAACAAGTTTTGTTTTTACTTACTTTTACTTACTTACCTTACTAAACACTCCCAAAAATCTAATGCCTTCGAACTTTCTTGTGATTAAAAGGACAGATTTGAGTACATGATAGTTCTTCGTGGTTACTGGATGATAGCATTCAACAAGTTGTAGAAACAAGGTACGTCCAGTTTCATTATTCGTATAAGAATGCTAAGGGGTATAACTCAGTAGCGAAAGATAGATTCCATTCCCTACTGCGATGCAATTATCATTATTATTCATCCCTTGGGTTCGGCTTCTCCATTTCACTCTGTCCAACGCAGTCTTTCCAAACTGGCTCCACCACTGCACACAAGCCTTCATTTCTTCCTCACACGACTTCCTCAATGTCACCCTTATCTAGAATGCCCAACTCGTCGTTACCCATCTGGGATCCACTCGAGGGCATGACTTGGAGCGTGATGTCCCCAATTGGTCTTCTCAGAGTATGTCTGATCCAATCCATCTCCACCTTCCTCTGCATATTTGTTGAGTGATGAGTTTTTAGTTGGTTCGTTGCCAGCCAGCCAGCCAGCCAACCAGAGTTCCTTGTTGCTTATTCTTATTATTCTGGTCATTTGATCTGATCTTCAGTATCGCGTGAGTGTAGGTGGCAGTTGTTGATGTATGTCTGTAGTTTGTTGCAAATGCTTTCGTAACGCGCCATATCTATCAACCATCACATACAAGCACTAACTTGACGTGGATGTTGAAAATCCGGATCTTGTTCTACTGTAATATAATGAAACTACATAGTTATGGACGCCTTTCATTTTAGTGTAAATACTACTCATAATCTAAAAATCCTCATTATTGATTCACAATAATAAATATTTGAAATAATAGTTCTTTCTCCATAATAAGAATATTTTTCAATGTAATCCCATCAGGTTTAGAAAATCAAAACAAGATATTTCTGAACGTTTCTCAGTGTAAGCGACAGCTTCTTCAGTAGAATATTCAGAATATCCGCCGGGATTATATTAGACACGGATCTAAACTTCCAGGATATTTAGAACAACTATGGTCTATGTGGTCATAATATTTGTTTCCATTAATTTGAACCACATGTTCTTCACTTATAAATCCAAGAATATGTTATACAGTGGTCAATGTAGGACCTGTAAATAAATATTAACATAATCAGTAATATGGCTAAATCAAAGCAAATTTCAAAAGTGCAACAGTTATCAGCTTGATGTTATTCACTTTTTAAATAAGATGTTGGCAGACAAAAGTGGAGAAATTTCCATCAGATTGATAGTGTTGCTATATCAATTCCCTTAGTTTTGAATTTTAAGCCATCTGAACGAAGCTCACGACATATTATTGATTACATACGGAAGAGAAGGATGGTTATTTATCTTTTCTTTAAACATTAGTTGATGGTAAGATGAATCTATAAACGATGTCTACAAAAATCTATATGAACAAGGCATTATTTGAATTGCCATAGACTCCTTTCAATGTAGTAAAAATAAGTGTTATTCAGGCTTTTGTTCAGTCGAATTCAATGAATATGCACTTATGATACTTGGGAGGACGAGACAAGAATATGGACTGAAACGCTGCCTAGTAATAATTATGCATCAAATTTTACTAGTTGAAACAAAACGGTTAGAACATCAAGATCTAATGCCCACTTTCTGACGAAGGAAGATGTTATTCAGGCTTCCCTGCGAAGGTGATTCTTATTTCTAGATCCCCACGGAAGACTTAGCGCGGCTATCAGGATATAATATGCAGCTGGGGTTAGGTTAATGGAAACTACCAAGATTGTATACTTTTCTAGGTTTTTACAATATGTTAACGATAACGCTATATCCCACTGTTCATTCCCTTTCTTTTTTAAAAACACGATTTCAAACAGATTGTCTTCGGTTTTCCTCACTTATTCTAATAAACCATTGAAATTCTATTAAATTTTTGCACAGTTTGTTTGCCAATTGTTACTCTTATTATAAACACTAGCTTGACCATTTCATACTTTGACTATTACTTCATGAAATATCCAGTCTATTTCTTCCTTTCCGGTAAGTTCTTGTCATTCTTTGTAATAATCAGTAACCCAAAGCAATGCAACCCTCAACTTTAAAATTAATTTTTACACTTCATTTGATCTTCCTAATAATTGTAACTTTCATTTAACTCATTCATAAAACCTATTCCTTTGGTTATTTCTCTTAACTACCACTTTCACGGGTGAGGCTACAAGTTATTGACAGATGTTATAGTGTTCTGTGTAAAAATACATATTTTCTGTGTTTTGTAAGCATACATTTTGAAGTGAGAACTCCAATCAAATTTTTTGGCTACAATTTGAAGGCTCTCTCAACTTTGATTTGTGGGTATCATTTTTCATAAATAAATGCGCTTACATCCCAACTAGGAGGTGGAATTGCAATCAGTACGTTGCACATGAATAAACAGCATGAAACATACTTCAATGACACAGGGCAGTTTAGAAACTATACAAAAAAGGTAAAATATGCATACATCATACAGAAAATAGGCGAATTTGCGTATTGAACAATATATCCCATAACAAACACCAAAATACCCGGGGATGACTATTAGCCTCACCCCATTTTCACCCCTTTTGTAATACAGAAACGATTTAAAAATTTTGCGTTACCGCTTCTAATTTTCATTCCTCATGACGCATGTTGACCAATCAACTGACATCCAGAGTTTACACTGACCGCCAATTACATGCTTAAAGTGACATTATCAATCACAAATTCTAAACAATCTGTAGTTTGAGCTTTACGGAGATTTTATTTCCCAGGTAGCATTCACCATGTATATAGTAATGGTGGCCAGTAGCTAGTAGTGGAATCCAAGATGCACATTTCGTTTTGTTTGGGACTCGTCAGCTAGATATACCTGCCTCCCAGTGAGTGATGTTTCCACCGGTGTAATACAAGGAATTATACTAGTATTCACTATGAACTGATATCATTTGTAGAATCATTGAAAACCTATGAGCACTGAACACCTGTTTCGAGATGGAAATCCTGAAATTCTAATGAGAAGCTGTGACGTATGCAATCAACCAGTCAGAAGTGAATGGTATTCCAACTTAAAACTTTGGTTGCGCTATCACGCTATATCTTAAATTAACAGAAATAGAAAACTGTAAACTAATGAGCTCTGATTCGGTGGGTGAGTGGTTAATGCTTTCACCATGAGAAAAAAAATTCCGGAGTTCGATCCTTGGTGGGGTGGGGTGGTGGGTGTATACTGCTGAGAAGTTCCATACTATGACGAAACAGATGGCTAGTGCTCCCAGGTTATCAATGGTTCTTTAAATGATGTCAATCTGTGATGAATACTACTTTAAAAAACCTGGTCGTAATTGTAATTTCATATGCATTCCAGAATGCATTCGCCGTAATCCTGCAAATACTCATAAATTTGACTTCATAACTGTCGGACCTGAGGAGAAATTATTGAAAACAAAATTCTTCATTCGTATATGACTTTTAATATACGAAATGAAAATCGTAAGGTGTTTAACATTCTACCGTATTTTCCATCACGTCCAATCACTTCATCACATAATGGGATACTTTCTTCAGCTCATTCACCTGTTCAGAATATATACTGTTTATGAGTAGTTATATAACAGGGATAGTTGTCTGTGGAACAACTTAGGCACTCATATTACGCATATCATTGGGAGTTTTAAATTGGCATGAATTCTGGAAATGCAGTAGTAGCAGAGTGGAAGCTACCTCGTTGATACTTGTGTATCATCTCCGTAGAAACAGAGGCTTAATGAAGCTAACTTCAATTATCATAATATATTAACAGTCTCAAGGGAGTACAAATAGTCCCACAAAGTCATAGATCAAACTTACGAACTACCCGATTCAGTTTACGTAACATCAATCAAGCAATGACACAAATCGACTCCAAATGAAGCTTTCTTTGCACAGCCAACCATTGTTTAGAATTTATAATAACGGTTATCAAATGAACCTCATTTGTTTTTTTCTTACAAAAAGAAAATCTTTAACGAAGCACAAGGACAACTGAAAACCTTAAATTCCTTTTCAAACCAAATGGAACATTCTCGTAGATGGTTTGATAGAAGTTGCAGTGAGCATAGTGAAAAGCTGAACAGTGTGACAACCAGTGAAGTAAACCATATGAGTCCAGACTATTTAAAGCATTTGTTGACAGACAAACACAAATGTTTGACTGGTTTTGTTGCAGTGCTCAATGATGAAGGAGAAATACATCTAACTCAGTGTCGTGATATGATTCAACAAATAGTCGATTCGACTGGTCGCAATGATACAACAGCGTTAGTGATGTTGGCTCGTCGAGAGTTGTCTGCTTTTCAATTGGAATTGAGTAGTGTACGAAAGGAGAAAGAGGCAGAAATAAAAGATGTAAGTAAAATAAAGTACAACATTTAAATGCTTTTCAGCTATTGCTATCAGAATAGTGTATTTTTTCCTTCGAACCAGCTACTTAGCCAATGGATCTATAGGATTCTGTTGTCATCAAGAAAATCACTCAGAATCATGTCGACTGTTCACTATTTTTTTTTTATGCGCAGGAGCTTGAAACATTTTTGTAATTTTCATCATAAGTTGAGTGGTCTGGAAATTGCTCAAAATTTAGACTTTTAGGGTAAGAAATGAATATCCCACTACCCATTTGAAAGCTACGGTCACAAATACTATATTTGACAAACGAATTAAAGTTTAAAAACTGTCAGACTCAGAGGCTAAGTTTGATGTTTCACTGTCTAACACTGAAAGCATAAAAGTTGAAAACCAACTGAGCAAACAAAAAAAACACAGTCAGTATGCAGGGTCTTTTCAGAACCAGTACTGCATAGATAATCTATTGACTAATTGTTTTTTGTTCAATAAGTTAACGGTGATTTAGGGTTTGCAGTTAGAGTTGGTGTATTTAAATTGAGTGTAATAATACTAAATCAAAATCTGGCCCATGTTGCTCATTGGTGATTTATCCGTTTTCAGAATAATATAAACACTTGAATAAACATGTAGAATCAACAAATAATGCAAAATGACCGTATGCAATGTAAGTGTTTGCTATGTTACCAATATATTTCCCTAATATAAGTGATTTCTTTTGGATAGGTTACGTTTATTGTATCCTTATATCTAGGAACCAAGTTGCTTCATAACAAGTGTAATTCTAGCCAGGTGGACTGAGAAAACGCAATCATGGAACTTATTATCTTAGTGTAAGATGACTGAGTAAAGTACGATTCAGTGATCTAAGATTTGTATTTGTAAAGCGAGATTGATTCCGTTTGTTTTACTGATACCTATACCATGTAATCTAGTTTTGATTGTTGACTGCATTTTACCGAACAGTTTGCAGTGTTATCACAAGGCTAGGAGACTCGCCATTACAGTGAACTTTAATTGGTCTTGGTCACTATAAATCAATAACCTAGTGGATATTCAGTTGACATTTGAAGTTATTAGTGATAGGTTTTAGTCTTTGTAGGAATAATGAAATTATCTGGGAGTCAAATACATCCAGTAGATTAGTGCCAAATAGGATGAAACATGCCTCTTAGATTGCAATACTGGCCAGTATTCTTTCCCAATATCAAGAGGGTAGTGTGGTAAGATAATGTATAAAAAGAATATGTTTGGAGAAGAAACACACTGAAATATAATGGAGAATATTTGTAGCTCAGGTGGATGGTCTTGGTTGTATTGTGTTCTCGGAGCTCAGAGAACTTATAATTCAAGAAACAATCTTATAGTTAACCCAAGAGAACTCCTCAGCCCATCCATACTCATTAAGGAGAATTGAAATGCCAAAAATCAACCAGTTTTGTATGAAACTAACTTTACTATGTTTGTGAAGGACAATCGATCGGAGGTAACCATATATTGCAATCCTGTTGACTAGACAGAGTCAATTGGTCAGGAAGAAACAAACAAATTATATTGCAGATGTTCAGATATTCATATCCGGATCACAGTGACCAGTATAAGTGGTTTGTAACTACTCATTTTGTTCATCAGCACATTTTTTTAGTTCGTGACACTTTTGCAAGAGAGACCAATCTTTGTGACCTCAACTGAGTGGTTTTTCCAACACAGAAATGTTACAATCCAGCAGACACTTTGTAAGTAATTTGCAAACTGATCGTTCAAGGATCATACAAACTCAGTCGATGCCAACAACCTGATTTAGTTAGTATACATTAATTCAATCAACTCAATCCAAACAAAAGTAATCAGCTAAGCAGAATGAAACACTATAGTGTAATGGATTCATACAACTGACTGAAGTTAATGAATGAGTGGTTGTTCAGCGTTCCAACTTCAAAAAGACACTTTCAACTAATGGAAAGAAAGCAAGTTTTAGCTGTCATAATTTTAACTGGGAATCTATGATATATTTTCGATCTTATCAAAATACACTCTTCCCCAAGGAATTAATAGGTTGTAAATTTTGCATATATCTTGTAAATTATCAAGTAACAATAGAAGCAAATGTAGTGATTGATTGTCTACGCTTCAGCTACAGCATGCCATTTCCTCATTTTGGCATGGTCAGTATCTAATTTCGAACATCCTAATGGAATCATTATTGAATAAGATAATTTCTACAATCACCAGACGTCTAAGTTGAGCTCAGGAACAACAAACCCGAGAAAACAAGGAGGATTCGGACCTGACAGTGTATGTGTCGACCATATATTCACTCTACGCTATGTTCTGGAGCACAGCCACATTTATAGATGTCCAACACTAGCTGTATTTCTTGACCTGAAAGTGGCCTTCGAAACCGTCGATTCAGAAGTCGTATGGCAGTGTCTCTCACTGAAAGTGATACCGAATAAGTACATCAATCCATTGAAGGCTCTTTACTCGAAATCCCATAGAGGTATTAGTGTCAATACAGATTTATCAGGTGAGCTGTGTACATCGAATGGTGTCAGTCAAGGATTCTCACTCTCTATTTCTGATCAATTCTGTCACAGATATTCTTACGGAGTTCTCCCTTCTGTAATCTGATACCACAGGGATTTATCTTGTCATAGAAGAATCCTTTGTAGTTCCAGAATACTCAGATGGACAACCTGAGTGGAAATTTGAAAATGCTTGAGATGAGTATCTCGCCACCCAAATTGTTGCCCAAGGACTGGTCTTCAACGTTGGCTCGGCTAACAATACAGAATGAAGTGGTTGAGTGCGTTGGACACTTCACCGTAGAAGTTGGAGTAGTTCTGATAGCCAGGTGACCGACAAAATGTCGGAATGGATACAAAAGACTCGATTGGTTTTAGTCAGCTTACTCCGTCTAGGGTGCTGCTGCGATATCCCATTACCCATTAAGGGTCGAGTGTACTGTGCTGTAGTTAACTTTGTTCTACAGTAAGGCTGTGAAACATCGTCATTAAAGGTAGAAGACATGAAAAGTCTTCTGATGTCTGACCACCGTTGACTTCGTAGCACAGGCCGTGTTTCATGGTGTCACCACGTAAGTGTTGCAGAAATCAGATGTAGAGTTTTGCGGAGGAGAGGAAAGTTAGCTGATAAGGTTGTGAACCTTTATCCACTGAGATGGCTGAGACATATATTATGTATGCTTAGTGACAGTCTGCGTTGCTGTGTAGTGCTAACTGAAATAGGTTCAGGCTGGAAGAATGTTCGATGCGACCAGACTAAAAAATGGCATCAGTCCCTGAAGTTCTTGTCTGCTGGTCTAAGCCGTGTGCGGAAACACAGAATTCACGGCTAGGGTCGGCATGACAACGGAAACCTCAGGTTAGAGACCCTACTTGATATGGTTCAGAATCGAGGTCAGTAGAGCAAATCTATCCACACATCCTCTGAACCGCTATACTGAATCCAGCATTTTTTTCATTCTTCCTTCCTTCCTTTTACTGCTTTCTGCTGCTTTTGACCAATTTTCCTGCCTTTTTTCATTTTTCTGCTTCGTTACACGTTACAGGTGCGGTAACCTGGAAGGTTGTGTGATCTTATATCGACATTGACTGATTTGACTGACTGAATCAGTTAAAATTGTGATTGTAGTATACATCATGGATTTTATTGAAACGCTGAAAAATATGTTGATTTTAGCGGGCAAACAGAATGAATTTTATAGATGCGAAAGAAAGTTGATAAAAGCGAGAAAGCCGCCTTCACGACCTTACACGTTTTCATTTTGTGCTCGGTTTATTTCCTGATAAATTAACTAGAATAAAAACCAAGTATTATGATTTCTATTTTGAGGGGGTTGTGGAGATTTGGAAATATTTCAAGTTGTTATTCATCGAAGACTGACATCAGTTGGAGGAACAAAGGAAACCTGGGAGCACTGGACAGCTGTTTCGTCCTAGTATGGGACTCCTCAGCAGTGCGCACCCACGACCCCACCAGCAGGGATCGAACCCGCGACCTGGGGTGGGGTCGTGGGTGCGCACTGCTGAGGAGTCCCATACTAGGACGAAACAGCTGTCCAGTGCTCCCAGGTTTCCTTTGTTCCTCCAACTGATGTCAGTCTTCGATGAATAACAACTTGAAATATTATGATTTCTGTTTCATAGGTTTTAAGGCTACTCAGTCAATTGAAGTACGTTAGAGATTTAAAAGACTTTTAAAGTGCTTTGAATTCTAAATATTTTTGTAATTTATCACTTTGTTTTCAAAGATGGAGGCCAAAATTAGCCGTCACTCTAAACTGATCAGCAATATTGAAACTGAAGAGAACTGGTTGAATGACATTGAACAACAAGCTAATCAGGATTCTACCTATCCAAGCGATCCTCAATCGAGTGTCGACATAACAACACGAATTCAGGAGGAGAATAATCGTTACTACCAACTACTCAACAGTATAAATTCACATGGTCAACAAGTTTACGAACGTTTGCAGTTTGAAGCTCAGTCGCTGGAAGACACTGCTTCATTGATACGAATCACTAGTTGTCAAAACAAACTTCAGAAGTTAAAACAAAACTTAGATCTAAAAGTTTCTAAAGTGACTGTGCAAAGCAAGTCAATCCACGACTTTCAGCAAGCTGTTGACAGCTTCAGAGTAAGCTATGAAGATCTAGAACGTCAGCGAATTTCAATCACTGGAATACCAACAGTGAATTATGTGAATATGGAAACTGATAGCCAGTTATTGGAGAATTTATACTTCACTAAGAAAAAGCAGATTGAAGTGAGTTTATCGTTTGAGTGCACAGCATGACTTAGAGCTTAGACAGTATTTAAAATAGGGACAGATTGAAGACTACTCATGCATATAAATAGTAGTAATAGTAGTACTGGTAGCAGCAAAATATTTGCCAAACAACCACTCCGACGTTTTATTTGACCTCGAATCATCCTTTCGTCTGTGAATTCAAAAGTATACTTCCCAGAGTATTTCAAGCAGTCAAATACGTATTAGGCATGGAGCTTTTTACGCCCATTTTAAATAGGATAAGATGTTTGACAGCTGAGATACTACAGAACTTATCTTAACTCCGGAACTGAAAATGAACTAGTTCATTTTTAGGAGAATATGTTTCAATATCAAATTAAAATTCTCATCATTGTAATGCTACCAAAAAATAACGTAACCTAAAAATGCATCTGGTTTTATTTTTCTAGTGGTACTGAAAAGGATGAGTAACTTTAAGCAAACAGTTGACCTAAATGTAGGAAGACTAAGCAGCCTCCTGATTAAAGTTAATTCCTTCTATCAACTGATTTACCACAAGTTTGATAGTTGCCGTCTAGTTGGTTAATATTTCCTGTTCACCAGTATGACAAGTTATTTTTTTTGAATCGATACCATGCTGTTCACCTTACAACAAGATTTCTTACAGAAAGATGTGTTTGTGTTTTAAATAGAGAGATAGCAGTTTGAGGTTGTTTTGTGTTTTACACAGGAGTTGGGTAAGTCAAGAAGATCTGGTAACGATAATTAAAAACACTTGTATTTTTGACTGCTCATCATATTCCCTTCAGAGTATTCTTGACATAAATAGGACTTGAAACAATTCAAAGATAGCTGATGTTAATAAAACCCAAGAAAATGTAGTCATAGATTTATTACTTTTCAGAAGTGTTCCCAAGAATAATGTATTGTCTTGAAGATTACCTCTAGCGATTGCAGTCCTAAAGCTAATCGGATTTGAATTCGTGTACTGATTACAGATTGCCTTACCAGAATACCACTTTTTGCTGACAAGAACTAATACAGAATAGTTAAATTTACGCACCAGATCCTGTTTTTAGACACATTTTGTGGATGCGTCATAACGTCAAGTTCATTTTTTGCAGATTCTCCTTCAGATTTGCAGCATACAATCAGGTTGATGAAAATTCCATTTATTGTCTAATTCCGATTACTTATAATTGATATACAGTGAAGTTTTTGAGCTATGCTTTAGTATTTACGTCATTCTGATCACTCGTTTTAATGGAAGATGAGCTAACATAGCTGTTGTGCACAATTGACACTTATGCTGTATGATCAATTTGCAAATGATTTACAAACTACTTGGTTCTTGTTAACATTTCTCACAGCTGAGTAGTTTTTCAACTACCATCCAACTGCGTTGTCAACAGGGTTTCAGTTAGGAACGACCTGTCAGACAAGATCACAAGGTGTTATTTTTAACATGAAAGTGTCATATGCTAACGAAATATACTCATGACTAATTTGATTAGTTATAAACCACTCAGGTTAATTCCTAGATTACGCCGTGCAGTTTGTAAACCATTTGGAATTTGACAATCCTATTTTAGGTATACCGGTTCATGCAAGTCAGCTTGCCAGCTTCAGGCGATGTAGACAATTCAGCTCTGTAAGCTTAATTTATCGGAGTGTACAGCTGATGAGCTCGGGTTGAATCAAGTGAAACGGCCGTCTGGTGTTTAGACCACTCTAGTTTGGCCAACAAAATCTACAGATCAGCCTGTATGGTTTTTAACTACTCAAGTTGTTCAGTAGTATATTTTGTAAGTTGTTTATAACATCATTAAGGCTTGAAGATATGGCGGGTGGTAAAGCCGTGACCTTGAATCCCATGAGTTCTTTATATTCTGATGGCATAATATAAGCTGACAGTTATGGTTACTAAGATCCAATACGAAATAGGAACTGGTGAGTAAGACCTATAAAATGAATAACAAAACTGAGCAACAGTGAGATGTAAAATCTTCTGAGATGTATTAGACAAGGCTTTTAGTTATGTTGAGTAATGCATTTTACAGTCAGCTGTTTGGGTATGTCCATCAGGTTTCACACGCCTTCTAGGTGAATTCATATTTTTTCCGAAACTTTAGCCAGTGGAGTTAAGAGTGTCTGTCATCTTAGGTTACTATCAAGATGCTCATGTCTTGTTTTACTCGGATAACAAAGTACAATAAAAGAAACTAGTCGCTTTACAATATTAAATCACCTGCACTACTAATTCTTACTGCTGGCTGGAACTTGAAGATGGAATTCAGAAAATTTTAAGTTACTGCTAAATGTTATAGTCAAAGCATCTGTAGTAGAAGTTTCCCTTCAACGTTGCTTAATCTTAGTATTTGGCAATGTCCAAACAATTTTATTCACAAGTTTAGTGTTTTTAAAGTAAACGAAAATTGAGTTACGTATACGATATCAGTAGACCGATGTACTGAGTTTAATGTAACATTTTCAGTTAGCTAACTAGCTCATTTGTACCTGGTATCGTTAACATCAATTTTATCGTTTGCATATTATCATTCTTTGCCTGAATTTCATTCCTTTTAGGAACTTCGTGCAAACAGTAGAATGGAACTACAGTCAAAGTTTAGTCATTTAAACAATCAGGCTAAATCCATCCATCCTATTCCAAAAGACGTTCGCGACTGTCAAGAGCAAACTGAACAGTTCAGCAAACAGATAGATCAAGATTATAACGAAATCACCAACACTCTTGCAGGATTGTGTCAGTTAAGTAAGTTGGTTGAGAGCGTTCGAGGTTATCTTAGGCAAAACGCTGAAAAAGTTTTTATCATTTCTGAGAAGGAGCCATCTCATCCAGACGATCTTGACGCTAATGAACTGTACAAATTTTACGAGTCCAACTTTGAAGAAATGAAATCAGTTTCTCAAAATCTAGGAGTTGAATTAAGTCGTGAATCACCAATAAATCGCAATAAATCCTCAAAACTCTCTTTACTTGAAGAAGAAATAATCCACAAAATTGATAATCTAATAACAATCCATCCAAAAGTCTACAGTTTTCTGATTCCATTGCAAACTGATTTACGTGGGAAAATCAGTCAAACAACAACCGATGTGTTTAATAAATTATCTGAAATGTCCAGATTCGTCAGTAGTTTACATACAGTTGCGGTTTGCTACAATGAGGCTCAAAATAGCTTGGATTCAATCGAAAAAGATTATGATAATATATGCATACAGATGTCCACAGGAATAGATGAAAACTGTATAAAAATATTGAAAAATTTATTGGGTCGCTTAGACTCAGAAGGATGTTTGAACCAAACCACTCTGACTGACGCTACTCAAACGTCTCACCTAAGAATATATATTCAGTGACAAATGACGTTTTATCGAGTTGTTTAAAACGGTTCAGTAGACGTAAAGAAGCACTGATCGATAAGATTAAAGGAGCAACAGAGAAATGTGAACAGTTATGTCGTCTTGAAAATAATTTCTTAGGTAATTTGGAAGAATTAAAAGATGAATACAACCAACTTTCAAACTCCATAAATGAACTGTCCAATTTATCAAAAACGCAAAAATCTTTTGATAAAGACTTTGATTGTCAAATTGTCACGTTATCTGAGACATATTCAACACTGAACAGTCGTTATGAGAAATTACGCGATAACTTTAAAGAAAAGAACTTAAAAAGTAATAAAATAAATGAAATTGTATCCATATTAGATTCAAATATCCATATCATCAATGAAAATTTAGCGAATTTAAAGGATGCATACAAAACACTAAGGGATAATTTCTTGACTATTCAAATGAAACTGAATCAGTGCAAGGAAAATTTGAATAAAATTAAGTTGGAAATTTTAAGAAGTTTAAATAAATTCAGTGTAAAGTCAACCAAGAATACTTCATTTCAGCAAATTTTAGAATCTATGATTAATGATTTAAATGAATATCATAATGATTTCAGCAATATTCTAGAGATAACCAGTAAAGATGAAAAGAAACGCTTCAGAAATTCAACTGTTAATAAGACTAAGGATCTGTACAAGCTTGTTGCAGAAATTATAGAGCTAAGAAATAACTTACCTACTGTATCAAGTTATGCGATCGAGTGGGATGACTTCGGTAATGAGCTGAACACCTTAATAGAATGGACTCATGATATTATTTGTGAGTTTAAAGTTATCCTATCAGATTATGAAAACCTATTGATAAAAATGGGAGAATTTGAGAAATTGTATGAAGAGACTAAACAAACTGTTTCCGACAAATCATTGGATGCAGAAATTGATGTGACATCTATAGTGAAAAATCAAAAGTCACCGAAAACAAAACTAATCAAAGACCTAGAAGCCATTAAAGAATATCAAATGTTCAGTTTGAGAAATGATTTTAAATTTATTAAACAACAAGCAAATCGATTATATACTAAACCACAGTCGAGTACACAGTTTAGATTTATGGATGATGTAAGTATTGTTGAGTTTTGTGATCGTTCAGAGAAGTTGTTAGATGAATTATCAAATAATTTAAATGCTGTTTTAGCAAAATATAAAAGTCTATTGGATGATGAAAATCAGTTGGTTAAATTATACAATACCGCCAACGAATGGGTTACGAATTATGAAAGGGAACTGTCCAGCCTTGAGGAAAATATACCTATTCATGTGGAGCATTTGCAATCTTCACCAACACATAAACACATTGGAAAATATATAAAAGATGCTAATGATCTGGAGACTAAACACTCACAAGGTGAACAACTATTGGATATGTTAGTTAATAAATTTGACCAGTATGATCAATTGCCAAACAGTCCTGAGTTTAAAACACTGTATGAACGTATAACTGCTCTAGGAAGATCACGTTTAAATACGCTAAAAACTGACTTATTACGTATCAAAGAAAATTTAGACACCCTGGAATCTAATGGAAATAATTTAGATGAGGAACTTTCTAATTATGAAAGCCAACTTAGCAAACTTGAACAGAAGTCAACCACACAGAGAATTTGTAATCTAGAAGATCTTATGAAAGAAGATATATCTCCATGTGGAGGAGAATGGTATGCACTACTGAACGATTTAGAAAGATTTAAACATGGCAGATTAGACTCTTATGAGGCAAAGCATAGAAAAGCTACCTTGAAGCCGTCAAAAGACTACCTGACTGATTTTAAGAAACGTTATGATAAATGTTTGAATACAATAAAGCGGAGAACTGAAGAAATGGAAAGGGATGCCACAAAATTGGAAAAATTGAAAGAAAAACTGAGAGACTTCAATAAATCATTTGAAGATGCATGTGTTAAGTTTAAAAAGATGATAAATCAGTTAAAACTAGAATTTTCTGAACAATACTCGTATGCTAAATTGAGTGAAGTATGTCATTTGTTCAACAAAAATTTGGAGCAAATAATGACCAATTTAAATGAATTTTATTCAAATGTTATGGAAAAATTGGAAGCTACTCAAACAGATATAAGTAACCAAATTCTAGAATGTGAATTAAAAGTTTCATTTCAGAGTTCATGGATTTGTCATAATTACACTTCATTTAAATGCGAACTGACGGACTACATGCATGACGTTGGTGAATTGAACAATGAATTAGTGGCGCTTAATCTGGATATTGTAGGTTATGAGAAATGGGTTGAAAACTTGGAGAAACAGTACCAGAGGACAAAAAAAGAATATTCTTCAGATGAAATACTATTTAGTAAGAGTAATATCTATCTTTCGAATGTAGCACTACCAGCAAATGAACTAGATAGTGAATCGAATAACAATTCGGCTAACTTAATACAACTTAATTCATACTATCAAAAATCTTTGCAGAGACTACGTGAATTACAAAAATTATCAATGGAATGTAATCCTCCCTTCAATATCCTATCAGAAAGGTTTCTAACACTAATCAGACAATTGGTGAATACACACACCTCTTTTATAAAAGCAAATTCTGAATTACAGTCAGATAGACAGGCTGTAAGCAACAGAGTCAAAACTGACATTGATTTCATTGAGCAAATTTGTAGCACCTCAAGACAAGCGCATCAAACCATAGTTAACCAAGTTAATGAAGATACTAGCTTAGTTCAAACTAAGTTAACGTATTTAACAAGACTGATACAATCAAACAAGGACTTAGATGCATGGATTAAAGAATTTTCACAGTTAATAGATCACTCGAGATCTGACAGTAGTCAGAAGCAATATTTGTCTCAGGATCATAGTAGGACAGGTGAAATTCAACTGAAGTTAGACATTGGTAAAACATATGTCCAACCAGTACATGAATGGGTTGAACAGTTGAAGCAAAATGAATTGAACACTTCAATACAAGATTTACTGACTCATCAAATTAGTCGATCAAATCAAATCTTTCAGTATGCAGCTAAACAAGTAGAAGGCATCAAACACGAACACAATAAGCAAAATGAATTATTGAAAAGTTTTGAAATCGAATTTATGTCTACTGAGAATTGGTTTAAAAAATGGAAAGAAAATTATACTTCTTTGAAGGTTAAGACTTCGAATTTATTATCAAAGAAAAGTTGTTGGGATGAGGTTAATAATATTGACCTTGAAATTGACAGCCTCATGGACTGTTTTAATGAATTAAAGAAAGAATTGATAACTAAGCAAAGTTTATTAATGAATTCGGAAAGTAATTTGAATACAATAGAAATTAACCGTTCCACGCAAAAGAAACTACTGGTTAATGAAATCAAGGAACATGAACAATTAGTAGATCAGAATATTGTTTCTTTAAAACGTGTGAAAAGCAAGATGCGAGAATTAAATACATGTTTAAAGAAAGCGAAACAATGGGCAGGAGAAATCGCAGAACAGTTACCAAGATTACGTGATGGAAAGGTTAGTTAATTTGGGGTAATACATGTTTGTTGACTATCATAAAAACTGTGTAAGTGGCGCCAGGGAAATTAAGTGTAAGGAGTCAAGTAAAAGGAAGAAATTAAGGATTTGGAGCTAAATGTTTATATTTCAAAGGGAAATAAGACTTGATTTAATCTCTTTTACTGAGAGACACTTGTAAATGCATAACATAGACATTGCAGAGACACCTATTGCCTACCCCGTAATTATTATTATTATTTGTCCCTTGGGTTCGGCTTCAGTAACACGTCTCCATTTCACTCTGTCCAACGCAGTATTTTTAACCTGGCTCCACTACTACCCACAAGCCTTCATTTCTTCCTCACATGACTTCCTCCATGTTACCCTCATCTAGGATGCCCAACTCGTCGTTTCCCATCTGGAATCCACTCGAGGGCATGACCTGGAGCGTAGTGTCTCCAAATAGTCTTCTCAGTGTATGTCTGATCCAATCTATCTCCACCTTCCTCTGCATATTTGTTGAGTGATGGGTTCTTGGTTGATTCGTTGCCAGCCAGCCAGCCAGCCAGCCAGCCAGCCAGCCAGCCAGCCAGCCAGCCAGCCAGCCAGCCAGCCAGCCAGCCAGCCAGCCAGCCAGCCAGCCAGCCAGCCAGCCAGCCAGCCAGCCAGCCAGCCAGCCAGCCAGCCAGCCAGCCAGCCAGCCAGCCAGCCAGCCAGCCAGCCAGCCAGCCAGCCAGCCAGCCAGCCAGCCAGCCAGCCAGCCAGCCAGCCAGCCAGCCAGCCAGCCAGCCAGCCAGCCAGCCAGCCAGCCAGCCAGCCAGCCAGCCAGCCAGCCAGCCAGTCATCAATCCCATCAATCGGCAGGTATCTTTCCTGCCTCCCTTCCTTACTTCCTTCTGAACCTTTTGCAATAGTCGTGTGAGCATGCCCGCTGTTGCATCTGCATCTGTTTCCAGTGCTTCTGGAGGAATTCCATCTGATCCTGCTACTTTCCCGGCTTTCGACAACTTTATGGTGTTCAGGAGTTCACTTCTGCTTTTGTTGGAGGGCTTGTGTTCACTGATAATTCTCTGACTGGGCTGCTGGTTGTATTTCCGGAAGAGTTGCACGTGGTGGTTGTCGTGCTCAGAACATCGTTTCCTTCCTTTCGCGTCTTTGCTATGTTTCCTTCAATATCTTTCATTGTTTCATCTGTGTTGATCTCCTCCTAGACGGTGAGTAATCTGGTTATTTGATATAGTGTTATCAGGTCTCTCTCTATCTCGCCTATCTGCAGTGTGTCCTGTTTCCCTTGCAAGTGTGTCGTAGAAGTGTCGTTTGTCTTTCCACACACAATCTTCTTCACTTCTTTGTCCAGTGCAGCGTTTTATAGGTTGTATTCAGTTCCCCTTATAGTTTTTCATCCCTGCACTGCACTGCACTCCACTAGTTCACCTTCTGCTTCATCATCTTACTCTCCCTCTCCCTCTCCCTCCTTTATTACCTTCCATGTGTCCATCGAGATACATTCCTTCCTAACACGGTTATGCAGGTCTCCTTCCACGTCTCTTTCACACACTTCCACTGTTCCTCCACACATGTTTCCTCCAGAATGTTGCCTAATGTCTCACATTTTGTCCTGATGACTCACTCAATGACTCATTGACTCATTGATTGACTGACGTGAAGATCTCCCTTGCAGTCTCACGCATCACTCCCATTTTAAGGTGGTTGTTCAACTTGAACTCTGGCCGATGATCACCAGCCTCTTTGAAGTCTTCCAACTTGATTTTGAATACAGGTTCCTTGCACTAGATAGTCGTGTGAGTGGTGTGAGTGGTGTGAACCCACATCTCCTCCTCTTCTCGATCTGATCTTGTGTCCAGTGAGCTGCGTATCCACTTCCTTCACGTTGTGAAATCAAGTCGATGTGATTTTCAGTATGTCCTGGTGTCTGGCGAAATCAAATCCACGTCTCTCTCTACCTTGTGAACGTCCTTGTGTTTGTACACACTGCCACACCTCCAATCACCAAATCGTTGGATGCGTAGGAGTCTGCAAACACTTCTCCGTTCTCATTCATCACTTCACCGAGTGCTTCTCGACTCATGCACAGTTTCTCTTCGTGTGTTGTCTCCTCCCAGTATGGCATTCATGTCAATTTGGATGTGACCATTGCCAAGTGGTGTGGCGTCTTATCCATTACTGATTGCAGTTGTCTATGGAATTCCTCCTTCTTCTCTTCTTCTCTTCATCTGCGTTATTTGTCGGTGTGTAGCATAGCATAGCAAAGCATGGCATGGCATGGCATGGCATAGCATAGCACAGCATTGTGTGATTGTGACTTTGCTTCCTTCCTTTTGATTTGAATCTTGCTGTCATGATGCTGATGCTGCAGGAGGAGATTGATTCCCACCAATATCAGAGAGAGAGAGCGAGAGCCTTCGATGCAGTTGGGGACACGATGATAACCACTGGAAAACTCAATGTGCTCGTGGTTGTCGTCTGTGTGACGATATCGAATAGACTATTGACTGTCCGGTTGACAGATTGGAGAGTCCATTTCCATTCGATCTGGTTTCACAGATTCCTAACACTTCTCATTTCTTTTGCAATCTGGACAGGCTTGCTAGCTAGCCATCCAGCCAGCCAGCCAGCTTCAAACATTGTGTGGACATTGCATGTCGCTGTGTTTACTTTTACTTTGATGGAGAGAAGAGAAGAGAAGACACATTGGTTAATTGGCTTCCCGAAGGTGGGCATTCAGGCAGGCTTTCAGCAACCGGGGTCATTTTGTCTGGTGGATTCCAGTGAGGAATAATTTGATTTTTATTTTTAATATTTCATGTGTGCTTTGAAGTTAGTTTAGCGATTGGATTTATTTTGTGGGGCTTCGAACTGGCTTGTAACTGGTGTACTAGTTATCTAGGTGAGTTAGTGGCCAAGCACGAAGGTTGCGCATCTATATACATATCATGGTTTGGAGCATCTACTCTAAAACTTCTCTATTTTATTTCCTTCAGTCAAGACAGAATACTGCTGTACTGCAGTACGAACTTAGGATAGATAATGCAAGTTTCAAGCACCTCAGTCGGTGTGGATTCACGGAACTTTCCTCTCATTAACATCAGTTACTTAGTATTGTGAACTTAACAAAAAATTAGTCACTCAGTAATCCCATCATATGTAGGTGAAACTTTGGGGGTATCAATAATCAGGTATCTCCAGTCTTTTGTATACCTTCGGATTTCACTTAGCTTATTCAAAAGTTGTAACGAGGAAGAATATTTGCGTTTACTTAGTACATTCAGCTGTTAATAGGCGTTCTTATACCCTGCCTGAATCACAGAAATAGTATTTCCATAAGTTCTGTGCTAGTGTGGAAATTCCTTGAGTTCTAACCTAACTGAAAGGAAAATCATGATTTAGGCAACTGCGGTAGTCATCTTGCTCACTTATTTTCTTTTATATTGTTAAACTAAACACCAATGCTGTATTGCGAACAAAAAAATATCGGAGCATACGAACCAGTTCATTCTTGTTCAGTGGCTAGATAGCAATGTGCTCAATGAGAGAGAGACCTGCCAGTCCTGAAATGGATCTTCGGTGAGGTTTTTAGCTGGCATCGCTGAAGAGTCTTTTACTAGGACGAAACAACTCTCCAGTACTTCCTAATTTCAATGTTAGTCCAAAGGATGTAACTTCCTGATACGAATCATTTCCCATAAACCACCGAATTGTGCTACTGAATGTTTAGAAATTACGGCTCCATAGAAAATTCATCATTATCTATTATCATAAGAAGCCCACGTTAAAGTATCTGTTGTACATATTCTCAGTAAATTTAAGATGCAATGAACTGAAGATTATAGATTAGGATTTAATGGTCGCGATTTGTTTTAGACAATGTTTTAGTACAGTACAGATATATATCCATAAACAGCGGTGGTGGATATTTAAGCCATATCAAAATCAGTTGAATTTGTTGGGAAGTGTCAAAACAGTGCAAACTAGAAGCGTTCTTATGATCAATTTAGCTTACACTCCAACAATGCACAAAATCCTGGTTTACTCGAATATTACTTTAGTGTTAACATATTCTCAAACGTAGGCCACAGTCATCTCATCCTGCACACATGTAGTCATATTTTTCCTCAGTGTCTTTACACATTTCCCTTAACCTTATTGTAACACTGGATGTTAATAATTAAACTTGTCACTATTGTTAATCATTTTTTACAATAGAGTCCTATTAGAATTTCACCTTATCCTCTTAGAAGTGAGACTATCAAATCAGGACATTGGAAGACAAGCTATTTAACAGATTATCAATACACTACTAATACAATTACACCTCAAACAAAACATATTCAATTTCAGCAAACCGGTGAATTCAGATCATCAACTCCACCAGCATTCTGTAGTTTAATGCAACAGACTAAAGGAAAAGTTGATGTACTGAACTGTTTCATTGAAGAAGTCACAAAGTCTGCTTCTACAACAGCTAAAGATGTTAATACACTTCTAGATGAACTGGAACCTGATATATCTGAATTAAGAATTAACTCTGAGGTAATAACAGCTGAAGTCGACTTAATCCAGAGTCAAGTTGAACAAGTTATCTCAAACGCTATTGATAGTAAAAAAGATTTAGAAGCATTAATTGATCGGTTGAGTCGACTAGACGATTCATTAAGTAACTGCAAGAGTTGGCTTACTGCCAGTTTTTCACAAGTGAAGAAGATCAGTCAACAAGCAATATCAGGGATTACAGACTTATCCGTTAATCAATCTGTTGGTGATAAGGAACACTTACTCATTGATATCTTCTGTCCACTTGATGGGATTATTCAAAATTATCAGGTAAGTTGCCAATATTGAGCAGGTTGTCTATAAGTGACGTCTAAGAAATTGATATTTCACTGACTCCATTTAGCTCTTTTTATATTATTTAGGGTTGACAAAGTGGTAGAACAAATGACATTCTTCTGATGTGCGAATGGATAGGTTTCGTCAGCTAAGTGACTCCATACGGAGTCAAATGTAACAACTGAAATAGCTTCACTACAAACTAAAACAAAGACATTTTAAGAGTAATTATTATTATAAATGTAAATGGTCAAAACTATTAAATTGATGTGGTTCGAGCACAACTGACCAGTATTCTGTGTTAAAATGCACTGTAAAGAGTTATTTTAATGCTACTGACTTGTTCAAGTGTGCCGTAATTGTGCACTAATAACAAGCTCAGTTACGTGTACCGTATTCAACCGATGTAAAAATTTTATCACGTATTTATGCGTTTTAAACTAGGTTATATGACTTTTATAAGGATTGCGAAGAAAACTGTCATCTTCATATTAGTGATAACGAAATTCGGTTTGAAAACTCAAAGTGAGGTTTACTCGCAGTGTTATAGCAGCAAATACACTCATATGGTTACTTCATGCGATTGATTCGGATAACTAAAAAGTATGACTCTAATATAACTCACTATCTGGAGATCACTACACCTGCCTATGCTTTTCTATGACTATGAGCTACCATGACAAGATATTTACACAGCTTTAGCTAGCAGCGTTTCCTTCCATTGCCTTTATTGACACTACGTGTATGGAGATGAATAGCATGTCCCTAACACACGTCAGGTTAAGAGCATACATAATCATTGAGACTACAAAATGATGGCAACAACTTACACCTAATTGGTCATATATTATCAAAAAAATGTCATGAAATTATAACCATTGTTAGCACATGCAACGTCATATAGACTATACCCGTTGCACAAGAAGTAGCTATCGTGACTCAGTGGCTTGACAGATAACGTTCTGGCGTTTAAAGCTTTCGGTCCTGGTTTCCAGTCTTAATGAGAACAACATCGCTCAATTCTGTCCAATCAGAGGCGAGGTAATACAAGCAGCGTCATATAACTAATATATCTTTAGAAAAATTGAAGCTGTTAAAAGTATTACTGTAAATTGACTACTGAGTAACTGCATCCAATGTTGTTCACACAAGGCCATTCATTCATTTCATTAAGTCAGATTCAATCAGCAGTTTAACCTATCTAATGAGCACCGAGGTTATCTTCAATCACCCACCTGGTCCACCTATTTCTAGTCAAGTCCATTTAAACTTCGTTAATAATTTGCTGTGGAAGCTAAAATCGATTTTCATGCTTTTCAGGTATTATTTGCATTTTCTGCTTGTGATTAGTCAGAACAAGGGGAGTGACGTTAAAAGACAGAAAACAAGTTCAGATACAATAAGTATCAGGGTAATATTCATCATAGATTGACATCATTTGTAGAACCATTGAAAACCTGTGGCAGTGGATGGCGTTTTTGTCCTAGTATTAAACTCCTCAATAGAAAGCACCCATGACCCGACCAGAAATCGAACCTAGAGCCATCGTTTCTCGCAGAATGCACGTTACTACCTAGCTACGGGTCCAAATGCAATGCTTAATGTTTTCCGACATCTTTCAGCTCGCAATATTGCACAGATGTCATCTGATGCCGTCTGCGAATGATGTTCCTCACGCCCAACTCTGTTGACCTCACAAAAAAGAACTTCGCATCGGGAAATCTATCTCGAATTCTATCACTGTTGAGCAACAGACGGTAGGATTAGTTATGTTAGTCATGAGTGGATACGACATAACAGTCCTATGCTAGGATGAAGCAGCTGTCTAGTGCAGCCAGATTTCGATGCTTCTCCAAATGATGTCAGTCCTTGGTGAATACTGTCGTAAAATAAATGTCATCATAAACCTCCAAATTAACTTCAGATAATAATCGTTTATGAACAAGATATATTTGAAATAAGGAACATACTTAAACATACTTTCCAGATTTTTTTGAACTGGGATAGTTTACATCATGATGCGATTCAACACAACTTCCTGGTACCAGATTTCAAATAGTACGCCGATAATCTGTTTCTTTTGATTGGCTTGTGTATTTTTGCTGCACATTGTCAGAAGGCTGATCACCTGCGTCTCTGGAGGTTAACAACTGCCTGTCCTCATAAGTATCAACAAGCATGGGAACTAGTTCTAGGTTTCACTAATGGTTGTTATCTGAGAGTATACTACGTGCATACCATCTAGTTTAGTAATAATACGACCATTAAAATAAAATGCTGAGACAGAATTTGCATTGTTTGGCCAGGCCGTAAAACGATTTACAGTAACGAAATATAAAAATTATTGGTAATATATTGGCGCTTAACCGACAGTATAATTTTACGCTGATCGGGTTCCTTAAAAGAGAATCTAACAGTCACACTGATTAATACGAACTGTACCTAATTTCGCATTTCTAGCATGGACCACTGGATCTTACCCACTAAACATAGGTACTAGCTAGACCCTTTCACTTGACTTTTTTTCACTTTTTTTAATCAGTTGTAATGAATAGCACCACCTGTGTCGTTGCAACGCTTAAAAAATGTCTTACAACAGGCGGGGTTAGTTAGTCAGTTTTAGAATATTTTTGACAAGTAGGTAAATAGTCATCTAAAAGCTGAAACCAATCAACTGATACGGGTCAGTGATCATATTTAAGTGAAGCTATTTAATTGCATTTTAATTAACTAGTTAGATTTATCATCACACAATAGAAGAGTATTATTTACTGGATCAATTAAAATGCAACTACATTCTGCCACGGAGCCCAACGTTTACACCTATATTAATGAAGCTAATTAAGTTAGTTGCCAAGAGTGTGTTTGGTAACAACAAGGAAATACTTATTAGAAATATGAGACCCATAACTGGCTTGTTTTAGACCACTGGAATTCAGGAATACATCATTTCAGTCGATTGGTTACCCTCCAGCGACCAATCGTAGTACCCCATCCAGTCCTACAAGAGGTTAATCGTTGCCCGAATAGTTTAGGGGTGACATCTCTTACTGCAGTGGTAGGTGACAAGGGTTCGAGTCTAGCGGGAATACCACTTCCATTGAGGTTGCAGATACGCTTCAGTGACGAGTGTAGAACGGCCAAAAACCCAAATCTAAGGCTTCCTACCGATTGCCTCCATCCAACTGACATTTATCACCTTCGTTTCGATATAAACAGGCGTGGTTAGAAAATCGAATGATCATAGATTTGATCATAGAAGATGATTGCAGAGAAGAACGGTTTTTCTTTTCGAAATCATTCTCCTATCTGTACACTTGTGAATATAAAGTAAAAGGATAAGAAATTCCATGCCAATTTTCAATCAAAGGTCAACATAAATCGCGTCACAAAAGGGAGTTAAGTAACGGGGAAATAAACAGAACGATTACAAAATAAAAATAGTTACATCATATGGGAGTTACCTAGAGTGGTCAATACTCTACAATGGCCATAGCAAAGAAGAAGACTGAGTTTACTTAGTGTTCTGTTACAGAACTAAGGATGCTTTTCCATTCTCTCCTTGTCACTCAAGTTGGAAAGTTTTCGCGACAGCGTTGCATAAGCTGAGTGCATGGTACGGCCGATGTACTCGGATCCAAAGGACCAAGTAAACTAATACACACGCTGGTATGGCTTAATGCTCTAGCTTGTCCTTTGCATATTAACAAATGAGTTTCTGACAGGAGAATATGATTCTAAGACTGGTGCTAAAGAATATTCTGTTTACTGATCTTGATAATCTCTTTCTCAATATATATTTCTCTTGAATTCGAGGTTCAGCAGTAGCATCTTTTTCGGAGCATGTCAAATTCAGAGATGTGGATCTAAAGCTGAAAAACGCCACGGAAAGCGGAACTACTAGAATGGAAAAATATATTATGCCTCAAATGATGTTTAATTTGTTTTTTCAGTATGACCAGTTGTTGGTTAAGTCCTACGTATACGTATGTTTATCGTGCATGAAATAAATAGTGCTTCGTTGTGAATTTTGTTCCGCACCTTGAGCCAAGGTTATATTTAGAAACCTCAAGTACCAAGTACAAAACTTAAATGAAGGCTGCCTAATATTTGAGTCAGTTTAACACTCATCAAAAATGTGTAGCTGTAATTTCAAGTGGGGGAAACCATACCAAAAAAATTATATTACTTTTCATCTCTACGACTAGATTAGGCGTACTAATCTAACAGTGTAAACCACTGAGTAATTGTATTACCACTCGTCAAAACATTAGGTTATTCAGTCATTTCCGCCAAGTTATTTGTAATCCATTCATGAAGTAATTATTTTGTTTTTTGTCAATGTATTTATAGGTATTTCAAAGTGAGCTTATGTCTCGCAAGTCAGAGCTGACTCAGTTAAACAGCCTTTGTGAAATGATTCAAGAAAAGAGCAATGATTCAAGTGCTAAGAATTGTTTGAATCAACTACTGGTTCAGCTCCACAGTTTAAGTAAAAGTTGTGAAGTAAGTGTATAAACAAGAGTTGAAATTATTCAGTTTTTCTCATGGTATCATTGATAAACATTTGGTTTCCTGTTTTCATCTTCGACCTTGGTTCAATGTTTCATTGGCAATAATTTACTACATTATGTATTTGTTTCTGTTTTGACTAATCTAAATTCACACAATAACTGAAATCTGATTTAAACGTTTATTTAGCATAAGGACTTTATCATGAGGATATTTGAGATTTATGTTTGCTGTAAGAGACTGTTGGGATTTGATATTTTTCACAGTTCTTCTTTATGGAAGCATAACCAATACAGTGGTGTTTGCTTAGAAGTTTCTGAGTCAACTGATAAATAAAAAAGATCATTCTATGGAAAACTATTCATTTATATCCAGACCTAATATGCTTTGCTTTGTTTACTTTATTAGTCCTGATTTACCACACGTTTTCGGTAAACGAGCATCTGGATAGGGTAGCCTCGATATTACCATGAGTTTCAATGTATTATCATTTATTTGTTTGAGTCCAGATGTGAACCAGTGTGCGAATCTGCATCTATTTTTGACTACTTAGCTGAATTTACATGCATTCCAATGCGTAATCGTGATTATTCTTTGCCTGATGTATAACATTTTGATGCTTAAGGGGATTATTAGTGTCTTTAAGATAGTCACTAAAAAATCCTGGTGTATCCTATTGCAAGTTCATAAAGTCTACAGGTTTTACTATATGCACACACTTCAAATCTTGGTATAGAACTGAAAAGACAGAAACATTTGATTTCATACAGGAGTTACTCTTGCTGAGATATATCTGATTTCCATTAATTTATTCAGGTGTACACTAGATTTTAAGTTGTGGTTATACTCATCGGTTTGCTTATATTTTCATTGTCCTGTTATATCCATAGGGCTTATTGATAACACACACACCGGATAAGTCTGTTCCGGTGATCATATTAGAAGTCAAATGAGTAGTTATTTTGGTGGGTGATTGGCCACTGTTTAAAAGAGAAACATTTGAAGAGTTTCATGCTCTATTTACCTAAAATAATAAAAAAGCAAGCTTTCTCTAGTCATTCAGAAGAAGTTAATATATTAGTCGAATCACTTTACGATATAAGATACACATCCTGTAATCTTTTTTGTGAACATGAATTTCCAGCGTAGTTCTCTATTTCACGTGCAAAATCATTTCATACAATTCCTTACCCTTACAAATTTTTCCATAGCAAGAATAACAAACATTGTGGCATGGATCAAATTCACTTCGTGTGATCTAAGTCTTCCACATACTAACTAAATTCGAAATTGTGTACAGTAAGCTATCAGTGCCCAGCATAAGTCATCTGATATATTTCAATGGTGAAGCCAATACCAAATACGTTTTTCACGTATCAATATCAAAGATGAGTGACAAAGTTCGCGACCAAATTCAGGGAGTAGGGAGCAGCAACTCAGACCATAGAATCGATCAGTAAACACAAAGAAAACAATACGACGTAATAGTAGTCCAAGAATTTGATTACAGCTCAAGGTGGTGGAATTTGATGAAAGGTTGAGAACAATAAAGATGGTGTCTAAAGTGTATGAATTAGTGAATGGTAGAAGAATGAAAATGATGTGCTAAAAGCTATGATTAAGACATAACAGGTCAAAAATGATGGAAATGTAAACAGCGTTTGAGAATGATGAGTAAGGCAATAAAATGTGGGAATAAAATATTAAGTGAAGCTGTAGAGAAACAATAACTCACCAAGGCACTGAAAGGTAAATCACGAGCTACATTTGTACAAATAGTTTGTTTTCAGTTGATGGAACTAAGTTTTAAGTCGATCGCACGACCTGTATCGAAGATGTACTTACCAATGACACTGCTTGGCTGCATTCGAACTCTCAGTGACAGGATTTTCGGTACATGTTCAGAGATTCGTTTAGTAAGGACCTTCTCCGTTCCTCAGACATGCATGCTACTACATGTACAGGCAAATAAATAAATACGGTTGGAGGTTATCTGATGAGGTCTCACATCTAAATAGGTTTCTCTGATCATACTCTTCTTGTTATAGACAACTGCTAATTTTGCAGCTGGATAAAGTTGTGGGGAGCATACAGTCAGTCGGTGATTATTTTATGCACTCAACTTCTTGTCCTTGAATGAACATGTTCTTTTTCGGCACAGCTGTTTCAGTCAGTTCCTTATTTTGAGATATGAAGTATTTATTAATGAACTTTTGCGATATCAATTATCTAGTAATGTTTTTTGCATGTTATCTACTTCATTTTCGACAACTTCCTTGGACCATAGTTTTGACTAGACTTCTTTATAAGCGATGAGAGAGAAAACTATTAAATGGCAAATATTGACCGGTCCAAGTAAGCTTGTGATAAATTCTGTGTAGTATCGAATCATTTTTATTTCTTTTATTACTCAAATCCAAGAAATCTATGGCATCTAAGGTTTCATGTTCACATCTGAATTTCAAGACCGAACGAACTTTTTGAAAGATCTGAGTACGTTCCTCATGTGGACTTCATTGTCACATGTTATGGAAGTTTCATCTGTGTGTCTCAGATACAGTTTTGTTTGTTTGATGGTATCACTTAATGTGGTACTGTTTATGTGGGTTAGGAATGTGTATGAGAAGATGGGACCAAGGCAATAGTCCATGAGGACATCTTTTATCTGTCTGTAACACGAACAATTAAACTGGAATCGCACATTTTTTGTTCAAAACATCAATAAATTTTTCATTTTACCAGATGAAAAGTCTATCTTACCGGCATGACTACATATGATATCAAATGTTGCTTCAAGTGGCACTTTCGTGAATATTGACTGAACATCAAAAGAAACCGTATAATTTTTGCTCACCTGGTGATACCACGAAACACAGGCTGTGCTACGAAAGAAACAGAGGTCAAACACACGAAGTCTTCTCATGTCACCTACTTGTAATCGCTGTGTTTCACAGCCACACTGTAGAACAGAGTGGACTGCAGCACGGTAAGCTTGGCCCTTAATAGACAACTGAACATCATGATGGTACCATAGATGGTGTAAGTCAGCAAAGCCAACTGAACCTTTTTTATACATGCAGAGACTTCATCGACTACTGACCCACGAAGGCTGATCCGACTCAACTACTTCACTCTCTCTTGTTAGCCGGGGCACCACTGAAGACTATTCCTGGAGCAACAAACTGTACTCGGGTGGTGGGAAACACATCCAAAAATTCTCATATTGGCTATCAAAGTGTCCAGAAGACTCTGCATCTTGTCAACATCTTCACTGAACAGGGCTATGTGATCAGTAATAACCCTTAAAGATTAAACCTTCATCCAACACATTTTATAAGTTTATCTTATATCTTAGCATGTGTATTTAACCCTTTTTTGTCATTGCAGGATGTTTTGTCTAAACTTCAGTTCGTTTTATGGAGAATAGAGAGTTTCAAGTATTGTGCAATAGTATTAAAAGTTTTCTCGATTCAATAAGTGCAGAAATAAAAGGAATTGATAAAGGTGATCAAATCTCAGCTCAATCCGAAACTGATTTGAATACACTTACAGTGAGTCTTCTTCTTGTCCTTAATGAACACAGTTTGATTGGCATATCAAAGTTTAGGTGTACTTTTAGTCGCTTTCTGATAACCAGTATTTTAGTAGAAACTAACCAGTGTCCTACTTTAACCCGGTGACAATTAACTTCTGTTTGTCCAGAAAAACACATAATCAATAAGTTGTAATACAGTGGTTCCGAGCATAGAGACAATGATGGATTTACCATGACGTGTGGTGGATATTTATCAACAAAATCTATGGAATGTCATCCTTAGATTACAGCCTATTAAAAGATTGTCTATTCAGTATTCGTATTATATTATCCAAGAATAGTTCTATGAGCATTAAAAATAAGTGTTGATGAAGGATAAATGACTACGATGGACAAAAAGTAATAAATACTGAAGAAAGATCCTTATGTTATTAGCCGTCAAGTTGTCAAATGTGTTTTCAAATTCAACTGTCGATTTTGACTTTAGTTTCACTTAAACTTTTGCTGAGAGTAAACACCAGATTTTTGATTCAAAACCAGGAAGGGATAATAATTTGATTGACTGCTATTATTGTGAACATTCAACTCGGTAGTTTCATGAAATTCAATAGTGGTCTTCTGCATAAACTTGAAGAGATTAGTAATCATTTGAAACATAGAAGCCATTGATAGGGATTTGCCTAGTGTTTATCAAGTGCTGTACAACTAACAGTTTTAGGCTGATAAACCGTGGACAGTGAAATCTATTTTCATCTTGCTTGATTACTTAGCTCCAAAACTGCAATTAAACAGATTCTAAATGACTCGTACTTTTGGATTTTCTAAATTTCGCCTCTGCATTTTGAAAAAAGTCTCAAAATATGACATTTTCGAAAGATAAATGTAAGCTTTTCTTTTTTATTCCCACTTTTACTATCAACATCGGTGCATTTGAAATTCAAACCATTGGTAGTGTGATTGCATTTTATAGTCGAACAAGAATCATTTGAAAATTTATATTCTCAACTACTTACTTTACGTTTCAGGGCATATTTTTACGTTTAGGGTAGCATTCACTACGGACTGATATCAGTGGGGGAACCATTGAAAAACTTGTAGCACTGGACAGCTGTTTCGTCCTATTGGGCGACTTCTCAGGAGTGCCACTCACTACCCTACTGGGAAAGAACTCAGCACCTTCAGGTTTCGCGGGGAACGTGTTAAACATCCGCTCACTGTGTCGGAGTTCAGTGGTTCATAGTTTCTTACTTGTATCACTTCGTGATATAGCGCAATTATCCACCAATGTCTTCAGATGGCATCACCTTCACTTCCAACGACTCCTCATTATAACTTGAGGAAACTTTGGGAACTGTGGACCATTAAACTCCTACCCAGTAGGTGAATGGTTAACGCGTTCGCCTTAAAACCTGAAGTTTCCGGGTTCGATCCCTGGCGGGGTGGGGTCATTGGTGTGAACTATTGAGAAGTCCTATACTATGACGAAACATGCCTAGTCCTCCCAGGTTATCATTGGTTCTTCAAGGGATGTCGATTCACGATGACTACTTCCTTGATACAAAACCCCCATCCATTTCAAAATATTTTTTTTAATTTTTTCTTTCTCAGCTGTTATTGGAGTGTTCTCCTACAAGTTTATTTATCAAAACGACATAGTCATGTTATTACACCAGTGTGAAATAAAAAGAAGCCCTTGATAGTGACTTCTAATTAAGGGGAGTTTTCTACCTTCTTGTACATGATGTGTGTCTGTATTCAACTCAACAACTATTGGATATAACTTTATCTTTGAATGAAATGATCGAGACAAGTTGATTTGCATAACTTTTATCTGAGGTACTCACCACAGAATCATTAGCTAACATCCTGCGCAAAGAAGAATGATTTAATGAGATTGGTTGAGGTGTAGTTTATTATACGAAATACGACGGTGAATTCATCAATACAGCTGATGATTAGTTGCACTTCAGACTTTATGCAGAGATGTTAGCTGGCTGGAGGCAGTCGGAAGGGAGACGTGTGTTTTTTGCTTTTTGATACTCGTCAGTAAGGCGTATCCGCAACTTTGATGACGGAGTTTTCGTCCCCTATGAGATTCGAATTTTCATCGCCCACTGTTGAAGTCGGAGACGTTAGGATTAGACATACTGATTGGAAACTGGACAATAACCAAATTCATAGTGTCTAATCCTGACTGTCGAATTTCAAAAATGACTGACAGAATTCTGTCCACATTGAGGACTAGACAACATGAAATCGGTTACTCTCTATTTACGAATTAATGTATTTGATCTATTCCAACAGGAGATCAGTCACGGCCCCAGTAGCACACTAGTATTGTTTCTGGCCGCGGCACTGAAAGATGCTGGTTTAAATTTCTTAGGGGACATGAGTCTCCTCGAGGTAGCAGATATCCCTTACTGACGAGTGCCAACACACACGAAACCTAGGTTACACAGAGATTCCTATTGATTGTCTCTAAACATTTAACACTATAGACTATATTATAGTGTATCTTACAATGTCTACTTTAATTGGATGCTTTTTAGTTCAGTATATGAAAGGTCCGAAAGTAAATTTTATGGTTATTTTGTTTATCATTAGCTTAATGCGTCTGAAATTTTTAGGAAACATATACTCTGTTTGTGGTTTACCCACAGATCACTTAGCCTGTTAGTTGAAGATACTGAGTTATTCAAAATGGGTTTGAGTTTAAATAGCAGGTATCTTTCAGTCTCATATTATTAATGTATCGGTTTATAATGCTGATTCAAGTTCACCGATTCACAAATGATTTGTGGTTCCAAAGCTCATTGGTCAGAAGTTGGTATTTATAGTTCAAAAAAATATATGAACTCAATTAGTCATGGACAGTTCGAACAGGTAAAGCCATAAATTTTTTTTAACTAATTAATGCATTGAAAAATGTGAACAGATTTCTTCTAGTTGTGTATAATTCCGACTGATAACAACTGAGAGGTAACGGAGCCTATGTTTGATAGATTGACTTTCATGAAACACTTGATACCAAACAAACTGCAACTTAGTGAGGTGTCACGTGAATTAACTTCTTTTTTTTTGGTATCCGGTCACTAGACTTTATATTGTTTAAGGTTTATACAGTCTCTATATATCGGTACAAATAAAGTAGTAACTACTATGCAAATGAAAGTAATAGTTAAGATTTTAAAAATGGCTCATATACAGTTACTCAGACTTGTATTGACTACCTCGTAAGTACAGAGGTTATTATTAGTTTAAAAGAATCCTAAAATGCTTATATCTGGCAAAGAAAATTACATTTTTCCATTTATTTGACCTTAGAGATATATATGCAACGGATTATTTGAAAATGCTTTATCTGTTATTTACGAAGTCGACCCAATAAATTTCACATGGAGCACAATGCTAACCAATAGTTTCGGGCTATACTAAGATTCCTTGTATAACATATGTTGAAATAATTGATCCTTTTTATGCGAACAATTTTTATTCTAACAGAATATGCGTGAAAAACTGCGTTCATTACAGCCAAAACTTTTGGAGTTAAGTGATAGGGCTGATAGAATTTGTCGGGCTTCTTCAACTGCTGCGCTGACAATGAATCAGATGTTCATACTACATACAAGTCAGTGTGATTCTACAGTCTCAGCAAGTTTACCTGCTTTTGTAGACTTAAGTCATCATTCAACTATTCAACATGGATGGGACGCTTTCAATACCGAGACTGTTGGATGCAAAGCTAAGAGGCAGCTGAATGAATTTAGAAAAGAGTTCAGTGAAATAAGTCAACAAATAACCGAGGTAAGCTCTCTGAGTTATGCATTTTTATGGAATAATGACGACAACTTAGATTGTAACAATGACTAGGCTGTGGGCAGACTTCTGTAAAGAGCTTACAGATTATTATTTCTTTGGTTTAGTAAGCTTGTTAATTTCAGCATGGTTAGTTGTTTTATTTATAGTTAACAGACAAGGGGTTCCTTAAATTGTCTAGTTATGATTTATTCAGGCGATTTCCCAATCTGTTTTAGTTTTCCTTCACTGGAAGTAATATTGATAACAGGACATGAAGTGCCATACATACTCAATAAATGAAATATAGTCGTCATCTACTCACCTAAATTAATAATAATGATGGCTGCAATTTCATGAAATCGGGAAATAAAGATATAAAGTACAAAAAAATAGATTTTCCGAATGACGAGGTTGTCAATACGCGTGACTGGTAGATTAAATCATCTATTCCTCACAAAAAAAATATGAATGGCATTAAAAGGCACCTCAGTAACTGTATGATGAGAAATTAGGCTTCTTTGTTTTGTCTGGAAAACTAGTTTTGCATGAAGTACAGAAAAATAATTGGCTATTTCTGTGGTTTCCAGGCTAGCCTTCAACGTCACTCGAACAAGATGCAGACAGGATGGATAGACTGCCATCTATGCTTTAGTGAACTATCGAAATCAAGTCAAAATTAACGTAAAATATATTGGGTTGATGTGAATGAAATAAGTCATATCGTCAAACAAGGTCGACTTAAAATAGGGGAGTAACTATGAAGTTCAACCAAACAACTACTGAAATAACCTACTGGGTTGCAAGAAAAACATGTATTTCCAGTCTAAATAGAGGAATCTAGTCGATAGTTTTTTTCATTTACTAGCCTAATATAAGGATATAGAGATTACACAACAATGAGTCGGTCATCTTCCGTGCATGTGTTTAAGATGAAGTTGACATTCGTTATGTTACTGTGAATTTCTTTCCAGGAAATTCGGAATCAAAGCGACTTCTCAACAGTAAACCAAACGCTCGAGTTACGCATAAAATCTAAAACGCAGGATTTGTCTGGAATACAGTTCTATGTTAATAAGCAATATTGAGTAACTCAATAAAAACCTTGAATAGTGGGGTATTTGTGGGTTTATCGCTATGAAAGCACTAGCAAAGAGTATGTCAACAGTAAAAACTGCAAGATTTTGTCAAAGCAACCAGAAAGGAATATAAAAAATTCACGTAAGTTCTCACGATGAAGACGCAAGATAAAGAAATGTTCAAGGTAAAATAGAACATCAGGGAACAAGGAAAGAAACTATAACATCATCATGGACTATAAAAGAGAAGATTTATAGCTCAGGATGAGGATGATAATTGTTTGGTGTTCACCAAGCTTTGGATTAATTACTGATGAAATCATCTAACTTGGCGATGAAATCTGAAAGAACAAACTCCAGAACTTGGAGGACATCAAACAATCATCGTAAAAGTCTCTGATCAGCAATCAAGTGGATCACCTCTTTTCGAAAAATTTGGAGCAATCAGAAAGATATGTGTTCAATCTTAAGGAAATTCATAGCCCTTGAGTGAATATCACTCATACCATTCAGATGACTATCAGAATTCGTATTACTGTTAAATTTGAAGTGAACTGAGCCATTGGATTCATTATTATTTGTTATTTGTCCCTTGGATTCCTAGTGGAACGTACTGCTTCAGTAGCACGTTTCCATTCCACTCTCTTCTCTGAAATCCTTTGAACCTGGCTCCACAACAGCCCAGAAGCTCCCATTTCTTCCTCACACCATCTCCATATCACCCTCGGATGCCCAACTCGTCGTTCTCCTTTGGGTTCCACTCGACGGCCTGGCCTGGCACGTGATGTCCCCAGTCGGTCTTCTCAGTTCATGCCCAATCCGTCTCCACTTCTTTCTAAATGTTTGTTGAGCGATAGCTTCTTGGTTGGTTCTTTGCCTGGCTTGAGTTCCTTGTTGCTTGTTCTTACTACTTTGGCCATCGGATCTTCAGTAACGAGCCAGCGTAGGCAGTTCTTGATGAATGTCTGTAGTTTGTTTGAAATGCCTTTCGTAACGCTCCAGGTCTCTGAACCATACAGAAGCACTGACTTGACATTGGTGTTGAAAATCCGGATCTCGTTCCGCATGCTGAGTGCAGAAGATCTCCACACTGGTTTCAGACTAATGGAAGCCTGTCTTGATGTCTTTCTGATCCTGGTTTTGATGTCCTCATTTATGCCGTCGCCTTCAGCTGAAACGATGCTGCCTTATCTAGGTAGGTGAAAGAGGCTACTTCCTTTAAGTTTCTCCCATTGATGGTGATCGGACCTCGTTGTTGTTGGTGGCGGCGTTGGTTGGGTATCTTCGACACCTCTGTCTTCTCTACATTCACTTGAAGTCCCGTTTTCGCTGCCTCTTCTGTCAACTTGTTAGTTTTCATCTGCAGATCTTCGAGTTTGTGCGCGATACATCAGATATAAATCATCGTCGGCAAAATCCAAAATTCATCGGTCCAACCAGCGTATCTCCCTCTTCTCGCTGCCCACTGTTTTTTGCATGATCCAGTCCACCACAATCAGGAAGATGATCGGTGATAGTAGACAGCCTTGTCTTACTCCTGTCTTCACTTCAAAGGCGTCACTGAGATTTCCATTGTGAATTACTTGGCATGTGGCGTCTTCATATAGTTGTTGAATGAAGTTGATAAAGATTTGTGGCACTCCGTAGTGTTGAAGCAACTGCCAAATTATTTCTCGGTCGACACTGTCGAAAGCCTTTTCAAAGTTGATGAAGTTGGGGTTGAGCTGAGTTGACTGCCATTCTGTACTCTGTTCTATGATGATGGGAAGCGTTGCAATTTGGCCCGCACATGATTTGTTCTTCCTGAATCCAGCCTGTTCCGGTCGTAGTTTTGAATCCAGTGCATCCTTTAGTCTCTCCAGGAAAATGCGGCTTAATATTTTACTTGGGGTGGGTGGACAGGAGAGTGATTCCTCGCCAGTACTTGCAAACACTGAGGTCTCCTTTCTTCGGCAGTTTGACAAGATAACCCTTCTTCCAATCACTAGTCAGGTACCTTCTCTTCCTTCCACACCTTCTGCAATAGTGGTGTGGTGTGAGCATGTCCACTGCTGTTGTCTCTGAGTCTGTTCTCAGTGCTACTGGCGGTATCCCATCTGGTCCTGCTGCTTTCCCACATTTCAGTAGCTTTATAGTGTTCAGGACTTCCATTTTCGTTGGAGGATTTATGTTCACTTGTAGTTCAGCAGCTGGGCTGCAGGTGGTATTTCTGGACGAGGTCGAGTTGGTGGTGGTGGTCGATTCAACAGTTTTTTGAAGTGGTCAGCCCATTGTTTCCCTTGTTTCTCTTCTTTGGTAATTAAATTTCCGTCATCATCTCTTATTGGTTTCATCTGTGTTGATCTCTCCCACTTCCAGATAGTAACCTGGTTATTCGATACAATGTTGTCAGGTCTCTCCTACCAACAGCCTGTTCAGCTTCACTTGCCAGTGTTTCATAGAAGTGTCTTTTGTCTCTACGTGCACTTTTCTTCACTTTTTTGTCCAGTGTTTTATACACTGTACTAAGTTCCTCTTGTCGTTGAGCATCCTTGCACTGGTTTATCTTCTGCTTCACCATCCTCCTCTCCCTTCTCTGTCAGCTTCCATGCATCCATTGAGACCCATTCTTTGTCTTCTTTCTTCTTCCTTCCTAATACGGTTATGCAAGTTTCTTTCCACATCTCTTTCAAAGAGTTTCAGTGTTCATCCCCACAGGTTTCTTCAGGGATGTTACTCGATATCTCCCAATTTGTTCTGATGATTGACTGACGTGAAGATGACGCTGAATTTTCGTCCTTCAGTTGAGTTCCTGTTCTGGGTGTTGAACTTGAACTGTAGTCTATCACCAACTTCTTTGAAAGCTTTCAACTTGATTTGGAAGGTTCCTTGTACTGGATAGTGAGTGGTGTGAACCTACATCTGCTCCTCTTCTTGATCTGGTCTTGTGTCCAGTAGGCTGAGTGCATCTCCACTTTCTTGAGATTGAGATGAAGTCGATCTGACTTTTAGCGTGTCCATCTGGTGAAATCCATATTGCCTTGTGGATATCCTTGTGCTTTAACACACTGCCTCACTGCAATCACCAAATCGTTGAATGCACAGAATTCTGCAAACAATTCTCCATTCTCTTTCATTCCACCTATCGCTTCTCGGCCATGGTTAGTTCTCTTCCTGTGTTGTCCGCTCGCAGTTTGACAATCATGTTGTCCATTAGAATTTTGATGTCGCCAACTGGGGCTTGTCCATTGCTGATTGCAGTTGTCTGAGAAATTCCTCCTTTTTCTCTTGATCTGCATTATTTGTAGGTGCAAGTGTAGCATTGTACAATTATGACTTTCCTTCCTTTTGGGTTGAACCTTGCTGTTATGATCTGATCCTGGGGGAGATTGGTTCCCACTGCATGAGAGCCTTCGATGCTCTTGGTGAGATCATGATAGCCACGCCAAAACTCAGTGTGCTGGTGGTTGTCGATTGGTTGACAATATCAGAGTATATTATTGACTCTCTAGTTGACAGTTTGGAGAGTCCACTTCCATTCGATCTGATTTCGCAGATTCCAAGCACTTCTATGCCATACCTTCTCATCTCGTTTGCAATCTGGGCAGCTTTGTTAGGTTGAAACGTGGTGCGGACATTCCATGTCCCCAAGTTTACTTTCGCTTTCATCGAGAGAAGACCCATCGGCCAGTTGGCTTCCCAAAGTCTTCCACCGATCGGCGTCCTTTCGCCTCTCCGATTCCAGCGAGGAATAATTTTGTTTTTATTTTTTGTATTTTGTTTGTGCCTTGAAGTTTCTTTAGCGGTTAGATTTGTTTTACGGGGTAGGGTTGCTAGCCCTACACCCAATCTTCTCTCTTTATCCGGGCTTATGATCGGCTAATAACTAGTGAGCTAGTTAACCAGGGGAGGTTCAGCCACTGGATACTCAACATAACAACAAACAGCTTAAAAGAAGAAACAAGTTATTATAAAAGTTAGTGTCTTCTCTATATATTTTCGGCACTGCAAGCAACTAGCCATCTGGTATGAATATTGCAGTGAATACTTTCATTTGTAAGAGCATTAACCAAACTTGTGGTTATTAACATTCATTTTTACTCATCCTTGTGGTTAATAAACAGCTGCCTTGTACATCTTGCGTTCTGATTTCTTCTGTTAGAATCATGAGTGAGTTAGTAATTATTTAACGACATGAATGTAACCAATGTTAAACTGTCCTATTATTAACAATAGTAAATTAAACTAGTAGTTTAGGATAACTACGACTTGTCAGGATATCAGTTTGATTAACTTGGTGGCCACATTGCAAACCTGATCTCTAGAATTCCATCAGTACCATAACTAAATGCCAGATTCATTGCTATTCATATATGAACATGTTCTAGGACTGTTAGATTCTAAACAAACTTGTGACTGACTGAATCGATCAGGGTGTGCAGTCAGTATGTTAGGAATCTTTATAGCAGAGTTCACTTCACTTGATATTCAAAGACTGACAAAAGTACGTAAGAGGTTCTGAGTCTATGATTCGTAACATCTTCAGTAGGTTTACTTGAAGTCGTAAACAATAATGATGTAATGACCACAATTCATTGACCCATATCATTTCAAGATAGCCGCACAACTCTCAACAAGTGGTTTTACGGTTTTGTTATTCTCCATTCCTTCGTTTCAGCGGAAATAGGATTCTTCATGTATCCGGAATTGATTTTGCGTTTTCTCTGTTTCGTGTATTTACTGTTAAATTGATGAAAAAAGATTCGTCAACTAGTATCTCTCTACAACTTAATAAATTAATCTCTGGGATTGTTGCCTTGCCTCATCTCACTGTGTGATTTTGTGTCTGTAATTGAAATGCGCTGGCCAAGTCTTAAATTTAACTTACCTATCTTATTCTTGCCTATCAATGACGTGCCTATGAAGGTTGCTTTCTCGTTTGACTTTACAGGGATTGATCTTTACAAATGAGAGTCCTCAGTAGACTCAAAATACGCAAACGATTTAGTACTGTTAGGTGAGGAGAAAGAAAAAATTCAGTTTTCTTAATACCTTGAATGGCAATTCAAGAATGTTTGAGATGCATTTCTCAACACACAAATGCAAACTGTTGTGGCAGGACTGGTCTGCGTCGGTGCTGCTTCTGACAGTAGGAAATGAAGTGGTTGAAAAGGTTGGTCACTTCGATTACTTGAGAATTTGAATCAAGCTTGATGGGTTAGTGATCAACGAAATCCCGATATGAATACAAAAGAACTAGCAGGCTTCTTCCAACTTACGCCGTCATGTTGTCCACCTGCTTATTAAGGTCAAATGTACTGCTCAACTGTTCGCTCTGTCTCACTTGATAACTATTAAACAGGGTCTTTAGGTAAATAGAAGACATGAACAGTCTTCGCATGTTTGGTTAACTTTGCCTTTTTGTCATTGCTCATGTGTTGTAAAATCACAGTGTCAGAAATGCAGAAGTCAGGCGTAGAGTTTCATGTAAGCTTCTTTGTTTGGTTTTGTGCGGGACTCTAAATCTGTGACTAGAGACACTAGATGATATACCTCAGCATTGGTGTCAGTGGTGTAGATGGATGCTCACACTATCTCCTTAACCGTTATATGGAATTCGATCACTGTTTCATCCCTTCTTGTTCTCTTTTCACAACTTTCTGGTATGTTATGTTATTTTCTTTCTTATTTCTATATATTTCACCTTTTCCTTATTACCCTGAGATATTGGTATGAAGTGTGGCTCCTTGGATGGTTATTCAGTAATCCCAGATCTCAGGTAGGTGCTGACCGGGTGTCTGACTAACTAACAGAATACATACAGAGTCATATTATCATTGGAAACAAGGAACAACAAGTGGTAAAACTATAAAAATCAGATGTTCGAAGCTGAAATGACTATGAGCGATAAATTATTTTCAAGTGTCATCCAGTAAATAATCCTGCATCATTGTGTTCTGTTTCAAACAAACCTATTTCCTAAGAAAATACGCTCCATCACAGTACCCTCAGTTTTACTTACACGTCTAGGCCTATACTTTCGACATAAATCTGTAGCTTCAAGGGAACAATTTTTTTCTCATTTGTCTAACAACCAGTAGGATCCAATGTCTAATCTAAAAACTACGTGGCCCGATGACTGCTAAAAAAACCTAAATGCGCACTTAATATAAAGATAGTCGTCATACTCAGTGGTACGTCAAATTCGAATCAGAGCAGTTATAAATTTTGTGGCATGTACTTTGGTAAAAACATCAGTTTTCACATGAAAACAACCAACGAATTTGGCACACAGCTTTTCTGTTAGCTATTGGTTACATGCAACACAAGAATAAAACAGCTGAATATATCTTTTATTTTTATATCATGAGCAAGTGTTCACTTTCACCATAACATGATTCAAAAAAGTTTCATTTTGTTCCCTCTTTAAAATAAATATATACAAAGCATCAGGAAAAATTGAATAACTTGGTAAACGAACAGAAAAATCTAACCGAACTGTACAATGATTTACGAGGTTGGATCGATAAAACAGAAAAAAAGATAACTATTCTTGAGTCAGGCAGGTTGTTGCATCCGACTGAAGAAGATGAACAAAATATTCAGCCATTATCACGAGGTTATACAAAGTCAATTGAGAATGACTGGAACATCTACTTTCAACAAGTCAAGGTGAGTCCTACTGATTAGTGTTTCTTGGTAGCTTTCCTCAAATGACTGGTTATATAGCCGATTTCATCAGTCGAAATGATAAATAGTTTATGCGTAGATACTTGTTAGACTCTCACAACTGGCGTTTGAAGCGGTTAAGCTTTCGTTTGGAAGACTATAAAACCAAAATGTTACATATCAGTCTAGATATCTTTTTTTATATGGAAAGACACACCATGAGAGCTCTGAAACGCAAAGATGTTTTCAAGGGTTATTCTTTGTTCATATTTTTGGGAGGTTTACGGGCAGTTCAAAGTAATTTTCATCACAGATCTACATTACTCAATGGGACCGTATAGATTCAAAAAATACTAGATGACGCATCGTCTTAACTCGGAGCTCATCAGCAGTGCCATCCCATGACTTCAAGTATTATCTTTCCCAAGACACCAGGTCTCGCTGTAGGAATGTAATCGCTAACTTTCTGACGGAAAGGTGCTATCGAAAAATGTATGTTGAACAACCTATTCATCGTGAACGTAACTGCCTCAGGATTATAGAAACATATAGATGAAAACATGTGAAAAGTAACCAGCGTCTTCAATTAATTAGAAGTCCATCAGATAACTTATGTTTGTCATAAAACTTAGTCTTGAAGGATTCAATCTCTGGTAAATGCCACATTAGAAATGACTATAAGGTCAAGTATACATAGCATAGAATATTTTATTGTGATCTCCTGAGTTTTTGTGGCATAACAACCAAAATGTACAATAAGAGATATAGAAGAAGGTTCAGTTGTAATGGTGAGTCTGCTAATACGCAAACACGTTATAAGATAGGACACAGTTTAAGTCCTAAAAATTAACTTAAATAGATGCAGAGGTGTTATTTATTCACAAGTGGCTGGCGGTGGAATCTAAGACATGCACTTCATATCTTTTGGGCCTCGTCAGTTGAATCTACGTGTAACTAACTGTGTATTGGTGATTCACGTGGAGGGCTGAACACAGCATTGGTTTCTTCGGAAGTAAGAACGTTGTTTGCCATGCTGACTACTTTACGAAAGGAAATCTTGTTCAGGAGGTGCTACTTTTTAATGAGGATTTTGTACTTTCCTACTGTTGATTCTCAGAAATGAACTGATATATCTCTGTTAGTATCTGGTCCTTGTATAGCTGTCTCGATATTGCTTACAATTTTATCTTTATGACCTGGTAGATAGCCGATAATGTATTTAGATGCAAGTGAATCGAGCTGACTGTTTTCAGCCAGGACAAAATCCATGTCATAGATTCCACTGCTAACCTTGACATAACTAAATTATCAAAGCATACATGCTAGGAGCCTATATATCAACAGAAACTGATTACTTCATTCTAAAATGTCAAATAACGGGAGTAGAGTGAAAAACATCTTTTTATTAGTTAACGCGTAGTCAAACAATAACTGTATTTATGATCCCGTTAAAAATATTCACTACACAATCTTCAGATATCTTTGACCATGCAAGCTTAAATGTACATCGAAAGGTTTAATTACCAAAACAATGAAGATTGGTTCTCAAACTGAGTTGTATACCACTCGGCTAATTTTTTTACATTAAGAAACCTTCAGATTAAGAGTAGCCAAATAAATGTCAGTAGTATTTATCTTGACTTCGTCAAAATCAAACAGGTAAGCTTCACGTGTTTAAAATCATACAAGCTTAACTAATTCATTGTAGAAGGTATTTTTATCAGTGTAATTCCGGCGTAGTAGATTAGAACAAATAACAAAATAGACAAATATTTTGTATTACTTCACAAGTTTTCGACCTTTCTAGGAAGACCCTTTCCAAGAGTATGAATCTGATATTTTATAGGCTACTGCGGGATTATACAAGTAAGATGAGTTTTAAACAATGAATCACATTAACTTGGAGTCTAAGTTTTTTCAAACAATTTAGTCCTTCGTTGGTCTGGATACGTACATAACTAATTCACTTAGGCGGTGATTCAGGGTTCGATTGGTTTCAGTATAGCGCAGACGAAATTCTACAAGTGTGAGTAGTAGTGAATTGGGATCAGAGACAACGTCAGGAATTATGTAAGCGTCTGGGGAATATTAATGAATAGGCAGGGTGAGTCAAAATCAGTAAGCCCGTAAAAAAATAAGGTTACTTTACGAAAACTCCATGGTTTCAAGACAATTCTCAACTTGACCTGGGAGCAACTGGTGAACCACTCAGCCGAGAAATACTCGTTAGCTGTTTCAACTCAGTTTTTGGATTCTTCAGAAATGCGTATGCATAGGTCCATACAGGATCCCTACCAAAAGATTCAGATCCGATCATTACAACAGAATTAACACATTTCGGAAAAATCTAAGCAACTGGATTCTAATTTAATGACTTACTGATAACTGGGTCACTGCAAAATCAGACAGCCTTTGGCTTTATCTCAAGTGGGATATTAGGTGTACACTTTTGAAAAGTCAGAGACAAAAAGAACAACTATCAACCGCTTTTTCGTTTTGAACTGTACTTTAGCTGATGTCTATGAGTAATATAAACTGCTTTAAAATAAAGTCTATATCTAGTTTATTTACTTCCGCATAAAGATGAAATATAAATGCTGAGTTAGAAATGGTAGAGAATATTTGTAACTCAGCTGGATGGTATTGGTTGTATTGTGTTCTCTGAGCTGAGTTGTTCAATGGTGTCCATATTTATACATCTACTGATTGCTGATTGACCTGAATGTCAAGCTTGTAGACACTCTCTGATATTCTTTGTGTTCCCTCTGTCCGAAATTCCGATGTTGTCAGAATTGAATTCATATCCATAATTGTCCACATGCATTGAAATGAGTGACTAAATGCTGTGACGTTTAATAGTCAATTGTTCATGTAGACGAAGGTGAAGAGGGCGACCACTCTGTCCAATGTAGTGTTGACTACAGTTATTGCAGTTGATTTTCTAAATGAAATTTGGTTTGTCTTCTTTGTTTGTTGCATCCTTTGGTCTGCATAATAGTGTTTGGAGGGAATTTGTTGGTTTATGAGCCACACCAATTCCAAATGGTCTCAGTAATCTTGTTGTGATTTCTGATATATTCTTTATGTATGGTGGGACGATGCGTTTGTTGATTTCTGTTGATGACTTTGTAGTTGATGATGTACGGGATAGGCATCTTCTGATAAAGTTTGGTGAGTAGCCGTTCTTCTTCAGGATAGACATCAAGTAATTTTTTCTTCGTTTCTCCGTGAAGCTGTTGTGCTGTAGTGTGTTCTCGCTCTTTTGAATAGAGTCTGCAAGCAACTAATGTTATGTGTTATTAGGTTGTTGATACTGTAGTTAAGGATTTGGTCAGTTTGTGTTAACTTCCTGTACACTTGGGTTTCCAGCTTTCCGGAATTTGTCCTACTGAGAGAGAACACAATGCAACCAAAAATGCTGAGTTAATAAAACAACTTACAAAGTGGTGCGAGTCATCGTTTAAAACTGTGTACATAACAAACAGAATAGGGTCATTCATTTCATTTTTCAAATATTGTTTTGATGGTTCTGTTTAAAAGTAGTATTTGTCGACAGTAAAAGTTGGTGGCATTCTACGAGAATAGTCTCGGTATTTCTTTCCACTTTATCAGTCATTTCCATTCCTTCCACTAAGCATGTTTGTGTACTTGAACTGTTCTCACCAAGCAAATCTGCTGTCACTTTCTGTAGGCTTTACATAAAGAGCTCAATGAGTATGCACCGAAACATGAAGCGTTTTGTGACAGTCTGCCTAATGCTACAACTGTTAACGGTCATACAAGCAAATTCAATCAAATGACTGGGAGATTTACCAAAATCAAGGAGCGAATTCAGGTAAATTTAATATTGTACCTTTTGTTTGAATTAGTTAAGTCCAGTATGTCTTTACTCTCTGTATTACTCACTGAACTGTATATCTGAAGCTATTAATACTAACGTATTTGCGCTACACTGACAAATATTTTGCATTCCTTTCGAGGAAAACTTAGGTAGGATGATCAGCCTGAAAATGATTTACAGACTGCATGGTTCAAGCTGACATTTCTCACAGCTGAGTAGTTTTTAACTGCCCAACTGCGACGTTAACCTGATTTCAGTTGGAAACTCCTCAGGCAAAAACACAAGGTGTGATGTCTGACCAAAAAGTCTCGTCAACTAGCAAAACATACTGCTACTTATCAACTTGGGTATTTATAGACAACTCAGGACACAGGGAAATGTTATCTGTGTTTAGATCACTATGGTATTCCTAGTGAAATCTACATATTACCTTGAGTGATTCCTAACTATTCAAGTTATTAGGCAGTAGTGTTTTTCACATTCGGTAGACTTTTGGAGGTCAGAGCTTTTCTACTTTTTGGATTTTTGTTTGAATTTCCTTGGAGACATTTATTCCTTTAGATAAACTTGAACAGCTCGTTTTCTTGAGGTATTTCTAAGAATACCTTAATGTAGTATAGCATGGAAGCTAGACCAAAACTAAAGATACAACCACTGAGTGGCATTCATTGTGCTTGGCTTGAAGTTTGTTAGTCAGCTTTCAAGAGTATCCATTTCCTTTCATTTATTCTAATTTCAACACGATTTAATTTGTTGCTTGTTATTTAGTCACACTTACTGTATGAAGGTTTTAATGTGATCTGTCGACAAAGTCAAAACTCACTCAAAAACACATGGACAGTTCTGTATTAGGAAATGAGACACACCTATTGTGTAAAGACTAATGAAGCTACCTGACTTTCTAAACCTTATTAGATGAAGCCAGTTTAGAACCTGTGACCCACTGATTGAAAGTCAACTGTCCAATTCTATAAGCCACTCCTTATTGACAACTGAGAACTCAGTTTGTGCAAACGTGGCTTATTTGCATCAGCATTCGACTTTTGAAGCGATAGATTTGTAGTACAAACCAGACTTTGACCTGCGTAAAATTATTAGTTTGGTTGACAGCCTACTATATAAACCTTAACTGAGAAGTGTTGCATTTCTTTCATGTATCTGTCTCATTATCTTCATTTATGGGCACTTCAATACACATATACACATTTGGATGAGTAATATTCTCTGGATGATAAATGTTGATAGATGAAACTATCACGCTCTGATATCAGTTAGAAATAAAGAGGAATGAATCAATGCAATGGTACCAGGGGTTTTAGAAAAAAGATTAGTAATGAGTCTTTTGCCTATCCTTGTTGTACGGATGGTAATCTTCAAAGGCACTGGACTATGGTTTGGAATTTCTCGCTACTCATCTACAAACTTCAAGAAACTCGACCTTTTTCGTGTTTGAATCTTCTTTATTCACCGTTAGACTCATCGACTTCAAAGTCAAACTATTCAGGTTTCTCTTCTTCAGGATGGATTTAAAAACAAAATTGAAATCCGGTTAAAAAATTATCACCGCGTAGCAACGCAAATGTCAAACCCTGTTTCATGTGACACTTTTAGTAGTGTATGTAAGAACATTCTGAATGAGTACGTAATTTTCAAAGTTAAAATGACCCAATTTGATCAGAAAAAGTATTTTATACATACTCTGGGTTGTATTACTGGGGTGGTGTCGAACAATCTAAGTTGAAGGCACTTTAATCAAAATTTAATTGCAAGTAATCTAAGTTGTGACAAGATTCGACGTAAAGAGCTTCCATTCATCACACGATTCCTGATTGACTGCACTACTCATTTATTATCAGTGATCAGTCAAAGGTTAACTTCTGAGGGTGTATTATCAATTCATCGCTTACATTTCTAAGAAGACTGTTTAAGGTCATAAGGCGTAACAGGTTAGACGGTAATTTGCAGTCATTGAAAACAAATCTTAACTTTTAGGAGTGACCCAACTGTTGGGAAGAATAACTTTCTTACATCAAAGTTATGTACTTTTCAGCCATTGTTCATCTGAAATCGAACAATAATAGCAACCTTTATCGAATGTTTATTTTTTGCACATACTCTCATTAGTTTCCACTTCCTTTCTACATGTGTATTAAAGGACTGAGATTTACAAAAGAATATAAGAAGTATTGTAAAAACTTGAAATGCTCAGTTTTTGTTTCATGTACATTTGCTTTTTAGCAATGCGCCAATTGGACCAATGTCATTCAACAAAACTTGGCCACATTTCGTGACTCCGCACAGACTACTGAACGATGGATGAGTAGTATTAATTTCCGTCTCATGTCAGCAGGGAATAATAATAGTACTGGTAATCTGACAGGAAATTTATCTACTTATCAAGATTCAACAGTACAGATTGATCAGTTGATCAGAGAAATTGACAAGGAGGGCAAAAGCCTTTTAGAAAATACGCATCAATTAGTTCACTTACTTATACATGCTATATCAAAGGATTTTACGAGCAAAACCAACAGAATTTGTGAATCTGTTACATGCCCCTACCGACAAATTCCACTTGACCAAGATGTAATTGATAATTGGAAGTATTTGGTTAATAGTTCAAATGATGAGGGACTTTTGGACAGAATCGCTTTAGAAACGTTAAACAGAAACAAAGAAATTGAAACTAATTACATAAATATCCACACAAATGCACAGTCAATTAAGGTGAGTAAACTTTGAGCATTAAGTAGTGTAAGGATCGGTGAACTCTCTGAGATAAAAAGAATTTACCTGACTTCATTACCCCCAAGACTTATTTGTTTGAAAACAATAAGTTTGGTAATTCCCTTTGAAGCTAGAACACGATGGTAAAAGATGACATGAAGGCGCAGTGAAGCTCGTTTGACAACCACAAGTAGATCTTCCAGATGAACACATCAACTGGGTTAATTAGCAGTTCTATACAACCACTGAGTTTTAATAGTAACAGTGCTGTAGTCGAACGATATTATTAGTATTTCTGCAATTCCCTGTTCACAACAGTAAGTGCTTTTGATAACTCCTAATTTAAGAGTAGTGATATGATTATGAGCAACAAATTGAACTCGAAACGGCATCTAGTAAATAATTTTCTGTCAGTGTGTTATGTTAAATAAACTATTTTAATGTCAAATATTTCAGACTTTAACGGTAGTAGGCTGATATTTCAATGATTAACATACAGACTACGTAGACCATCTTCAACATATAAGTGTAATTATGGCTTTATGCCACACTGATGGAACACCCCCATCCCGTTATATCCTCATCAGTCCCCTCAATATTGCATCACCCTCGTCCTGAACAAGACCTAGTGTGTGTTGTCCGGGCCTTGCGCCTTATTGCGATTTAGTACTTGAAGTTCCTTACAGGTTGGTATTAACTAACCAGTTAGAACAGAACACTGAGAGGAATGTTGTTAGATAAGTAAATCAGCTGAACTGATGATGGAAGTGTTTCAGGTATTTAAAAAGATTTGGATTGGTATGCTTTCCGCTCTCGAAACTGTCTCACTGACACCAGACTTCCTGCCTCCTGGGGGTTGCATGAGGAGAAAAGGCTTCCAAATATTACATATGCTCCCACTCTTTCCATCTCACTAGCTCTTTCTAACCATCAAGCCTCACGTCTCTTGGGTAAAAGATACTTGATCTGTTGCGCAAGAGATTTACATGCACCATTTTAGTTGCTGCTTTCGGGAATACACCTCTGAGCGACAAGAAATCTTAATCAGCTAGCGGAAACAATGCTTATTGGGAATATGTTTTTGATAGCTATCGCCAGTTTCACTTACCCTTTTCATGGTATCTCTAAAGTGCAGCAAGACATCTGTACATACAAGAGATTCAGCAGCCAACTTTAAATCTAGCTTGGTTTAACATTTAATTGTAATACTAGATGCAAGCAGTTTACTTACCTCGAACTATTACACACTAAATCGTTATCAGCATATGGACAGGTGGTCTAGAAGGAGCTGTGTTACAGTACCACTTGCAACATCTTCTTTGGATTGTAAGCGCAGAAACAAAGGCTTCTTCCCCACTGTCATCAGTTCGTGTTTAGGACCAATGTAGCTGATGTTAGTTTTGATGAACTTATCCGGATAACTATTATCACTTAGAATATCACGGCTAAACAACAGTTCTTTCTCCATATACTCCTTGGAATAAATCGATCTTACTCTAAATGCCAGGTATTTGATTGTGTTACTTTTTCACTTCATTGGTATGAAGCTGAGAAAGTGCGTATACTGTGCCTTAGACGTTGGTTTTCTACACATACTTCTCAGTATAGAGCCATCTTTTTGTGTCATTAGCACATCAAGAAGATGTATCGAATCATTGACTTCATTCTCATATGTAAAATGAACTGATAGGTGAGCTCTCTTGAAGTAGCTCAGACTAGAATTAATGAAGTACACTTACCAAAGACTGAAACGTACCATCCATGTATCGACGGTACAACTCTATATTGGCAATTTGATCTTTCAAAGGACCATTTTCAAATTTAGCCAAAAAGGTGTCTGCAAATATTGGAAATAGTTAAGACCGTTGAATATATATATATATATATATATATATATATATATATAAACCATTTTATTTTGCATATGTTTTGACGTTGCAATGCATCTTTTGTTATCTAGCCGCCTATTCCACTAACGGAGAAACTGAGAAGTCATCAAGGGTGGAATTTGAAGGTTGCTGTTTGAGCATCAATATATATATATATATATATATATATATATATATATATATATATATATAAAGCATGTTATATGGACCTGCCAAAAGTATATAACAAGTGGCGAGAGGGTATAACAGTTACTTACTACCAACTAATCGCCACCGACCTCCTAAATAACCCTCTTCTGAACCTCGATACGCAACTTGTTTTGATTTTTCCTGGTAGGAATGAAATATCGGTGAAAGAAAATAGTTACGGGAATGTTAAAATAAACATGTGATAAATAGAAGTATATACAGTACCAGCTGGTTGAAACCCTCTATTAGTGTGAGTGATTTTCAAGCACGCCTGTTATTTTGGTAATATATATTTCACGGTTCTTTGTTTTCAGGCTGCACACTGCTAACTGTGTTAGGCTGAACATTATTTTTAGTCTGAATATTTTGGAGTTTAGATAGAAAAAGAAATTTATTAGCTACTTTGCTGATAACTGTGTTATTTTCTCCAAGGTTACTCTGAGGAAATATTCGATTATTCAGAGTCATTGATTATAATAACATTTGCAGTGATATCTGTTCTTGTGAATCACACTTTTTGCAAGTAACCTTTTCTTGAGGAATTATTATTAAAAATCTTTTCTCACTTTATTGGTTGATTTATTTAACAATACAGAGTCGATTAGATGATCAGCTGAATCGTTTCAAATCTTACATTGACTCCTTAAATTCAACCGCTACATTTATTTTGAATGATTTACAATCCTGGTGGAAACGATTAAGTTTAGTTAGTCAGTCTTCCTCCGCAATAATGACAGCAGCGTCAGTGACCGGAATGTCTGCAACGAATCAGTTTATTTTGACAACAGATCCAATTTCATCAAATGGTGTTCATGCCACAGGATATACAACATATGCGAATAAAAGTTTTATCAGTTATCAAATAGATCGTTTGAAACAGTTGACTACTGAAAAGTCTCCAGCTACAGCTGTGAGCCTTGAAGATGTTGGGCATCAGTTAGCTATGACACTGGCTATGCAATCTAAGTTGATAACAATGAAAAGAGAATTGTCAGCATTTGCATACAAGTGAGTTTAGTCAATAGCTAATTTTTGAAACTTCTTCGCATATATATATATATATATATATATATATATATATATATATATATATTAGATGAAATTCTTCTCTTTACTGAATCTATTGGAAAGAAAACTGTTGACTGATGTTTGTCATGCACTTAGCTTACCCATGAGTTGTAGAAAACCTAATATGTATGCATCAGTGACTCTACATGGTGCGCAGCTGAGTTCACTTAATCAGATCGTAGGCAACAATAAACTGAAGATAGAACCATATTATTGCTTAGGGTCTAACAGTTGACTGATATATGTATTTATTATGCCATCGAAAGATACATTAAAACTGATACTTCACACATGAGATTAATTGTCCTCTAAAATTTCTTTTCAAGTGGATAGTATAACTCCTTCGGATTCTGTTTTAAATGTACGTGACGGATAATCCTAAAGACACCTCCTAACTAGTCACTGAGATTAAACATTGCATTATGGTTGATAAATATTTTGCATCCATGTATTCCAGTTTTAGGGGGATGTAGATATTAAGTTCCTCATTTCAAATTCGAACTAACTGGATTTTTTTACTCATTTTGTGTTTCTTCTTTTTTAAGTGTCTAGATATGTAAACAATTTGAAAGAGTTAAGTAATTTTGTTTCAGCCTTATATTTATAGGTACTCACTTGCTAAAATTATAAAACTGCTCAGATGAAGATGGAGTTGGATTTTGGGTATATGTAGATGATATCTTTCTAGATTAAAATAGGTATTTCTTCTAATCAACTCACTCTTGAGCAACTTCACTTACGTCTGTCAACCAAAGTAAAAGAAACTAATGCTTTTACGTTTTTAACATTTCATCCACAGAAAAGGATGGTGAATCCATGGATATAAGCATTCATGCAAAACTCTTGACCTAAATATAATACATAAACTGTCTCAGTACAATGCCTAAGAGGCCTAAGTAGAATGTGATTCGGCTTTGGGCATTTGTTGCTAGATAGCTTCGATCTGTGAAGTGCCTATAAAGAAGTTGGAGGTGTGCCTTATTGGTTTAAAGAGATGACTTTCACTGCTGCACCTACCGAGATTTGAGCTTCTAGATTGTATCATCAGCCCTTATACTGCCTACTGCAGGAATGTTCACAAGGCAGCTGAGTAGGTTTTGATTTTTCTATGATATTGTTTTCATCTTGGTGAGTAGCATCAAGATCCAGGACGCATATTTCACCTATTTAGAACTCGTTGGTTGGATGTACCTGGATTACATTGCACCCACCACCCCGAACGCTGTGTTATCCACTAGGCCACAAGGGCACAATGGATACCGTAGGTCCAATGAGTTTAAAATTTTTATTGATACATGTAATTTCTCGTTGCTATGCGGGGTTGAGTTGCTCGACCTCTGTTGACAGATGAGTTTTTGTGCTGATGCCTCGATACTGCAAAATACAAATATCAATAAACAATGCATTCATAATACTTTATGTATTAGTGTTTGCTCAAATGAACAGAAAGTTGAACCGATAAAGAGCTTTGAACAGATTTGAAGCTGTTCAGGTTGCTACACCTTATGACATCACAGGGAAAGAAGTAACTGAAAATGGAGACATTCTTAAATAAACAAGAAATAATAAAGTGTAGCACTCTGACGATGATTCAAATGAATAAATTTATGCCTCTGTGGTTAACTTTGAGATATAAAAGTGACTCGTTGATTTATTTTTTCTTCTTTGATAAAGTGTCTTGGTCTGTTCTGTGGTCATTTTATTTCTATACACTTACGCTTACAAACACCATGGTCATTCACCTACTCAGTTCAAGACTAGCCTTCTTTAATGTATAACTCATCGATTAATCGTATAGTGCAACTGTTATCCATCTCTATTCGTAGGCATATGTTTAGGCCGCAGCTTGTCTCACTGAATTTTTTCTACACATAGCTTTTAAGAATGGAATCTACTTTCCTAAGTTTCATTTACAGCTTTAGATCAATATTTCATATAAAGTTTTGTCCACTGCTAACGTTTCTTTAGATACAATTGTTGATTTGATTCACAAATGTAGGGTTGGATGGGAAAAATTTTAAAAAAATGTGATCTTCATTCACAGTTATTCCAGATTTATGAAGAGAAAGATCCTACTTTACCATTTGTTCTACGTAAAATAAATCTCAGGTTATTATTAGGGGTCATGTGTTGCATTAACAAATCAGATAAACTCCTATTTCTTATTTTGCCATCTGTATTTTGAGTACTAGATGTTGAGAAGTGGATGATATAATCGATGCACAATCACTTTTATGAGACAGTGGCTGTGTCGCATTAGCTGCAGAGATTGGGAAATCTAGCACTTGTTTGAGATAGGTGAAGTCAGAAAAACAACATTTATGATTGGGAATAAAATTTACTTCATATGATCCCACCGAGGTAAAAATGTAAATTCTTAGGAGAATGAAACATCTACAACCCAGCACATGTTTGAATAGGAAGTATAATGAATCAGACTACATTGTTCATACACGGACACTAGGACAACGAGACGGGATTCACTTTCATCGTCAAGAGTCAGTGTGTACATGTTCGTTACAAACATATTTATAATAAATCTTGTTCAGTGAGTTAAAAGTTAGGGTATGAACCATTAAAAACACGTAAGCATATGTAAACCGGTGTGATAAAGGTAACTTTTACAGGTTTTGTTCTCTCGAGAAGCGGTTTCCACGAGCTATTGAAGCATCTGATGCTTACTTTTCTACTTCCCTGGGATTTAAAAAAAATTAAATTTGTTTAGAAAACCGTTTATTCAATCCTCAACTTTGCTAATTCTATCCGATTAAATCTGGATTCTGGTGTCTAGAAAACATCTTTCCCTGTCTCAAGAATCGCTTTAGGAACTGGTTCTAAGTAATTGCTACTATGTTCAATTCAATTGCTTTTTTTGAATACTTAGGTTGCAAGCACAAGCATTGCTGGCGGTTTTCAGTCTGGTACTTCAAGTTCTGATACTATCCCGAAACTTTTCTAGTGCAAAACATTATCATTAGTAGATTTAAGACCCATAACCTGCTTTCTGCTTGCTTTTTTGGTTGTTCTACGCTACCATAGCTTTATTCTAAGATCTGTACAACCATCCAAGCTTTGTTTTCACCCATTCTTTTAGCATAGAGGGAAACAGATAAAACAGTATTCCTCATAAGTCAATCACGTTTCAGACTCATGTTTAGAGCGTATTGAGTGAATTTTTCAAAGGAATCATTTTCATCACCTCGTATGACCGGTTCATGCTTGAGTCCTAATTATATTGACCCGTATATGTCAGCTAAAACTTTTACTAGAGTTAAAAACTGTTACAATCCTGTCTTTTTGTTTCCCTAGTAGAATGTCTGACTTCAGTGTCAATTACTACTGAATAACATTTTTAATAGAATAAGTCATACTGAGAAATTCTCCATGTTGCGTCAATTTCGTTAAAAATTTATTTAAGCAAGTCATTAGGTATTATGAAATTGGAAACGTAATATATGAGAAAATTTGATCTATGGCCCAAGTAGTGTTTAACTAGGAGAGTAAAAATGTATCAGTACTGCTCTGAACTCTCAGAGTACATTTAAAGATGAAATGAATAAAAAACATTAAAGTGGAAGCTGCTTGAGAATTGATTCTACTTATAGTTCAGTAACTTGGAAATGAAAGTATCCCTGCCTGACGCTAAACAATCTGATTACCTTCTGTTTTACGCAAGTCAAACTGGGTGGTACACAAACGTTTGTCAGATGCATTTATAATTTAGTTATATATAATGGTCAAAATGAAGTTCAGAGGTGACTGATAAGGAAAACTTCAATTATCTATTGCTTGCCAGAAACCATCAGGACCCATAGGATGTCACTGCAATGGATGACTAGAAGATTTCAACATTTTAACTTTATATAGTACTAAAATGCAGGAAATTTTAACAAACGACTCTCAGTTCAAGCCTAATTTCCTCACATACTATTCAATAATACTCATACAACTTTCACTGTAGCTTTGCCGCTAACTTTCCATTGCCTACTAGATGTGGTATGTCTTCAATGGAGGTCGATTATATTCCACAAGATGATAACATCGACAATAACAAAAGTAACAGCTCCGATCAAATCCTCGTGAGACTGTTAGCCAAACATGTTCAAAACGCAATTGATATTGAAAATAAAAAGGTAATCGATTTATAACTTTTTTTGAATTATTTTTTATTCATAATTGAAATTCAGAAACAGTTCACTATCTTTCAACTGATTTACAAAAAACCCTTGATAAAGGATGTTTTCAAAGTTCTAAATATACACCACTCGATTCTAAGATATCCTGGTATCTATGGTCTTTGTAGTTAATTTCTTCGGGTCGACACATGTTTTAAAGTCGAGCATCAGAATCGTAGAAAACCAGTGGGTTTTCATTGAGGAACATTGTTCATTTCTTTGAAATCTTATAAACTCTATTTGTTACCACATCCTGATCCACAGGTTAACTAACTGTATTGCATTCCATCTGCAGATCAAGAAATACTTCGATAAGGAAATTGGCAAAAATAGCTTTAGCAGAATATTCTGCTAATGAATGCTGTTGTATATACAGTAAAACGTTCAGAAAAATCGTATTTCATTTTCTAAACTCTCTTATTTTTACAACGATTAAGTCAGATTCGGTGCTCAAATCCTTTCAGTGCATAACTAGAAAATTATCTTCACCCAACTTATCTACAGGACAGGGAATGTTCGCTCAGTATATCTTCAACCAGGCTTGAAGCCTAGTTAGTGGTTTTGGACTAGGTTCCACAGTGCCGTTTAGGTGCCGTGTGACTACGTATTCTACAATTTTAGATTCATAAATAACGTTTGTTTGTAAGTTGCAGCCATACTGTGTATGGCACAAAAGAGGTCCCAAAATTTCAAATTATACTCACATACAAAATATTTTAAAGAGATACTTGTAATTTCCCCTTGATATACTGGGTCAAATTTCTCGACCTCTGTACTCATCGCTTCAAACGCCAAAGCGTTATCACTTACGTGGCTGGGGTACGACAATCGCCATTTGTGCACTCCTAGCGACTAAATAGACTACTTGGAAATGAATTTACTGAGTGTCAGATTCTACCGCTATTTATGTAGTCTCTAATATTAAGGAATTGTGGACCTCATAAATCTACTAAATTCTATGCAAATACGGTATCTGAACTCAGTGTGAACTGATAGATGTTAACATTATTCACAACAAAATGATTCTTTTTAGATCGAAGGTTGTGTACTTTTTTATAATTCTATACTTCTTGAATTAACAATCATCATATATATTGGTATCGATTTCGAAAAATAAGAGTAATACTGTAGGAGTATAAGTTAAGGTAACGTGGTAGATTGCAACTGCGTGGTAAGTGAGTTAATTTGTTATGTCGCTTACTGAAAAAGTAATATTTGCTGGGTGATATTTCGAGTACAACTTAGCTCTCATAATCTCATAAGTTTTATGAAACTCAAAAACAAATCTAGGATGGTGGTTAATTTTCTCTATGTCTCTCTGTTATAGGACATAAATGGGAATGAAATATACTCTATGAACTAAAATAAGCGAATTGGTTTGCACTGTTCATTATATGTTGAGAAGTGAAAACACGAGTATTATGAGTAATCAGTAGTTTTGTTCGTAATACTTTTGTTTGAAGATTGTCGTTTAGGGTTTTAACTTGTATAAGGCACCAACAAGTATGGAAAAATTATTAAAGTGTGAGTGAGATCTCAAATTCTATTATGGAACAGATGAAGAAGCACAGTGAAGAAAATGCCGATCACAGAAACAACCAGAACATGGAATGTGAATCAACTATGAAAGTAGATTACGTGTTAGTAATTTTGAAATTGCACTTCTTAGCTTGAAGGACTGAAACACAATAACGTTTAAATGCGATAGAACAGCGACTTCAGAGATGTGAATACATAATATACTACTGGTTCGTTTGAATACTTAGAAACCACTCAGGCTGGTCTGTAGATTTTATCAGCCAGATCACAGTGATCTAAACAACTGACGGTCGTTTTCCTCGTTTGGAGACTAGCTCATTAGTTGTGTGCCCAGACAAATTCAGATCATAGAACCGAATTTATTTGCATGGAATGATATATCAGAAATAGAATGATCAATTTGTAAATCATTTACAAACTACATGGTTCACGTTGACATTTCTAACAGGTGAGTAGTCTTTCAACTATCCAGTCATGTTCTTGATGTGGACACGGTTTTTATTGTCAGTATTCATCCATGAAATCTTTTCATATTCGAAAAGATGTCTGTTTGTATTGATAATCTAGTGTTCGACAACAGACAGGCTGTAGGCTCACCTTGAATATCGCTTTTCTGATTTCGGTAAAAAATTTGAACCCCTCATCAAACTTGGAACACTTTGCTAAACATGATAACTAATGATTTCTATTTTTTGTCTCATAAGCCTTTTGAAATACTTAATTTCTTACGTTATTGTGAAAGTAACAAAATGCTTTTTTTTCACATATTCAGATAGTTTTTGTAAGAATCCTACTTGTTATTATATTGATTAGCTTGAAAATCATACTGAACAACTACGTGAATTAAGGGCGAAATGGGAGCACTATGTTAAAGAGCGTGATAAATTCAGCCGTTGGTTGTCTGAACGTCAGACAGCTTGTCATCACCTACTAGAGTTGAGATCAAGGTCTACACAGCCTGAAGATGAAGAGAGAAGAGCACTCGAAGTAAGGTTTTATACTTCATTCTTGTTCAAATATTTTTAAAAGCATTCATATTTCATTTCATTTCGTATCGGTATAACTAGTGAGAATACATAGGCATTGTTGATTGCTTGCCATCGTCTTCTACATACAGAGATATACTTGTGACAGGTAAGCATTCACGTTAAGAATTTCACCAGATATTCTTTCATAGGGCCGTTCAACAGTCTAGCCCTCTGACCATTGTCACAGGGAACCGAAAATGCATAATCACATTCTTTATTTGATATTCAGTGTTTACTCAAATGATATCGACTTATCATGAATACAATCTTCAAGAACAGTTTAATAGCAAACACTCGAGTTCCTCAATGTTGGTGGACGTCTATCAATGTGGCTAGTTCACTAGTTTTTTTACGTAATTTGGTTGAAGGAGCTGAAGCGAGGTTTCATGCTGGCTATTTTATCGGCTGCCGAAGGTTATTTTTATGTCTCTTGAAGATTCAAACCTACCTCATTCAACTTTAGAGTCAGAAACTTTGACAATAACTTTCTGCAAGATTAAATTTCATACGCCTATTATCCACAGGATAGTAACACATGTTGGACACACTTGGTTGACGAATTTTGATTAGCACTAATAGACACTAGTACGATATATTGTATGTTAGAATCCTTTAATTGTTGTGTTTACAACGTTTTGCTTCATGTCTGTATTTACATTCTGTACTAACTCATTTCCCAGAGTATTGAGATAACAAAATAACTTACATAGTAGATTTCACTCCGTATCTTATTTAGTTTATCAGGAAATTCCAACCATATACAAGGTAAGTTAGTATTATCATCGTCACTGTTTTCTGACCACTTCCAGTCTGTGAAACCACCGAGAATATGCCCACATTAGTCTTTTTTGTTCAGGCAAGCACACTTATAATCTGCTTTATATTATGTAAAAATTGCTTTGCATTTCAAAGTGTGCATTTTTTCCCCCACTATTATCACATGGATGTGCTATATTTCTGCTTATGATTGTTACATGCAAACAATTGGTAATACCTGCTTCATTCTAATGTCCTTCCTGATAAAATCAAGTTAAATAAGTCGTTTTAGAGTTTTTGCATATGCTAGAAATGATCAGAAAATTACTTATACCCAAGCTTTTTGTCCGTCGATAACGACCAGTAAAATTCAGGAAATTCATATATGTTACTCGAGATTGGGACCGTAAATGACAGTAAATGAGGATTCTGAGGGAGCTATAGGTCCATTTCTGATCAATGTTCAGGAATTGAACTGTCATTTACCGAGTCAAAAGAAAAAGTTTAAATAGAGTACACTTTCAACAACTGTGACAACCAGAAGCTCTGGTAGATCATCAATTTAAGCCTGATCTCTGCGTACATAGAAGAAGCATTTTCAATCTGTTATCTTATCATTGTCTTAACACTCTCACTATCTATCGATTTCAACATAATTAGTTAATTTACTATTACCACCTTCATTATAACTCCAGGCTTCTTGGTTCACCTTTATATCTATCAAGTGAACACTCAATCTTCGCATTTTACATCTACCAACAACTTCCGTCTTGTCAAACTCCTTACCTTCCTTATTATTTCCGTTGTTTAAAAAACTATTACGCAACTTCTTTCCATTCTTGATTTCAGTTTGCAGTACTACTTTAATGATGCTATTATGCCCTATTGTTTACTAATAGATTATTTATTGTACAGCTTTAGAAAAAGATATCGTAAAGAAGTGACATTTTCTTCGCTGAATTGTCTCTTTTTTTCTTTATGACTTGATAGGCATGTTTTGTTGTCTAAAAATGAAGAAAGCGACTAACGAATAGTGGCCATCTCCAATAAGTGTACCACTAGGATTAAACATTATCATCTTGTATCGCTTATTTATTTTCAGTCTTCTGTTTTTACTTCGAGACAAGTTTAAGTCAGCCAATAATGTGTGTCGCTCATCCTTCCTGTGTTAGTGTTTGATGTTTCACTGAATCACATATGCAAATGAATAACTGCTCCTATGGCTTGCTATTTTGAAAACAAATTTCTTTTTGCTTAAATACTTAATTTTGGTCTTTAGTTTATTCAATTTGCAGTTGTAGAAGACTTCAGGTAAGGCTGCTTACCTGCACAGAGCGATCATTTCGCTTAAAAGTGTGAGTGTGAGTACTGAAGCATGTAATTTCAGTAAATGGTGATCAGAGTAGGCTAGTATCGTACTTGAAACAGTATATGATTGCCCCATTTTTCAGCAAAAACACCGATTTCCTCCGGCATTCAGATACGTGTAGCGTGTGAACCTCAGGTAGAATAAAACATGAGTTTTGGATACTACTGTTGCCCAGTATCCAGTACAGGGGAAGCGAAAATTCATGAAACAAATGAAAGTATGCTAAAACCAGGTACATTACTTATCTCTTGCTGAGTTACAGTGAATGTCACTAGGCTTATGTAATCGTATTTAATACTCATCATATCACTTCACCCACATACCAATGAACTGTGTTTCCATTGGAATTCTCCATCAATATGTATCATATAAAAAGTCAGAGAGTTATCGACTATGATTCTGAGTTATGATAACCATATCCTGTTCACTGGGTATCAGTTGACATTACAATTTTGAATGTTTATCACTAACAGTTAACATACTGACTTGTTCGGTTTCTAGATAAAGTTCTTACGTCTAAAGTAATAACTACTGTTTTCAAGTGAGATCTAGACAATCTTGAATGATGAGTTCTCAACTAGAGGAAACATGCATCCTGACTGTCATTAATACCCATCACCAGGCAAATAAAATCGGAATGAAAACTATGAAGATAATCGGGTAACTGTGAGAACATGTTCACCTGTCAACAGAAGCCAATTAATTTGATGATTTTAAGGTGACAACTAGAGATTAGCAAATCTGTATACCAAATGCATAGGTTATAATACTGACGTCAGATTGATAGTTTCCACCAAAATCTCCTTAAAATCAATACAAAATGAAACCAGAAAATAGTTTGTTGTTTTTTGATTATTCCCAATGTCTTTCACTGAAACTTATAGAAAACCAAGTCACTGCAAAACGTTGCACTGACTTGATACCAAGTTTTTTTTAAATAATCCATTTTTCCCTAAGTTTAGATGCATTTCAATAAGTATAATAATGGTCTAGCAAAGCTTTTAAAAATGTGTTTCATTTCCTCTCCATTTTGAATCCATCAAGGATTTCTTTCAGAGTTTAAAAGATGAAGAATATCAGATAAACGATTTATGCAAAATGCATCAACAACTAGTTCAACATAGTCCACAAACTAGTGACCCACTACTGGATAGACTGAACACAGAATTTAAAAATCTACTCAGCCAAACATCTTCGAGAATTCGAAGAGTAGAGAAAGCACAGAATGACAGGAAACCTGCAGAAGAAGTGAGTTCCACTGAGTATTTTTAAATCGCATCTTGCCATAAACATTCTAATAAAACCTCTGAATCACACAGTATTTAGAAACACATTAAGCTGCTGTGTATATGGTAAAACACATTTCTCTTCAACTTTAAAATGTCACTTTTAAATCTAACTTGCTTATATAAAAGTAATAGGGAAAGGGGCTCACAATTTTCAAGTCTGTCAGAAGATTTCATACAGCAATTGAATATTCCAGCCTTTTTTGTCACGGTCATAATAAGTTACACTTAATATCATACGACCAGGAAAATTAGCTCAACATAAGCAAAAGTTTAATAATCTACTAAGAACTAAAGAGTATTTTAGTTTTTTTGATAAATTTCTATTGTTTACACATGCAATCTTATATATTTTATTACCTGTTTTTATTGTCATAATTTATTTGGTTGTGGCTAACATTGAAATCCATAACTCAAGTCCCGTCGTAAACGGGACTTGCCAGCTGGACGTAATCGCCTCATAATGAGCGAATTAGTTCTCGCTGTGACTCGAACCTCGTACGCATCGCTTCAAACGCCAAAAATACAGAAATGCAAGAAGTGCTTTTTGAGCTTGTTGGCACTTCACGTTCAAAGTCGCATAGTCATTAGACTTTAAAAACAGTACTATCGAAACAAAAGATACGCAGATTCTCAGGCTAACTACCAAGGCAGCCAAAAGGCTTTCATGAAGTTTGTCAAAATATTAGTTTATCACCTAGACTCTCTCATTCTGTTTGTATATGAATTTCATTTTTTGTAAATATTACCAGGATCAACTCTGCTGTGAGAAAGCACCGTTTTAGAAATTCATACCTGATATATCTATCAAAACCATTGTTCTAAATTATTAGAAAACAATGAAATTTATAAGACTTTGAAATTAGATCCCTTTAATGTTGTAGCGTTGATTTTATACCGCTTGGCAGTGTTCAGCTGCTGAATAACTGAATGACTTGCACATGAATGAAATCCTGTGAATATCAACTTCGTGTGTCCACAAGAGATTACTTCACGTAGTTTTGACTAAGCGCCTCTTTTAATGTTATGCGAATATGCTAGAAATCCCGATCAGCTTCTGTGTCCAGTAGTAAAAAGAAAAAATATAATATTTATAGTCCATATGTATTTCTTCCAAACTTCGCAACAATAAGAATGATAAAACGAATATATTTCATTTGAGATGTTAGCCGATATCATTTGTGGCCACTTACGTGGATCGTTTGAATTAATCCTCCTAACACAAGAGTTATCAGAAACTTGAATAATTCAACAGTGATCTCCCTAACTGTAAATTTTGGTAATGTGCTTCTATGTTTTAAATTAGATTGGCCTATATGGTATGGCACAAAGTGATATAGTATTATTTACTAGTAAGCAGTAAATAATATGGAATTGCATTCTACCATAATGCCCAAATTCTATACCTATATTGATGACTTTATGTTCCTGATGAAACCAAAACCTTTTCTTGACTGTGGATATTTCCTAAACATACTACTAAGCTTACAGCTTGATTGAAAGCTATTAGTAAGTCTCTCTGGAGACACGTTATATTTCTGAATTCATAGACCTCGGTTAGCAGTGATGCTGAGTGTATTATTTACCTCATGCAGAATAAACGATGTATGGTTCATAGTTTATCGCCTAAAGTAATAGCACTGGTCCTCATAGGTTTCTTGTCTTCACTTATATCTCTCCTTATGATTCTGCTTTTATCACGACTCGCATTGTTTTTGTTTTCAAAACCAACGCCTTCTATAGACAATAATAATACCTGCAGTCATGCACACATATTCAGCATACGCCACTGATCCGTATCCCCAATACAGTGAACAAATATCTTACACAAATCTGGATAACAATATGAACATCTTATCTGGAAATGAATATGGATTGAGAAATAGTGGTGGGAACCGAGGAATAGCTAGATCACTATGGCCTTATGACCACCGTCGACGTGTAAATTAGTATACATTTTATTTGTTTTACTGCTGGGCTAACCAATCAGCTTAAATCTTTACTAACAAAGTCATTTAATCGTTTAAAATGTCTAGATGGGTGCGGTATTTGCATTATTAGTTAAATGTACTTATTTCACGAGCTTAATATTTTGTCAATAAGATGGTAAAAGTTCTTAGTATCACAGGAATTATTTTAAAAGCCAGAAACAGCTAACATTTTGCTACTAATTTATGCAGTCGTTTACCTTTTACGTACGTTTTGCAATGTATCACTATTTACTCTGAATATAAAGATCTCACCACAAGTAACAGAACAGCAGATTTAGGAACCCTCATTATAATACAGCAACTGATAGACTTTGATATGTTCTTTATATCCCTGATTAATAAATTGTGACCGCACCACGTAACCTTGATGAGCTGTTGAGAAACTCTTAACCTGAAAGAACTTTGCTCTTAACCTCCACTTTTCTTAAAAGCACGCAGATAATGAAAGTGGTTCTGGAATATATCCCTAAGTTATCTTCAAATTCAGAGGAAAACGGAGTGTAAATACACCTACACTTTTATCATGAGCTTTAAGCTACGGCTGGTGCAAGACTATTTCTCTTCTTTGTGACTTTAGGATACACGGGAATAGTTGACTTACTTTTCGTTGATAACATGTTTCATTCCGGGAGGATAAATGGTCAGTAAAGAAACACAATATAAACCCGCTAACAACTCGGTATACTTAGGAAACTTATCTTTTTTCTGGAGACTTGATGGCATAGTACTCACCGAAATACAAAGTTGTAGACATGGTCGGTTTAATTCAATGGAATTCATGTGGTGAGACTGAACTACTGGTTCAATATTTTTTCTTCATTAGTTTACCAGTGTGTGTGAACATCGGCTAATATAAATGTTATGCTTCAAGCTAAATGTTTGCGGAAAAATTCAAATCATAACAGAATGGTTTATCAGTTCACGGTTACCTTCACTTTGACATGAGAAATATTTTAAAAATAACCGGGTCACCGAAAGCATCACTTGTGGGTGCAGAAATCAAAAAACTTAACTGTTAAATGTGTGGGGATTTCTAAAAGCATATATTGATCTTAGTGACTAGCAGAGGAATCCAGGCCATGCGTTTTGTCCGATTTGGGACTCGTCAGCTGGATGTACCTGGACATCAGTGAGTGATGTTGTTTCCACTGAGGCTAGAACCCAGTATTCATCGCTTTGAATTTCAGAGTGTTACCCACTAGGCCCTTGGAGCACGATAGCTACCTCTTGTGAAACGGGTATCAGGTGTTGTTATGACACCTGTAATTTCCCGTCGCTATACAAATATAATTAGTGACTGAAGTTTAGTCTTCAGTTAAGGTCTGTAATTATTACTTTGAACATCTCGAGAATCTAAGCAAAGTAGCTTGCAGTGATCATCAGTGAGTAATTTCATGCGTTGATGCTATACTTTGTTCTGGTGATTCATATTTTTTCCTTGTATTATATGATGTCAGCGATAATGCTTTTTAATTTTCAGCGTTTTACTTTTCTGACATGATTATTTAGTTTTGCTCTTAACCCTTCTGTACTGCAAACCCCAGAGAAGGGTAATTTTATTTTTTGCTGCACAGAGAACGCTATCAATTGAAAGACCACCTACTTATTACCTTAATTAACTTTGGAAAAAGGAGTGAACCAGTGACTATCAGTTGAATTACCGATTTAGTAAATCTATTGTAAAAAGCCTCATGCTTCTAAGATCAAATGTTTTTTACTTTTGCATTATTTTCTAGCTTTTTTTTCACTTCCGGTATCCAGTATGTTTCCATTTAAGTGGGATTCTAGATTAAAAAATATAGCAAATGAAGAGTAATTAAAATTTAAAAAATCAAAGTTACCCTTTGCACACACTGTTTGAATGTGTGTGCACAACATTTAGCTAACGTGGCAACATATCGGATACTGGGAGAGTTTGCTTTGTATTTTTTGGTTCATATTTTGCGGTAGATTGTTGCACAATTATCAATTATTTTACGCACCATCTGTAATTTAGGACCACCAGTTTTTTTTGACAGCATACAGTTTAGTTTAGATTGTTGTTTCTTATCTTCAGTTACCAATTCGTTACAGTGTTATCTGTTGTTAACTTCTTTTTGCTTTCAAATCAAGTCTCACTCAGAATATCGTAGTAAAATACCAATTTTGCCAGAGAAAGCGGATGCACTAGTTCAGCAGTCTGCTAAAACGTTGAAACACACAAAACTGCTCAATGAGTTAGCCAGGTCAGTACGTCAGTTGAAAGATGAAGTCATAGATGGTGAAGTTGATGCCCAAAGGAGTGAGTGCTTGAATGCGTATTTCACAGTTTTTGAACATTTTGTTGAGATATCGACAAGTCTAATAACTCATTACAGATAATGTTTTTTTGACACTGAAAAAAGGTTGCATTTTACATTGAGCAATAAAATTTGACTTCTTTGTAGGTAATAACCCGAAACAAACCAATGAATCCTTTGTACTTTGGCCACTAAAGTTTTAGATACGTAAATGTTGGTATCACTTGCATTGTCATAGGGTTTTGACGGACACGCCAGTGGAATTCAAGATGTGTATGTGTTCTTATAAGTAGATACTTAGTTAAACGTGTACCTGTCCCACCAATTGCTGACGGAACCTATGAAATAAGCTAACTCCCTACTCACGCAAGCAACCAAGCTTTGTTTATTAGGTTATCAAATCATTTAATTTACCCTAGGGATAATGAGTATTTTGACTAGTCACTGGAGGGTAACCAACTTCATTTTGTCTAGTCCTAAGTGCTCATCGATTTCGATCAATCAATTTACAATGTGACCACCAGACTAGGCAGCTCAGAATCGTGATGCACTTTACTAGATGCTAGTTGGATGCAGGCAGTCGGCAGAAAACCCTAGAACTAGGTTTAGTGATTGTTTGTACTCGTCAGCAATGCATATCTGCGACCCCGACGAGATTGATGTCCCGCTTGAGATCCGAACCCACGTCATACAGTGCTGTAGTTGGCGACGTTACAACTGGATTAGATATACAGATTGGTTACTGGAGGGTAATCAGTTAATCAACACCTATCAGAGTGCAACGTGATCCTGAGCTGCCTAGTCTGGTGGACACCAGTCCCATCGGGGTAGCAGGTACACATTACTGACGAGTACCAACAAGCACGAAATCTAGTTCCAGGGCTTCCTGGCAATTGCCTTCGTCCAACTAGCATCATGAGCACTTAAAGTGAGAATAAAATCAGAGATGAAACTAAAATTCCCCCTGTTATCAATCTGGTACACAACCTATTGAGTTAAGGAAATTGACTTTGCTTCAATTAATGAAGTATAAGTTTAGGGTTGTATGATTGTACTATTGGATTAAATGCAGCAGGGGGTTTACTTCTTCTTTAGATTTAACTGTCTTTCATCTTTTGCTCCATGTTTATCAACATGATAATCGGAGAGTTTTGAATAATGGTTTCTATTTTAGTTTCTTAATATGTATCTACTCAACCGAAAGATGATGATGATGCCATGAGTTTTTCTTCGAAACTGACCGTAGAATTTAAATATCTAAGTACTCATCCTGATTTAAAACTTTCAGGTGTCAGAAGCAGTTTGGCTCTCGAGCTTATCGACCCAGTTTCTCATACTTCGTGTTGAATGACGTACAGGTTTATCAATGTTAACTCATTGATGCAATTTCTGGTATCTTAGCTGCACTAGTCGAACTGAAATCTTACGCATGCTTCATTATTGTACAAAATACCTCTAACTCATGACTACCAATGTAGTTGATATTCTCGAAAGAGATGTGTTGTTACAATATGCCTTTCTGTAGTTGATATTATCGCCAGGTACTTAACTGTAAACAATCCATTTATAAACGGCTTTTAAACAGGGTGCATAGCTGTTGGACAGTTTTATTTTCGATTCTTTAGATTGTATATCTTGAAGTAATTTTGATCACAAGTCTTTGATTATGTAGCTACGTCTGTCACACTTATTATTGTTGTAACCTTTACCGTTCAGAAATAACAGATATTTAACAATAAATATGTCACTTGTAAGACCTAGTATAACAGCTTAAATTAATTAATCTTTCAGGCTGAGTTTACTGTACGTCTTTACTGTAAAGTTCAAGTTTAGAAATGAGGGCGCTATGCATCACAACAAAAGAAAATAATTATGGTTTTTGACTTCTCCATTGTAATTTTTTTCGGTTGGAGGTCTAAAAAAGGTGATGTTACTTAAGTTGATGTGATTAAATCACAAGACTTTTTCTACTTTGATGTTAATTCCTTCCTGTTCACTTCGTTCTTGTGTACTACTGTGCAGTGCTCACTCTTGTGCTAAGTTCTGCGTGCATTTTTTTCACTTCTGTGTCGAATTTAACCACATCAAAACTACGGAGAACGGTTGCAGATATGAATGTTTTGTTGATTGTATTCTGACAGCTTTTAATAACATTATCATAGTTTTTGGCTAAATTCCGGATGGCTCATATATATTTGAGTGATAAAAGTCTGTTAAACTCAAAAGTAAGACATGCAAGATCCTAAAGATAGAATACTCATACCCTAGAAAAAATTCTGTCACTGAAGATGTGTTCGACTGCTATTGAATTTCGTCTCCGAAAACTGATAACAATTCATTTTTACCACATTTGGAGTATATCTTGATGGCAAACGTTGTTTTGCATGGGCTTATTGAACTCCTAGTTAAATGAAGCTTCTGAAAGCTGTATAACATCCAATCTTTCATACTTGCAGTTTTCTGCTTAGCTTAAGTATACTTTAAACAACAATATATTCAGCTCACCTAGTCAACATCTCAATCCATTCTCACGATTAACAAACTACAATCACTCAATTCGTGGAGACTTTTCTTTTTAGTGATTTCAAGTTGGTATTCATTGTGGACTGACATCGGTTGGAGGAACATTGGAAAGCTAGGAGCACTGGACAGCTGTTTCGTCCTAGTATCAACTCCTTAGCAGTGCGCACCCGTGATCTCGCCCTCAAGAGATCGAAAACCCAGGACCTTTAGGCTCCGTATCCAGCACGTTACCATTTAGACACTGGGTCAGAACCCAGTGTTCCATGTGTGCTCACTGCTAAGGAGTCCCACACTAGGACGAAACACTTTTCAAGTGCTCCCAGGTTTCCAGTGTCCCACCAACTCATTGCAGTCCATGCTGAATACAAACTTACTGTCATTTAACTTGATACATATATTATTTCTCTTCGTTTCTGAACTGCCTGACCCAGCTATGGAAAGTTTCTCTCACCAACATGAAATTCATTTAGTTACCTGGGAAACTCATAAATTTAAATACACCTTTCATGACAACAATAAAATAATATGTATGCTTAATAGATATCCGTGAACCGAGGAAAATCAGAGTGCAATAAAAAGGATATATAGTTGTGTTTTTTCTCTCAGTAGGTGTATTCACAGGTGTATTTGCTGTGAAATTATACTCTTCTGTAAGTACCGGTTAAATGATTTCATTTCTTCCAACCTAACATTGGTAAGTTCACTAGTTAACCTCAGAAAATGTTTACCTATCTTTTCAATTCTCACATTTATCTCCTCGTTTTCCATAAATCGTGCTCCTGATACGGGTAAATTCTTTGTTGTTTTCAATGTTTCAATCGCATTGTTGTTCAATTCTTTTTGTTTTCAACTAAATGTAGTACTTTTATGTTAAAACAGCATATAAAAATGTTGGCAGCTAAACACCATCATCATGACTGATAACTTTCCCTATCCAGTTACTTTTGAATCTTGTTGTTATGGTTGTTGTTGTTGTCATTATCATTACTAGTAGTACGACTGTTGTGCATATGCTTCCAGCAATACTTTGTTTTACTAAATTGGTGTGCATATGTACAATATTTAAAATATTTAGCCTACTTTTTGTGAAACTTCAGATGTTCAGTATACAAAATCCTTTTGTTACTTACTAAATAAACTAGTCATTCAGCTGATCGACAAGATCACGTCGTACCTTCAGTTACAGTGTCTTCTTCTAATCAACCGTATAAAAATAGCAGTTTTCAAAATGCAATATCAATCGAATCGATTCGAAGAAATTTTCCTCCAACTGATTATTATCCGGTAGTTCAGTTGAACAAACAATCAACCAGTAACACACGTCCGAAATCTTCGCTTGATGAAGTACCTGTTTGGCGAATGGATGATATAAACTTGCCTTCCTGCTTACATGAGAGCCGATCAGCTAACCAGTCAAAAGATTCAGCCTCATTGCAGTATAATAAAGATGATTTATTACAATATTCAAATATTAAGCCTTTATCATATGTCCCATGGAAAGATGAAATTTGTATTGAACGGTAAGTATCTCTGCGAACTCTTGTTTCTGACTAAACTGTCCATATTCTTGACATTTTTTGAATGCTGTGGAAAAACAAGAAATATATGTGGTGTATATATCACATGATATTTTAGTGTGACTTTCGAAGACTCTTAGCAATGCTCGCTGCTGAAAACTTCTAACCCACATTTTCTGTATCTGAATATCTTTCTCAAAAAAGGCTTTTTTTAATCAGTTTGTGCTGTTCGTGTGAAATCCAGACAAAACACTTAGTTGTTGAAATGAAATTGAGGCCTGAGTGAACGAAAGGTAATTTAGATCAGTCTACGCGGCAGTGAGCCAGTGACAATGGAGCTTTTGGTGCCTATACTTCGGCATTTCGGAATCTATTCATTTAGTTATAAAATAACTAGCTTCACTGGGAATGAAACTTAAAGGTAAGCAAGGTGAATATGCTTTGGGATAATATGAATGACTAAGATGACAGTTATCTGTGACTATATAAGGTTCAATTAGGTAACATACCAGTTTCGCACAAATAATGTTGAACTTATCAGCAGCATATGCAGACAAAATTGGTTCATATGTTCAAAATATTCACAACATTTGAGGCTGAACAGCTAAACACTTTCATCGAGTCCCGACAAGAACAGTTAATACATTGCTTTTGGGTTTGTTTGTCAGCTGTCTGGTCCGGTGATACTGACTTAATGTTTACTGGCATATAGTCGTTAGCTTAAATTGCGAGAGAGATTAATCATTGTTGACTTAGAACCGCTGAACTTAACGCACGCCACTGACTGGTGTGTATATTATCTAATATTGGCTTCTCAGCTGTACATTTTCATCAAATACTCAGGGCAATTTCTCAACGGAAATTCATTTAAGTGTTGTAGCTATGTATGAAAATATAATTTGCGCCATGTGGTTAAGCACAATTCCATTGTAATTCTCTATTTTATATGCATTGCACAGTGAAATAACATAATAAACTGATGACGTTCCGAGCATAATTTGTGGCTCATAATCACATGAACGTAATACCACAACTTTTCTGTCTAGTTCTGTTGTTCTTTGTTTGAATTGGTACTAAAAATTTTCCACATATCCAGAATCAAAGAATGAAAAAGCAACAGAACCATAAAAGTAGGCCAGAAAGATGTATGATTGCCTTGATACGATTATGAGCAGCTAATTCCGCTCAATATGTCAAGTTCACATTGCTGTTTCATTGTGTGGCAAATATGTAAAAAAAGAATTTTAACTAGTTTTCAAAAGAAGTCTCTTGAACAGCGCAGTTAGGTGACTAGAAGTTTTCCAGATAGAAATTATTCAAAAAGAGGCTTAAATATTTCTCAGTAAGTCAATCTCAAGTTCATTCAACTTTTGTGAGCTTTTTGGGCAGGACTGAAACTATCTGTTATTCAAGTTAAGTTTATAGGCTGAAACCGAAATGAAGAACGTTAATTCTGTTCTCGAAATTTGTTAAGCAATTCAAAGTGATATGAACACTGAACTATAGTTTCGCTATATTATGTCACGAAGACTACCTGGTTCGGGTCTACAAGACGGAAGGAATTAGTGTTTCTGGAGTCCAGATGACATGGTTGAAAACTGGTCATAATGACGCAGATGTATTCATTCCTTGACTTCTTCTTAAGCTTGAAATTTCACACTGACCTTTATCCTCATATTGTGTATTCTCTCACACTACTTTATCTTCTTTGATATCACTTTTTTGTATCTACCTGTTCTTTTTGTACTACTGTGAGGTGTGGCAACTTCAGCCGATTCACCTGTGTATGAGTTTCTACCTTGATTTTGTAAGCAAGTTCTGCTAAGATGGTCAATTTGCAAATGATTTACAAATTACGCCGTCAACGTTGACATTCCCCACAGTTGAGTAGTATTTCAACCGCCCAATTGTGATTTTAACAAGGTTTTTCCTGGAAACCACTCAATCGAAATCACTAGATGTTCCGCTAGTTAAGAAGAGAGACCGTAAAGAATCACATACACCTCACTGAGATCAGGAATTATTCCTATTAACTGAAACTTCCTGGTTGACTTAAATTGAGTGGCATTCCTTTAAATACGTGGTCATTTTCCAAACAGTTTACACTTTAGATGGTTCACACTGTTATTCCCCATAAGGGAATTGTATCAAGAAAATCTATTTATTTTATTCTCTAAGAAACTATTAATGTAGACTGCTGAAAATAGTCTATTCACCTGTGTCACATAATAAAAGTAGCTACAGTTTAAAAAAACGACCAATAGAATCTGGTGAGAACTTTCGATTGGAAAAAGTGAAATTGCTTGCTCTCTAATTACCAGTTAACGTACTTAATCCAGTTCTAAATAACGTTGATCATGACCTGAATAGCTTAATGATAACGTTTCTGACTCCAGCGCTGGGTGACGCTAATTTGTGATATATTACTGGATATCAGATTCTTCGACTTTGAAGATACCTTTTACTGATTAGTGTCAACAAACAAGTAACACAGATCGACCTCTACCCAACAGCCTTAAACACCAAGCATTAATCTCATTTTCAAGGCATGCCACTAAAGCAATATGATTAAAAGTTGAAATTAAAAATGTATTCAGGACTTACATCCCCTAAGTGCATGCACCTGAGTGGTTTTCATAATTCAAGCCGGCACAGGAAAACACATGTACTCATAAGTAAATCAAAGTAGGATGGTCTACTCAGTTCACTTTTTTTGTTCGTCTATTTAAGCATTTTGACAATCTCAGATGACACATCCACCAAATGTTACCATCGTCAAGTTAATGAAAATTCCATCAATCATTCACTACCTGATTCCATCAACCAATCCTGGTTAGTCTGGTGAGATACAGCTAGATTCAAGATCCATAATATCCTTGTGATGTAGAGTAATTGTTCTGACTGGTGTGTGTTATGGGCTTCCACAGAAACCAATGTTAGTTCATTTTGGGCTCTTTTCAAAGACAAATATTGCTATGAGGAGTTATTTCCAATGCCCAACCAACCTTCAAAAAACGACACTCACAAGACACCTATTCAATTAATGGTATAGACTTCAACGAAACTTATGTTGCGGATGTTCGCTGGCATCAAGCAAGCAGACACGTGCGTTAAGTCTTCTCAAATGTCTTGAATGTATAGTCTAGATCTCACAAAGAATTTTCAAAGAAAAGTAATTGCCTTTATCTAAGCACTTCGAATAATTTTAGCTTACTCAAAGTGTGCGTCTGATTGCTACGACTAGCGTAAACTAACTTCATAACTGCGTAGTATTTATCACTGATTATAATCATATTTGCTTGTTTATTCACCCTTTTCGCTATAATTTTACAGGAAACCCCCAGAAGCACCCTATTATTCATACAAATGTCCAGTCCCTAAATCAGCTGTTTATGTTAAGCCTCGTAGCCCTAGAAAAGTCAATTCACTGTCCTCACATGCAAGTGGATCAGCGTCGAAAGATTTAAATGTATCATACAACACTAAGAAGAAAGTCACTTCTGGAACACAATCACCTAGTATTATGTCTACATATGTACCGATATCTTCAGGTTTAAATGAAAATTCAATGTCTCGGAAGAGAAGCGATGCAAGTAGCTTAAAGTTAGTGAGTTTATATGGTAATTTGTTTTTCTTGATAGATTTCACACTTAACACATGTAAAGTACCTCCTGAGAATAAGCACAATCAAAAATTAGCGTCCTAGCTGACATATTATACAGTAAATCTTGAGGACTAGTGCTATTATTTCTCACTCGATGTATTTCAGTCTAGCCAGCTATAAGTCACTCTAATAGCATTGTCATTAAAGAGATTTACTAGGGTTCCAGTAACCCTAATAGTTGATGGAGAATAATTCCATAGTGAAAATTTATTGGTATTCAAACCAAGTTGGGATTTATTGGTTTGAAAAGTTCTTAGGCATTAGGTAAATTCATTCGCAAAATAGAAAATAATATCAACTCAGATCGTCAAAGTACTATTAAATGATAAGCCACAACAATAGTCGTCTAATGCAGATCACACACCTCGGATCAGGTTAAGAGAGTTTTCGACAAACGCAATATCTATCTTTTGGTGAAAACCAAGCACATTGCAAAGCAACTTAGTCCATGTGAAGAACAAAATTCCTCTGGACTCATAATCTAATTGTGTTTACAAAGTAAAATGCTCAGACTGCGAGGTAATATACATAGAACAAACTTCATGCGAAATCAAAAACACTGAACGCCGAACGGCTTCCACCCAACCCCCTAGAAATCCTATAGGCCTAAAACGTTTGAAACCACTTCGCCCATAGCTCTACAAACTATAATTTAAGGTCGCAAGGTCGATTTTGACAATATCGTAACTAATCAAAAAGGCTTTAGAAATTATGAAGAAAGTCTCATATCAGAATCTCTCTACATAAAGTGGAATTGAAATTGTCTAAATAGGAGCAAGGGAATGAAACGTAACTTGATATGAGTAAGACTAAAGCACAGTGTCAGAATTTAATTGTCTTTTAGTTGAGTTATTAGATGTATCCCTACGTGGAACAGTGTTATTTACTGGATTACATTTTGAACATAATTTATTGTCCATATAGTTATATCAAGATAACCACACACCTTCGAGTTGTAATTTTCTCACCCCGTTTGTGATGTAGACAGTAGGATTTTCTATATATCCGGAAAAGGTGCCAAGTCATTCCTGTTGCATATATTTGGTTTTGATTAGATAAACAAAGATTCCATTATCGATCTCTCCCCCCTCCCCCCCCCCCCACTACTATATTAGTCTTAAGGATTGTGACTCTGTTCCATCTTATTGTATGGTTGGTTGAAATGTAGGCACAGCTATGACCTACCTTTTTTCCAGATTCTTTATCATGCTAAGACTTACTGATTTTGACCTAGGTAGCGTTTGTGCTGGGATAGCCTAATTGACCCTAATTGAACACTTTAACCTATGTATTTAACCTCTCCATCGTTGCAAGGGATTTGGTAAATTAATTTGTTCTTCCAATCGGATCAATAGAACCTTTTAACCTATAAAGCTTATTTCTAAGTGAGTTTGTAGGTTTAAATCCTTAATGTCTCTGAGGTGCCTTCCTTGTATGGTAATACTGTGAACGTTTTGAACTCTATCTTAGTATTGCCATTATTATCATTACTATTACTAGTATTATTATTAAAACCTGTGCTACGGCTGCCAGTCATATTTTTCTTGCGATTGCTGAGGAACTTATCAATTTGTTTAGGACGGAAATTACTGATAAGTAAGGTATCTTTAAAGTATCTGGTTTCTTGTCTTAGATCTGTTTTGCTAATACGTTTCTTGGCCCTTTACTTATACATTTTTCTAAGTCAACTTTAACTGATATGGGGTGAGATGATCTAAAGTCTAAGTAATGATTCCAGCGTGTCCATAACTCGGAAACTTGAGCTAGGCATGCAAGTCAATGTTATCTAAACTACTGTTGATGCTTTCACTAGTTCCTAGATAAAGCAACAAATTGAAAGTCTCAGAATTTGATTTCACACAGGTCTTAGTAAAGTAGTCGTTTACAGTTTTACTCAACACAAAAGTGGTATTGAAGTAACAATTTTAAAATTTGGACTTATCTGTGTCATATGTTTAAATAAGTCGAAGAAAATCTTCATGATTCCAGTAATTACCAAGAAGCAGAGAGAAATCTCAAGATATTTTGTCTTATTTCGGTAATTAACCCTTTCGATTATTGTTTAAACTTCAACTGCAACCTTCAGTACTGTTATGAATAGGCTGATCTTCAGTTAGGAGGTTGTACATCATTTGTGTGAAACATTTTCGTTCAGCTATTTAGTAATGAAGGTCTAGAGGGTTGACTACACATTTTATCAAAACTTTCAAGGGTTCATGTGATATGTTTTATTTTATTGAATAACATTTACACGAACAACTTGACCAAGATAGCAGCTAAAGAACTAGTATGTCTTTTCAATTTGACACTTTTCCTATGAAAAGTGAGAAATTCTAAAGTGATTAAATTGCCTGTTTATTGGTTTTTATTCTTATTTTTCAGCATCAATTCAGGTAAAAAATCATATCCAATTTTCTGATACCAAAATTTTACTTGTATAAAAATTATTCCTAATTTCACAGTTACATTATTGAAGAATATCTGTTTACCAGTTTGCCTAGCTTTTATGTGCTTCCATTACTCCAACTTGATTATCCTTAGAAAAACATTCCAATGAACTCATCAGGTTTTTTCTATCCACTAAACAAAGTTAATATAAATATTCATTTGTCTTGATAAACAATTGTTCTACATATACATCTGAATATGCACAAGTAATGCATTGTTCTATCAATCAGTCTGACAGTTAATATACATTATATCCACCGCTAATTCATTCATCACTTACACTTTTGCTATCAGTTATACAACAAACCCTCTGCATATGAAGTTTCTATTTATCAAAGGTGGACATAGAGAAAAAGCGTATGAATTTCTTTCTTTTGTCATTGCTTTTAACTGACAATTTTAGAACCAAAATGAGAAAAAAGAAGTAAAAGTATTAATTTTATTATTAAATCTAATTCTCTCACCTATTATTTGAAGGAAAATTTGAAAATTGTACAATTCCATGAATGTTGTGCTAATGTTGTTTGTTATTTCTTTCAATAAAAGTAAATTAGATCAATGATGTGGAATATTCAGTGCCAGCAGCTTTTATCTACCAATTTGAGCTCATTGGATTGAAATAAAATTATGATCTCAATACTTTATGTTGTTGGTTATTGATAGGCAAGAGTTTCTGTGTCAACGTAGTAGCCATTTTTTTCCAATGTAGTCTTACAACTAAATGAAGTTGGCATTTTCTATACATATGTTTGTACAAGAAAAGGCTATTTGCCATTTAATGACGGTGTAATATACCTCCAGAAAAATTGGTACATAATACGTCCACCTTACTAATCCATTTAAATAAGCTAAGAATGGTTTCCAGGCTTATTTCTATGTGTTTTATTTTCAAACTTAGACACATCTCTTGCAATTACCAGTACATAGAAAACTTGAGCAATGGTTGTTGGTTGCCAATGAGAAACTGTAAATTTAAAGGTCTGTCAGTGACTAAGTGTCTAGCGGAGCTGTGGCTTCGTAATCTCGACCATGAACTTGCGACAAGTTGGTCACTCCACCTACCAAGTTTTGAGCAAGTATGTAGTGTCATTAACTCTCACACAATAAGAATGTCTCATTTCCTAATTCATAAACATGCAATGGTCACTAAGTTTTATTTTCGGTTTTTTATTTTGAATTTAGAGGTACTTTTCATCGTACATTGAAATTTGAAAGATTATCATTCAAAAAAAGTGATATGTAGAGCTATTTCGGGTTTACTGGAAGTTATGACCCATTCCTATCCGATATTCATTATAGGTCCTATACTTGGTGCCATTTATACAGACTACGCAGATTGCTGATTTTTAAACCCTGAAGGTAGGGATGCTAAGTGATTCTTTGTCTTAAAACATTTTCCAGTGGATTTTATAGATGAACAGCTGTTGGTAGATTTCTGTCTAGACGGACGCTTAGAAGAGTGCTAGTTTAGGTGTGATCATGAGAATTGGGAAGAGAAAAACATGAGTCAACAACTCAGTAAGCACACAAGACTCACATTTAATGATAAAAGATAATCGACAAACGGTAGTGACTCACAGTGAGCAGATGAGGCAGACTAGAAACTGAAACTGGAAAATGGATGAGTAAGACGTCGAATGCGTTACACTCACAAAGCACGCAACCTGATTATCAGTTGAGTTAGATTATTAGGTAATGTTTTAGTTTATTATATTTATATGTCCCTTGGGTTCCTAATGGAATACAGGGCTTCAGCAGCACGTATCCATTCCACTCTGTTCTTTGCAATCTTTTGAACCTGGCTCCACGACAGCCCACAAGCTCTCATTTCCTCCTCGCACGATCTCCTCCATGTCACCCTCGGACGCCCAACTCGTCGCTTCCCTTCGGGGTTCCACTCGAGGGCCTGGTGCGTGACGTCCCCAGTCGGCTTTCTCAGTGTTTATTATTTTAAGTAGTCTCCAACAAAATCAAGATTAGAAAAATTGAATTAGTCAGACTGGAATGTAAGATAATGACAATCAATCACTGGATATGAATAAAAATTCAGCACTGTGGTAGAATGTAATTCCATTTTAGTTGATTGATTAGATGTATCACTCAATGAACAGTGTTATTTCGGATATAATTTATTATCCATAGTCATATCAAGATGATGAAATGACTATGGAGAATAAATTATGTCAGAAACGTAACCCAGTAAATTATACTGTCCCACTGTGTGGTACATCTGATAAATCAACTAGAAGTGGAATTCCAGTAACCTAATGGACAGATACCAATTGGTCAACGTTTAACTCGATTTTAGTGTAGTACTGGGTTTCATACTTACTACAAAACAGAATTTGTGGCTAGAAGCCATCGAGTTTGCAGGCGATGGATCCATTGGAACAGTTTTCTCAACTAATTAATTTTCAGTACTCGACATCTCACAAAGTGCACTTACAGGTCGAATGTTAGTTTAACATAGCTTTAAATTATCACGTTCTCACTTTAAATTATATAACTTCCTAAATAACTCTCATTCATGTAACTACTTGCATTTTGATTTGTATTCAACCTGACTATCTGAGGCTTTATTTTCAAATTCAGTACACAGCTAGGCTACCAGTGAATATATTTTCATCATCAAGTTGCTAGAAGTGAATTTAAACAGGAAAAGCATGATACTGCCATATTACCAATGTACCACTTTATGGTATACTGGATTTCAAATGCCAACGAGTAACGGGAAAGCACACTGACATTGGAACTGCTGGTTCTGACCTCCGGAAATTATTCTTCAAAACTACAATGAATTTACGTTTTAGCCTTAGTAAAACACAATATCGAAAATTGAGTTGAGTAAATACGGGCGAAATTCTTTTAAACAAAATAATGAGTGAACCACTGAAGTATATCATCAGTAAGCCAGATATATACTACCTTCGGGTTGTTGCATACGTTATCACTGACTAGTCAGTCATCAGAAACGGACTGTTGGCAAAGATAAAAAGCACACGTCCTTCAGTTATTAGCATGATAATATTGTTTTTTCTTGATTTTCTTTTGATACTATGCGGAGATAACTGGTTCCCTAAAATTATTTAGGGAAAATATATTTCAGTTTCGTAAATATTTGTTACCAATTATGGAAGGTAGGAGGATTTTTCATATTAAAAGTGATATTGAATCTACTCAAAAACCAACCGGTAGTTTTCAGAGGAATCGAATTCGCGATGGAAGAAAATAACGGCAATTAGAATTCTTAGATGTCTCGGTTACAAAAAGTGACGGTGTACATCTTGAAACTCAAGTGTACCTTAAAACAACTCATCCAAACCGAATCCTCAATCATAACAGCAACATTTCGTTGTTGTACAAGAAAAGCTGTGTTAGAACTCTGTTGAGGCTGGCACATACTGGAAATACAATGGACTCAAAAAGAGCTTAGATGAAAATTTTGTTCGAAGCCTTCCAACTCAACAGTTATCCAAAGTATTTCATCGAGAAATGTCTTTTCAAATGGACGAAATCAAAATCAACTCCAGAAATAAACCGAAGAACTGCCTTTGTATACATCGGAAATATTTCGAAAAAGAAGCCGGGTTACTGAATCTACTTGAAATCTCAGTGTCGCATCAGCCAACAAAATCGGTACGACGTATCCTTATCCAACCAAAAGACCCAAACAACACAGAAGAAATGATCGACATTATCTACAAAGTCAACTGCAATAATTGTGAACACCACTACGTTGGACGGTAAACCAGTAATACAATGCCTACAATAACACAAGCTGGCTGTCAAACGTAATGCTATGAAGTCTCTCATCTCAATAAACTCTGGCAACCACATGACCGACTGGAACAACTTCAAAACACTGGTACGTATAAAATCAAAAATACCCAGAGAATTCTTGGAGGTATGGCACTCAAGCAAACTAGCAATAAACCCCCACATCTACTTTCATGTAATTAACTAGCCTGTTCGAAGAAAATCAACTAAAGGAATCCATCGACGCAAACGCAAGGAAACCCTAGAAGTAAAAAGAAAGCGGATTATCAATCAATTAGATCTAGAAAACTCATATGCAATTCACCAAAATACTGCAATCAATCCAAAAAGAATCCAAATTTTCAGTAAGATTCAACTAACCAATCGCGTCGCTTTATTTGGAGCAAATCAACCAATCTGTTTAAAGCACCTCCCTTCAATATATCCAAGTCAGCCAATCAGACCAAGACCACCTTCATCAATTCAGTCAAACGGAAAGGGTGGGCTAATCACAACGAAGCGACTTAAACCTACTGAAAGTAAATAAAAGATATCAACCAGTCACATAGTTTCACACCCGTTTCAGAACAGCAGAGACGGGAAGTCAACTAATCAGTTTCAGCATATGCCTTTGCAGTCACCAAGCGACCAATCAAACACACTCGGGCAAGGTAGCACGTTATTAATATCCATGAGAAACCATTCACTTCATCCCCTAAGGTAGCTACGATGCACTGATGGCAGTGTTTAGCATGACAGCGAAATGTTGGCCAACTAAAACCCCTGCTCAAGGAACACTTCACTCTGAACATATTCAAATATGCTTCACTTCTTTATAAGTTTAATGAACAGTATGTCTCCAAGTCTTATGATGAAACATCTATCACCAAATATTGAAGCTCGAAGAACACTGAACCACTATAATCATCCTCAGCTACCTTTTTCTATTTGAGATGTCATAATTTATCCAATTTTAGTCTTTAAATTTTGTCAGTAATCTCGTCCATTTAGTTACCTTCGCTAATTTAAACAAGGTAAGAATGAACGAGTCTGCATAGTACAACAGATCTCTGCAACAATGTACAAGCCAATAAAGTCAAAATTTAAAATAGATTTCAATATACCCGGAACGTGGAGTAGTGAAATTGTTTGGAAAATAACATTGTAAGACGGGCTAATTGAAGAGCTTGATAATTAATCGAAATGAATATTACG